CCCCCGTCCCCCTAATAAACGCCCCCACCCTCATCCCCACCTCCGGCCCCGCTTCCTCCTCCAAAGACGACTACAACGGCTCCACATCATGGCGCATTTTTTCCCGCGTAGTATCCTTCTGGGCACCCGACTTTCTACTCTCCTCCGTGGGCGGCCTCAAGGATGCACCCGTCCGCCAGGCCTGGAGGGAAAAGATTGCCCTCTGCTTCATCATCGCCGTCCTATGCGGCGCCGTAGGCTTCGTCACAATCGGCTTCCAGAAGGTCCTCTGTCCAGAGACAAACAGCTCGGACAACAGCTTCCTCCGCGTCGGTCTATTTCCAGGCACCCTCGCCGTCCAGGGCGTCATATACAACGCAACCTCAGTCAGGTCTCCCGCAGGCGTCGACTTCGCCTCCTTGTTGAGATCACCCGGTCAGGACATCACCAACCTCTTCCAACGCGAGGCTTCCTACTACACTGAATGCGCAGGCCTCAACTTCCGTGTCGCCCAGGACGTCCCTTGTTCAACCACCAACCAGTGCTCCCTTCCTCCTCTCAACTCCTCCTCCACCTTTCAGACCCTCAACCTCGTCAAAACTGACTTTCTCGCTGGATACGCCTGGGAGCAAGTAACTGACATGACCGGCTACTTGGTCATCGACGGCGCTGTTCTCAACCTCACTCCCTATCTGAGACTCCACAACACTCCCATCCCATCCGACAATGTCGACATCGCCATCCGCACCGTCCTCAAAGCAGATGCCAGTGGCAGCGGAAAAGATGCTACCCGTCTCTTCCTCAACCGTGCCGACCTTCACTCTGCTGTTCCCTGCCTGAAGCAACGCTATTACGCCGGCAACATCGACAAGGTCACCCCTGGTTGTTTCGTCTCCAGTCTTTTCCTCTACGCCGGTCTCATCGTCATCCTTGCACTCGTTTTTATCCGTTTCATCATGGCGTGCATATTCAACTGGTTCCTGTCAGAGCGCCTTGCCGGTCCCATCAGCAAGGAAGAGCTGAACCGCTCCGCAATCAGCCCCGCAGTCATGCCCGAAGGCGCCAATATTTCAGTCGACAACAAGAACGGTACAGCTCCATGGGCAGGCGGTCAAAAGAAGCTCAGCAAGCCGACCAAAGGGCCTCGTTCCATCGCATCCTCCTCAAGCGGTACCTTGATTGGTTCCGACGCTGGAGTGGCTCCCATCATGAGTTTGGCTCAAATCGGTGCGGAGTTATTTGCGGTTTGTTTGGTGACCTGCTATTCCGAGGGTGAAGAGTCGTTGAGGACGACCCTGGACTCTATCTCATTGACAACGTATTCTGATGCCAGAAAGCTCCTTTTCGTGGTGGCAGACGGAATGATTACTGGCGCAGGTGAGAAGAGGAGCACCCCCGACATCTGCGTCAGCCTGCTCGAGGCTGACCCACGATTCGGCAATCCCATCCCTATGAGCTACAATGCTGTTGGCTCTGGCGCAAAGGCTAATAACCGTGCAATGGTTTACGCTGGTCACTACAGTAAGTCTTATCGCTACAAAATATCTTGGCATTTGCTAATAAGCGATCAGCGGTTGCTGGGCGTCGGACTCCGACCGTCATCGTCGTCAAATGTGGAACCGAAGCAGAAGCAGCAACAGACAAGAAGCCAGGCAATCGAGGAAAGAGAGACAGTCAGCTCATTCTCATGAATTTCTTCTCTCGTGTTACCTACAACGATCGGATGACGCCGCTCGACTTTGACCTCTTCCGCAAGATACACATACTGACGGGGGTCACACCGGACTTCTTCGAAGTTTGCCTGATGGTACGAACAACATTCGTCTTGCGCAATATCCTTGACTGACGTCGTTCGCAAAGGTTGACGCTGATACGAAAGTCTTCCCGTCATCACTGAAGCATCTCGTCAATTGCATGCACCACGACCAAATGATCATGGGCGTATGTGGAGAGACACGCATAGCCAACAAGCGACAATCATGGGTGACAGCGATCCAAGTCTTCGAATACTTCATATCCCACCACTTGGCGAAAGCCTTCGAGTCCGTATTCGGTGGTGTATCCTGTCTGCCTGGGTGTTTCTCCATGTTCCGTCTCAAGGCAAGGAAGAACACAGGTGACGACTGGGTGCCATTGATTATCAAGCCCGAAATCGTCAAGGAGTACAGCCAAAGCGAGGTCACGACTCTTCACCAGAAAAATCTGCTCCTGCTCGGAGAAGATCGTTTCCTTACCACCATCCTCCTCAGAACATTCCCGAACAGGAAGATGATGTTCCTGCCCCAGGCCAGATGTCGAACCATAGTCCCAGACACCTTCAAGATACTCCTTTCCCAACGCCGGCGATGGATCAATTCAACGATTCACAACCTCATGGAGCTCGTCCTCGTTCGCAACTTGTGTGGCACGTTCTGCTTCAGCATGCAGTTTGTCGTGTTCATGGATCTGCTCGGAACCGTGGTGCTGCCGATCGCCATTGCTCTGACCTACACCCTCATCGTCGGGATGGCGATATCACCCCCAAAGACCTTTGAGGAAGCTATCCCGCTAATGCTCCTCGTCGCTGTTCTAGGTCTTCCGGCTATTCTTATCCTCATCACAACTCGGAAGGTCGTCTACGTCTTTTGGATGATGATCTATCTTTTCGCCCTTCCAATATGGAATTTTGTCCTTCCTGTCTATGCTTTCTGGCATTTTGATGACTTCTCGTGGGGAGAAACCAGGCAAGTATTTCTACGTATTTGTTAGGGACAAAAGGCACTTACATTTTCGCAACAGAAAAGTAGAAGGCGAGGCCAAGGGTGATGGACATGGAGATGGAGGGAAAGGTGGTCGAGGTGTGAGGTCCCGATGCGCAGGTGGGAAGATTGGGAGCGTTCGAGATTGCGCAAGTTGAAACGCGAGGAACGCCGGCGACGCGACTTTGAACGACTTCAAGCTGGCGGCTACATGACAGGCGATCGCGAGTATTTGGCTGCTCCCGACACCCGCAGTCAATATGACGGATCAGATACAGTATCTCTCAGCTCTTCAGACGACGACCATTGGGGCACACAAATTGGTGCCTATAACGAACGCGACACTCAATTCCCTCCTCCGCCCGTCGCCCTTATTCTTCCTCCAGGGGGAGCACTAGAAACAGCGAAAACAGTCGGTGGTGCCGAGCTGCAGGCCATGCTGGAAATGGGATTTGATGACAAGCCGACACCACCGAACTCGACCTACGTTCCGCGTTATCAGCTAAGTGATGGGTCAACGACACAGCTAGCAAACATGAATGGGAATGGCTACTCTCCACTAGCACAGGCGTCCGAAGCAAACCTCGTCCAACCGCCCCCTCTACATAATCCACTATCGCCAACATCTCCATTAACGAATATGGGAAGCGGTGATTCATCATGGCGGGGCCCGCCACGGACAGGAAACGAAACCCCGACATATGGACCTCTCGGACCCCTAGACCCTTCGAGCAAGTTCTGAGCAGCCTCCTCCTTCCCATCTCGCATGTTTATCCTCCACACGCTGGATCTCGTTCACATCATACGCTATACCCATCATACAATGTCACTCACGTAGCTCTGCACATCACTTAACTGCATGATCAAAGTTTCCTAGTAGCCACACCTTCCTCTAATACCCTTCCAATCCTCAGCCATTCTTGTACATACATCTGGGATATTCTTGGGCTGTCTTTGATCTGGTTTCGCCATGTTTTTCTTTCTGCATCTAGCACACTTCGCATTCTTTCTTACACTAAGTATATTAACTGTGGAAACGTCAGTAAACTTAAGGAGCGGAAACATGATGAACTTCGAAAGACAGGGGAACGGATGACGTATGCTACGGCATTTCGGCACGCAGTCCGTCGTTGTCCATGAAGCAACGCGGCCACACTGCCATCGTTTGCGTAGGACACTACCACCTAACACCTAGACTTTCTGCAGTCATCTTCTACTTCTTCAGAATCCTACCACTACTCGTATCTGAGGCCGCGTACTTTCAAGTGCAACGACGACTGAATGACCCTTTCCAAAGATGCCTTGGTGTGTAGTCCCTCAACCATGATTCTATGTTCAGTGGTTTACAATCGGATACCAGTGGGCAACAGGGCACGATGAAACCGTAGAGGTCAACCAAAGAGCCTTGATCGACAAAGTCCTTGCACGATATTCTGGAGAATTCACCGTGTTCCGCGAACTCCTCCAAAACTCCGATGACGCGCAGTCCAAGGCAGTTGAAATCAGATTCGAAACTCAGTCATTTCTAGATAGAAAGAAGCAAGTTTTACCAGAAGGAATACCAGGAGATGTGCAGACGAGGCCGGATGCCCCGTTGCCAAACTTAAGGACGACGCATGTGTGTTTACACGTTATGTGCTTGTTCTACTCGTTGAAACCTTTAATTGCGACAGGTGCACCAATGGACCTTTAGAAATGACGGGAACTTGTTTAGAGATGAAGACTGGAATCGGTTAAAGAAAATAGGTCTGTTCGTTGGTTGCATCGCACCTGCGAACCCCTCTTGACCATTAATTACAGCTGAAGGCAACCCTGATGAGGAAAAGATAGGAGCGTTTGGCGTCGGTGATTCATTTTACATTCTCCCTGGTGGTTCAGAGTACTAATACATCTGGTCTGCTAGGGTTCTATAGTCTTTTCTCGGTCACTGAGGAGCCTTTCGTGACGTCAGGAGGTGAAGTTGATTAACCTCTAGCTGCAAGAGTGTTCCTGAGTGTATCGCAGATCAATGGATGGGCTTCTACTGGAAGGACGGGAAAGATCAGGTGAGAGCAAACAGCTCAGCTGTTTCTCCTTCTAAGCATTTCGACCAGCTGTACGCACGACGAGGGCAGCTTCCGAACGAACAACAGGACACAAATACTTCGTTCACCATGGCCCTACGAGAACCAACGCCTGTCCCTGTGCCTTTCGACTTCACTAGGTTTCTGGCGTCGTCGCTTACTTTCATGAGGTATCTCTCAGAGGTTAACGTATTTTACGATGACAAGCAGCTCGTAAAGTTGAGCAAAGCAACGGGCGTTCCACGGCCATTAAGCATCCCTGCTGGTCTCAACAATCGTTCTCCAACTGGTATCATGACTGTTGACGGGATCCAATCTACACGTGCGTGAGCATGACTGACATCGATTCACGCTTCAATTTTTAAATTGCATTTTATAGCGCTTCGTATTCAAGCGGAAGTCATGAAATGGATATATTTGTCTGGGACAGAAAAGAAGCGTCTAGTTCTGACAAAACAGGTCAAGCCAGCGAACACTGGTGGTGGATTTTTTGCTTCCATCCTGTCGTCATTTTCCGGAGCTGCTTCACGGGCTCCTACACCCCAACCACTCCCACCACCTCCACCGAAGGCCGTGGATCCTCTATCTACAAGTGAAACCAGTGTTTCTTTGTCCATATATTCCGCTTCTATTCGAGTGAAATTGGACAAAAAGATGACTGCGGAGATACACCGTTCAACTAAGAAAAATCCTCCAACCACAATGAAGTTCGAACTTATATATGTTCGTTGACCACCCTATCCGTTCGTTAGTTGATTGTTGAACCTCGCATATCTCAGACAGCAAAGGACGAATATGACGCAAGCTGTGAGGAGGATGCCCAACAACTCGAGGCGACTGGGAGCATATTTCAAGGACTTCGTGCAGATCTGCAAGGGTAAGCTTCATTTTTGCGCCTTCTCGATGGCAGGTGAATAAGTTGTAGAGCTGGTACTGCCCGAGTCTTCATTGTAAGTTTAAACATCTCAACAGAAAGCGTAGACTCACGCATATTACGCAGGGTCACAGTACGGCTCAGAGCACTGGGTTGGGAGGCCATGTCGCCGCTCGTTTTATACCCACAGTTGAACGAGAGTCGATCGATTTCATGGATCGCCACGTAGCCAGTATGTGTACCTATTACTCCAAACACTTGAATGGGGACTCAACCATTTTGCACAGTATGGAACAAAGAGCTACTCTTTATCGGAGGATTCCTCTCAAGGGCAGCATACGAAATCGAACTTTCCACCGTTCGGCAACAATGGGAGGCTTTAAGTTCGCCTAACGAACCCATAAGTCCCGAAGCCCGGTCAAGAGCTACGAAGGGTGTTCTCCATGCTCTTAAATTCTTTATGTTCTATCCCTCAACACCATCGGCCGAGGTATCAAGCTTAATGGAGGCAGCCTTTTTCGAATGCTCTTCGAAAGGCCTTTTCCCTATTATGTCCAGCAAAGGTGTTCGAAACTCCAAGGACGTTCGCCTGCCCAATCCAGAGTTCACCGGGTTCCTGAAAGATCTGGCTGTTCTTCCTGAAGAAATCGTAAACGGCGCTCCATCTGTAATTGCATCCCTGCATGAACGGGGTCTGATAAAGGACATCAACTTCAATGACGTCTTGCAGGAGCTACAAAGACGGCCTTTGAAAGAAGAGGAGGCTATTGCTTGTCTGCAGTGGTGGATCAACAATTTTGAACGAGGAAATCGGAACGTTCCAACGACCTTACGCTCGCAATTAATCAACGCCACGATCCTCACAGTTGGAAATGAAGATGACCAGAAAATCATCCCTTTGGCGTCCGTGAAACACGTCATCAACCCAGCAAAAATTACAGGTCGCATTCCTCCCGAATGCCCGCTTCCAGATTGCCTTCTACCACTCAGCGTCAGTCAGTCTTTCAAACCTGAGAGCCTGTGTTCATCCTTTCCGTGGACCGAATTCACGATTGAACACTGGATTGTTTACCTCTGTGACGGGCGTACCTCTCTGCCAGCGCAATTTGATTTTTCACTGTCTCCTGCGTGGGCGGAACGAGTCATTACAACTACCTCTAACGCTTGGAAATTTTTACCTCGGTCCTCCAAAGAGTCAATCGTCGCACTGTTGCACGACAACGTTTGTGTTCCCACGTCGAACGGGATGAAAAAGCCAGAAGAGTCTTACTTTCCTAATGTCAACATATTTGGGGATCTTCCGGTTATAACTTTTCCTACACTTCAAGCTATAAGAGGTCCAGTAGAGGTACTGTTGACGGATCTTGGTGTCCGGAAACATGTAGAGCTTCAAATCGTTTTTAACAGGTGAGCGCTTCTTATATTTCCGCAAGAAAAGCTGATCACAGTTCATCGATAGGATGATCAAGACAAACACGTGGACTGTCGCAGACCTTATGAAATATCTGGTCTCCGTCAGAGACACGCTCGCAGAAAACGAATTGGAAAGGCTAAAGGCCACTGCTATATTTCATAGCGAGGCAGAGATGGAAGACACTCAAGGAAAGCGGCCACGCTACAAGGCGGCTCAATTGTACGAACCTCTTGATGTCTTACGCGGACTTGGCTTGCCCGTTATTGATTGGGGCCATAAAGCTAAATGGAGGAGTTCCTCAGACGAGGGTGAGTACAGTCACTCTTCATTCACGAGAGTGATCCATAAGTTTATGCTAGCGAAGTTCTTATTCGAACTTGGACTCCAACGTTACCCAATTTTGGAAAAGTTAATTGACCTCTGTACTTCCAATGATGCCAACGTTTGTTCTTCATGTTGTACTGATCGACGCTCAGGATAACAATGTTTTGCCAGATTCGCTCCTCCTCCTTGAAATATCTTATCGACAACCTTGGATCACGATATAAAGACTACGACCCTGTGAATTTCAAAGACGTTGCCTTTATTCCCGCTTTAAAGGGTTCCGACTCCCAGCTGGGGACCATAAAAGAAGTAATTCACAACCAGTGACACACATTCGAGCTAATGTCTCTCTCAGGTCTTTTCTAATGCCGAGTGGGCGTCCTTGGGGTTCCTAGTTCTCGATCCTAAGTATCGTGGTGATGCCAATAAGCTCCTAGTGAAAGAGAACCCCCCTGCACCTCAGTTGGTTACGCACCTCCGAAAGACTCCTCCTGCAGATGAGTTGCAAGCTACCAAGTGGTTTGGCCTATTCGCCACCCGTGTTAACGGTATGTTTCTTTCTCGGCTGCTTGAACGTACATCTAACATCATTGCAGATTTCAAGAACTCAGATCTACAAGTCTTGTCCCAGCTGCCCTTTGTACCAGTCAGACTCGAGAAGTCTGCTACTGCACCCCTTATACGATGGTTTCCGCCTTCTCAATGCTATTTGGGCAACTCGACTGAGACTTTCCACTCCAAACTCTTTACATTTGTTAACTTTGGCACCTCGGCCAACGCATTTCTAAGTGCATGTGGAACGCGGAACCAGCCCACCGTCGAGGAAGTCGTTAAAATGCTTCTTGACAACCCGCGCAGGTTCTATGACTTGGCTGGCGGGCCCACAAAGTGAGCATCGTGCTCTCGTGATATTCCTTAGACTGATTTTCTTTAGCTTCTTAGCCGAAATACGCAATGTCGCCGTCAATGCCAAAAATATCTCTCCGTCTACCATTCAAAGAATGAAGAGGTCACCTGTCCTTCTTGGCCTTCAACGAAAACCGAGAGATAAGAAGGGTGATTCAGACCAATGGGATGATGATGAATGGGACCTTGTCTATGACCTCAAACGGCCAAACGAGATTGTCATAGCTGACGATACACAGGCATTTCAGACATTCAGTGACTCTGCTATCTTCACTTCTCCTCAGGAGGACATAATTGAAGGTATGTAGCGACTTTAGTTGTTCGTCAAAGTGTTTCGACTTGCGATATCAGACTTCTACATCAGCCTTGGATCACCTAGACTGAGCCGGATCGTCAGAGAAGAGTACACGCCCTCTGGCCCCGAACTACCTTCTTCGAAACGTGCCTTAGAAACAAGGTCCCTAATACTTGAGCGTCTACCTCTGTTCCTACATGAGCACACCCATGCTCGCACACGAGTAACTTTTTCTTGGCTGTCCTCAAATAATAATTTTGTCGTCAGAAGCTTCGGGAAGATCGCCGCGACGAAACACCTGAACCTTGGTGAACTCAGATTGTCTCGACGACAAGATGCCTCAGCTGTGGGGAGAAGGGTGGGCTCTGGACCTATTGAGCTGTGGATTGCTGACAGCTCGCAGATTGACATGTATGAGTAAGGTCCTTTCCTAGCTTACACAGAGCGCTGCACTCAACAATGAAATGAATAGGGTGGCCACATCCCTGAATCGACTTATCTTCGATTCTCCAAAAACGAATGATGCCTTACTATTCATGACGATTTTATCAACAGACCTTCGGTCCCTAAAACGAAGAGGCTATAATGGTGCGAAATCCATAATCACAGCTCTGCAGGTTCTGACCTTTTTCGGTAGTTGATCGTATCCTTCGTCAACAGAAAGAAGCACGGACAGCTGCAGAGCTTGCTAGGGTAGCCAAAGAGAAGGAACAGTCCGAATTTGCCCCACCACCCCCATACAAGGATGCGCTTGGTCCGGAACCGAAGTCTATCGTCGAAACAAAAACCCCGCCAGCAAACCAGGCACCAGAGAACCGTCCTTCATCTTCCTCACCCTTCCAACTGTCGAACTTCTTGAAACGAAAGCTGGACGCAATGGCAGCGGGTCAATTCGATAAAATCGCAGAGAGCATCGCGAAGGAAATTGCCTCGGGCGGGATGACACCAAGCCTGCTCGAAAAAGTTGCACAAGAGATTGCCAAGCGCATTAGTGCAGGCGGAGTCACCGATGGCCAGCTGGAGAAGCTTGCAGAAAGTGTAGCAAAGCAAATGTTAGCACATCAAGCGTCACCCAGCCAACTCGAACAGCTGGCGCAGGCTGTCGAGCGGCAGGTTCCTGCCAATGATTCTGCCAGCCCCCAGCTTTTGAGATTTGCAGAGCTTCTGAGGTTGCAAATTCCAGGCGGCTCCGCGGACAAACCCCCACCGATACCTGACAAGTTGCCTTTATCTGCATCTGGGAAGCCCCCACCAACGATAGGAGGAACGCCGTCGATTCTAGGCCCTTTTGGAGGTTTAAGCCCATTTGTGGGGACATCGCCCAGCCGAGGCCGAACGCCAGATCTTGGAGTGACTCCATGGAAGAAAATCTGTAGGCTGGACTTCGTCTATCATTTTCCCGGATTAACGCCTTGGTTTCAGCCGATAACATAGAGCTTGCTGTTCAATCTTGCAAACAAGAAACAGGAGATCTCCTCCACAACCGAGAAAGCATGCAAAAAGTGAAGGAAAGCGTGGATGACGGCTACTGTGACATCTCAGGCCGTAAAGATAACCTCCACCATATCGGTATGTCTGCGACATGAAATATTCCCCTCTTGTCAAATATGACTAAAAATGATCACAGCCCAAATGGGTCCCGTAAAGATATACCTGTCGGATGGTAAAATGCCTCTATTTCTTTTGGGATGCAAGCTAATGGATGCACTTGTCCAGAGGTGTTACCGTCCATCTCACCGCAGGTGTTCCTTCAGGAGAAAGAACAATCCATCAGCCGCTTCATTCACATCATGCAGACATTGGCCAGTGTCTATGAGCTGCCCGTTTCTACACTTCATATCTTTTACGATCTTCAAGGGGGCATTATCGGCTTCAATCGCAATAGTAGCATATTCCTCAATTTGCGGTATTTTATTGAATGGCGTAGGTCCCCCTTATCTTTCGCCTTGATGCTATTCTCATTCTGGCAATAGACGACAGCGATGTCCTGAGTGGGAACTTGGAGCCTGCATACATATCATGGTATGGCACAGGGGAATAATCTTATCTCGTAAAGACTGACCCCGGTATTGCAGGTACTTCACAATCGCGCACGAAATCGCGCACAATCTTGTACACCCACACAACTCTGAGCACGAGTTCTATTTCTCTGCCATTTCAGAACGCTTTCTTACCAAACTAATCCATATCTTGGGAGGCAGGAAGACCTTTGACTGATGTTGGAGCACTTTGTACCTTACTTATGTAATACATGATCGTGTGATTTTGCGGAAGGCGGGCCGTGGGATGAGTATCATTCAAGCCACCTAGGTCACGGTCCAGTACACAAAACAGCCCCAATGCCTAATGCCAGCTTCTCCTCTCCCGCTTCCGGTCATTTCCACGCCTATCGTCCACGCCCATCATCCCCTGCGCATCCCTCTAACAGAATACCTTCGCCGATCCCATGGCTTCACGCCGCAAACCCCAGTTCACATATAAGTCGCCCACCGCACAGGACAGCGTCTTAATTACTTTATCTCGTCCAAAAACAAAAACAAATGGCACACACCCAAGATCCACGAAAACATCTCGAAGCAATAGCTCCCAACAAGAGCACCGTTCACGCCATGTCGCTCGGCGCATGCACCCTACGTCCCCTCCCCTCCCGCTCTTCCATCCACTGGGTTATCTTGCAATGTCGCTTCCACCGCTTGACCCGATTCGATATGGTCTACCAGTGTTAGCCACCCCCGATGAGCCGGACGACCAGTCCTCCCATCGTTCCAGAAGAGCCGCAAAGCTGCGTGAGAATGATGAAGACATCCACGCCGTCCCATCTCCCACCGTCAGCACGATTGCGGCGGTAGCCGCGCGTGAGGCAAAGGAACGTGCAAGTCCTCGGAAGCGACGTGTGGGAGGGGCCAAACGCAAACGGAGAGATGCTGATGACGGGGACGCCACCTATCCTGCGAAGAGGACGAGGGTGCCGCGAACCGCCAATGGCCAGACCGAAGAAGACCCCGTCGTGGATGGGGAACAGCAAAGCGACGTTGCGGTTGTTCCAGAGGGGCTGGCCGAGTTTGCGGAAACTGCCCAGCGCCGTTCAACGCGTTCGAAGGCTATAAAACGTCGTGATTCAAGCGCGAGCGAAACAACTTCCAATCTGGGATCGGCACCCGCTGTATCAGCGCAACCTGCAGGTGACGCAACGACACCAACCATTGCGACGACTATTGACGCGGTGGCTGAGAAAGTGGAGGGACCCGATCGATTATCCGGGAATGACGAGAAGGAAGAGGGAGAACTAAGTGAGGAGCAGCCTAATCCATAGTAGGGGGTGTAAAAAGCATGTATGTACGATTTGATCTATCCTTGTAGCATTGCCTGTCCTTTGAATTATCAAGTGAATGATTGCATTTCAGAAAGTAGCGTCATCGGGGGGGATTCTATTCGCGAACCCCCTTGGTTTGCGAACCCCTCCGGGAGATCAAAGTTTAACGGCACTTCCGGCCGACCAGCCGCAACAGGCAGGAGCCGTGACTGGCCGGATTAGGGTGCCGGAGTAGCGCCTGCCATGACATCATACGTTTGCCTGCGCCTGCATGTACTTAGGCCTTAGGACTCACCTGAGGAAACCTGGCGCTCGACGAACGAGCCAACAATGTCGACATCGCCCATCCGTGACCCGCATTCTCAGCACTCGCGCAGGTCATCTAAATCTGCATTCTTTTGTATTCGGTGCCTGACTAATCTCTCGACTTCAGCCTAGCAGACCATGACTGCCAGTGAGGCATGCTGCTATTATCCACGCACCACGTTGAAAGGCACGAGGACGAATGAAAAAGATAATCTTCGGATATGTTGTGGGGGTTCCGGGTGGGTCCTTCCTCTTCAGCGTCAATAGAAGATCCCGAGCAGTGAGAAACACTCTTCCTCGCTCATACATTTCTGAAGGGAGGTCACGAAATTGAGCTGCACCCTCGGTGTACCCTTCTTTAAGTGCGCAAAAACCTTCAACTAAATCATGATTTCCACGTTTCAACTCTGTTATCGTTGCTGATATCACCGCTTCCTCCGAGGCTCTGCGCTTGTTGCCTCCTGCCCTCTGGTATGGTCAGATATGTCACCCATTCTTTCTGACCTATCCTCTCCACAGATTATTTTTATTCTCTGTGATGAGCACCTGGCATTGACCATATTGTTCCTCATGCACTTGAGTCATGAGCCTTGTTCCTGCTGTTGGAATTCTGCATTGCATAATGCGGTGTCGAGCGCCGCATCGCAGGAGCGGTGCGTTGTCGCTGCGAGAACGTAGGCAAGTAATATTTTGCATTTTATTCTTTCCGGGCGCTACGGGCAAGCGCCACAAGTAATTACATTTTATCTACGTTGTAGGTAAGCAGTGGATAATGGAATTGAACCCTCGCGCGATTGCGAGGGTCCCTGTTCTCACTCGAGTAGACGACGCGGACACGTTTATTTAAACACCTGCTCCGTGGCCAGGGAAGCAATCACCATTTACTACGTTGATTCCAATTTCCAGCGCTGCTGCCGAGGCTGAGCCAACTTATCAATCTTTAAGAAATATCTATGGGATGGCAAAGGTAGGGCCACACCAGCATGGGTAGCCTTACCAATACGAGAGCCCTAATTACCACCCTAGAATACAACTAAATAACGACTACTTATTCTGTTGCTGCTGCGCTGCATGACAGTGTGGTGCTTGTGGGCAAGCCCCTATCCGGACCAAATGTCACAGCTGTGACAATATTTGTCATCCCGTAATCTCTCCGAAAGGCGTCCGGGATCTGGGGGTTCATGAGGGGTTCGCACAAATATGGGGTTCGTGAATAGAATTCCCCCGTCATCTGACCACTTGCTGGCTTCTGACTGGCTACAACGGGACGCCCGATGCCCTGAGACTAAAACGACTCGCGCGATTTGGTGAGTCAATTGAAAGTCTACCGTTGTGCAGTACCTGAATGTGCACCGTGCTTTCTGGCATCCTTACAGTTTCCCATCGCTTTGTTGCATGTGATTGGCCTTGCTTTGCGTGCAGCTCTATGTTTAGCGACGATGAACATCGCTCCCATGCTCGAACAGCGATGATGTGCACAGGGACGCGCCCTGGGACCTTGCGAGAATGGCCCACAAGGAGCGAGCTCGAAGTCTCGGATGCCCTCCTGGGTGGCGAGGGTATGTGCTGCGAGGCCATAAAGTGATCGACGCGGAGGACGTACGGCGACGATTTGTGGACCCCACGGGGCCCCACATCGCGGGGAGTCTACTAGTACGCGAGGCTCTTGATTTCCAGGAATGGTGATGTAGATCTCGTGACGATACGCATCAACGCACATCCAGAGAGCGCCTTCCAGAAGAGTCCGAAAATAGGCCCAGTGACATCTTTTCTGAACTCGCATCTCCGTGTCCCATGTGCTCTGTCTTCACGCACGATCCAATCTCCTTTGCTCCCTCCTTCGCCTGTCAACCGATATGCCTTTTGGAGCTCCTTCCTTACCCAACTTTTTATACGCTCCTCGTGAGCACTGGGCTTGCCCTCTCTTCCTCTCTCTCGCCCCGCGTCTCTCTTTCTCTTCAGAACGCGACGATGGAGGAAAATCGTCCTGCGCGACGAACCAGCGGCATGTACGACGCCCACTACGGCAGCACTCAGAGCCTCCAGTCTGGCGCGTCCTTGAGAGGTCACTTCGTTCTCTTTTTCGTCGCGTTCATTGCTCACCTTTGCTTCGTTCAACAGGGCATGCTGCTCCCCCAGCAGGAGTCGCCACCGCAACTCCCGCAGGTGTAGTACCCGCCGCCCCAGGCGCGATCAGCGGCTGGGAAGACCCAGCAACTCCTACCCCCGCCCCACCACCAGCTCCTGTGCCCTTTTACAAGAAGCGATGGTTCATCATCTCACAGATCATTATTATTCCTCTTGGAATCGCGTTGCTCTTCATCTTGCTCTTCCCCGTCGTCCGCGCCATCGTCCAGCTCGTTCTCCGCCGCTCAAACCTTGATGTCCAGGTTGCAATCATTGGGCAGCCCGTCAACAATTCGTAAGCCCGTTTCATGTTCGAGCATGCATTGAACCCCTTATATACTCCCTGAAACAGCTTTGGTCTGACCATGGAAGGATATGTCAGTTTCCATTCCACCCCTTCTCGTCTATCATCTGACGGGCCTTTCCCAGGTGTACAACACGGGTATTTTCTCCGCCAAAATCCAGTTTACAGAGCCAACCAACGTGTCATGGATCGAGAGCGACGGAACAGAGACGCCTCTGGGATATATGCAGATCCACGACCTGTCGGCCAAGCACAAACGCGCTGTCATCAATGATACCACTGTCTTCCACATCATAGACGAAGAAGCCTTCGGTCGTTTCTCCGGAAGCTTGATCACGTCTCAAAATTTCACATGGAGACTGGTCAGCTACAATCTGCGCGTTCAGGCTCTGAAATTCCCTGTGGCCAAAGGTCTGACTTTTGACAAACGGCTAACGATGAATGGTCAGTTCAGTTCCCCGTTCAAAGCAGCAAGCTGTCTTATAAAATATTATCCCCAGGGTTCAACAGCTTCGATGGCAACGTTGTTCTTCGGGATTTCCAGCTGCCTAGCGACAATCCTGAAGGAGGGATCAACTTCGTTGCAGTCACAGAGCTCGTCAATCCCAGGTAGGCGCCGGTGATCCAGCTATAGGCTGCAATTACTCAAATATGGCTAGTCCATTCTCGATCGACCTCGGCACCGTTGTTTTCGCCCTTTCTTACGAAGGCGTTGCTCTTGGGCTCGGGACTGGAACAGGAACGAAGATTGTGAGCTGCTTCGACTGCTCAGCGAAGGTGTACCTGTTAATGACGTACTGCAGAACCCCGGTAACAACACCATCACGCTGTCTGGGACCCTGGAGCGCCAAACACAACCGTCTGACCTTGTCATCGTCTCACAGTTGTTCACGCGTTACTTGAACGGCGAGAGCTCTCCCGTCATCGCCAAAGGACGATCGACTCTCCAGTCGGATGGTTCTTCCATTTCGTGGCTATCGCAAGGCCTTCAAGACTTGGAACTCAATGTCCCATTCAAAGCATTTGCGGCCATCGATCCTATTCGCTCTGTCACCATTGGCGAAATGGAACTTCAGTTCAGCCAGGATCAGCCGTGGTCTCCAGCTGCAGAGAGTACTTCAGTGCAAGCTGCGCTGCGTTAGTGAACTTTTTCTCATCCGGCCAGTATATTTGCTAACTAGCGGGCGTAGAGCTTCCATTCGGTTTCAGTTTGGAGATTGGACAGATCCAGAATGAGTTCATGATAACGAAAGATGGCAACAACGTTGCTGGTCTTTCCACGGTATGTCTACTTTGCTTGTAGAACGGTGGCTCTTTATCATTGATACGACTAATCTATCTACAGCCTCTCGGTGCTTCTCGCTCTTCCGTGACGGTTCTTAGCCCGACAGACACGACTGGCACTATTAATATTTCTATCACGGACACTAGACTCAGCTGCCCTGAACCTCAACATGCCGCCTTTGCGTCATTCAGTACGTCTTTCTCCCGTCATATCCATCATTTAATTCTGATTTTGTGCTCTAGATGAACTACTGACTAACTCGGATGTGGCTGAATTCCGTTTGGTTGGAGAGTCCCGAGCCATCGCGAACATGAGTATCGGCCAAATCACTCTTGACCCTATCAAAGTCAATGTATCCACTAGCCTGAAGGGATTGCAAGGTTTGAAGGGCATGACCACGATTGAAAGTGTTGATGTTACTGGTGGCTCGACTACAGGAATCAATCTTGGTATCGGAGGTAAGTGCGCCACAATGGTTCCCACGACCGTCCCGATTGAATCTTTTTAGTGACGATCAACAACCCCTCGAATCTCGTTCTGTCCACTGGCGACCTTAGTGCGCATATCCTTATCTTTTATCCGATCCATTCCAATCAAATCACTCGTAGCTTTGCAGCTCTCACGAGATGGCGCCATTCTGGGCACGGCGCTCATGCCAAATTTGACCCTCAGCATGGGGAACAATACCGTCAACGCCACGTCCAGCTTTGCGGTACTTGAACTGATCATTTATAATTTTGTTGCATCGCCTCATATATCGTTATAGGCAAATGGCAGTCCCCAAGGACTTCAAACTTTGAACGATTTCGTCGGCCAGAAGGGTTTGTCTTCTAAACTACGCGCCTGCGCCAAACTCTGACAGCAGTTATCAACTGGTAGATGTTCAACTCACGATCTCAGGGTTCGACGGAAGCACAGAAGTAACTTCTCTGGCTCAAGCATTCAGATCTTTGAGTCTCGACGTCACACTTCCGGCTCTCAAGACCAACCTTCTGAACTCCGCCTCGCTTGAAAGTGAGTCTTCTTGTTTATCCCACTGTCAAACCATTCTCAGCATCTTATACAGTCTTGCCAACAACTGGAAGGGAAAACAATATCGCCCACGTCATTGTATCCCTCGAGAACCCATTCTCCGCGCCACTTACAATCACGAAGGTCACATCCACAGTTACTTCCTTCGGCATTCCGTTGGGCAGCATCGAGCAAGAAGTTACGTTCAACTTGGCTCCCAAGTCGACCACAGAGTCGCCATCGCTTAACCTTGACATGAACTTCGACCCCTCGGCTTTGTTCACCGTGACACGTGCTCTCGCTGTTGAAGCCGGTCTCGACGTTGCCCCCCTTGATTCGATCGTGCAAATTGGTGGATATCAGTACTTGTCGACCACCTCAGCGTCGAAGCGGGAGATCACGGAGCGTCAAAGCGATTTGTTCCAGTATGCATCACAGCCGTGTGCAAATTTGATCCATTTGCTAAACTTCTCGCAGGGGATTCGATTTAACAACTTTCGTCGGAAACGCCTTCAAACAGCTGAAGTCTGATGTGCAGCTATCGACTGATGTTACTATAGGTATGTCTAGGCATATACCAATGCACCTTCGTTGTTTGACGTCCTCCAGGTGAATACCAAACAACGTTGACGTTCTCGCAAGAAGGCCTTCCTACCAAGACGGACGATACCCTTGACCTCATTCTTCCTATTCTCGCCGAGCCCATTGTTCAGAAGATTGTCGGAGAATCGCTCTTAGGGTATTCTCTCTTCTATCTACCTTCTTGCAAGTCTGTTTATCTAATAAACGTTTAGGCTTGACACAGTTCTGATCTTGAACCCCGAACAAAATGGATTCCGTAGGTCGCCTTTTCTTTCCTGGGGACTATTTCCAATGGGACTCTGTACGTTTAGAGACTCGCTTGCGTGGAACAATCAGAAACGCCGGACCATGTACGTCTCGAACTCCGTGATCAATCCAACCATTGATCCTAACGTCCAATGTTAGTCGACGCGACTATCTCCTTCCCATCGGGCCTTACCATTTCATGGCAAGGTCGTCCCATTGGCAAGGTCGCAATGAGCGAGGTTACGATCGTGGGTGACATCGGTGGCACCATCGACGCCGAGTCGAGATTTGAGGTGCTGGACGCTAGCCATTTGACCGAGTTCACCAAAGTAGGTCACTCCAGAATTTTTATTTTTATTTTTATTCTATTCCGAAATTTACCGTTTACCTTAAGACTCTTCTTACGGCCGAGTCATTTACCTGGGACATTTCCGGAGAAAATCTAACAGGTGCGCATCCTCAATGGTCTTCTGGCTTTCACCAAGTGCTAACACCTTTCTTTCCTTTTTCAGTCAACGCCCTCGGTCGGTTCTCGCGGCTCAATGATACAAGTTCGCTTTCTTACCTTCTTCGATAGGTATCTCGGTTGCAGGAATCGCGTTCTCTTCCAGGAGCGTCACCCTCAAGGGCTTCAACGGATTACAGGGAGGCGTCACCATTCAGACGTTCGATCTTCCGTCAGACGATCCTGCAGGTGGTATTCATCTTACCCTCGAGACCACTGCCGCGAATGTAAATGTTCAATTTTCTCTGAACCAGTCCAAGTCTAATCTTTTATCTCTAGCCCTCCCAAGTCGGCATTCAATTGAGTTCACTCGGCTTCAACACATTCGTAGACGGCGTTATGATTGCTCCAGTCGCGAGCGCTGGCTCCGTGACACTTGCCCCGACTTCCACGTCGGCTTTATCCCTTGTTGGACGTCTTATCCCTCAAGATAACCCAGCCGGCCTCGCTGTGGTATCTAAGATATTCAACAATTTCGTCGAGGGTAAAGATAGCAATGTCATCGTACAAGGAGCTAGCGCTGGCTCCAGCGATGTAAGTGCCTCTGGCGATTCTGAAGGTGCAGTGCATTGACTTACCCCCTTCAGATCACCTGGTTGAACGAGGGCATTAAAGCCCTTCAGATTGCTACCATCCTTCCCAACCGAGGGCCCCAGAACATCATCAAGTCCATTGCTCTCAACGAACTTACGCTGATGTTCTCTTCTCATTCGCCTTTCGCCCCTTCAACCAGTAGCAAGTCAACAGACGCCGCTTTTACTTTGCCCTTCGCTTTCCCTATCGACATTTCGGCTTTGCAGCAGACGCTCACACTTGGATTCCAAGGGACAAATTTCGCCGAGTTGGCAATTCCCAAAGGTCCGAGTACAACGGACGTCGAGGCTCGTGTCATCCACCTGGGCTTCTCCAACGTTCCTCTTGCTGTTTTCGACAGTCAACGCTCCACTTTTGAGCAGTTCGTTACAGCTACAACCGTCGGTTCGAGGCAAACACTCCGTCTTTCAGGAAGTGCGGATGCGGACGCGCGAACAGCAGTCGGCGTACTCTCTCTCAAGGGAATTGCCTTCTCTGTCGATTCCGATATTGCGGGGCTTCAAGGATTGGCCTCTCGCCCGGTGACAGTTGCCAACCTTGACGTCAACCATGGGTTCCCCGATTACCTCCTTATTAAGGTTGACAGCGCCTTATTCAACCCAAGGTGATTGATGCTTCCTGACAATGCGATCACCCTTCTGACGATATTCTGTTCCACAGCAACCTTACCATTGGTTCGTAAAGATATCACACGAGTGAGATGATCGGCTCATCGAAATACAGGAACCGGCGATGTCTCATTCTCTCTGCAATTCCAGTTAGTAGCTTACCTTCTTCTGCACGTTCGTTCGTCTGACTTCCGTTCACAGAGATCAAACCATTGGTTCTGCTGATATTGTAAGATATTTCTAAAGAACGTATGGGCTCAAGTCCTGAAATATGCCGTAGGACAACCTGGTTGTTTCACCTGGCAACGCAAGTTACCCTATCGGCGAGTTCTTCCTTCGTACTAGTTAATTGAAATGTTTCTCATTTTTGCCTCCAGATGTCCACTACGCACCGCAGGGAGGCGCTGTTGGTGCAGGTCGAACTCTGCTACAGAACTACATTCAAGGCGTCGACTCGCAGACGACTATCGCAGGGTCAACTGTGTCTACGCCCATCCAATCATTGCAGCAGGCTCTGTCTCGTATTCATCTGTCGCCTGTCACGATTGCGGGCATCCACCAGAACCTGATCGAGAGCGTGTCGCTCGTCTTCCCTCTCAACATCGTCGATACTGGCATCGCTTCAACGGCCTTCAGGCTTGTTAACCCATTCACTGCTAGCATCAATTTGTTGAGGGTCTCGGCTGTCGCGTCTTTCCACGGGATAACATTGGGCACGCTTCCCAGCATCGACGCCTCTGCCCATCCTATTCGGGCTGAAGGACACGGCAGCGTAACCTCACCCGCTCTGCCGCTCAACTTCAATCTGAACCCGATAAATATCGTTCAACTGCTGCTATCCACCTCTCAAGCGAACGGCGTCGATCTCGGACCCCTTATTCAGATGTTCCAATTCCTCCTCGCCAATCCAGACTTCAAGCCACCTGTACGTTCCTTCAACGCTGATAGCAGTTCATCGAAGCTAAGCATCCTATATTGAAGGTCAAAACCACTGTTGATACACAGGCTCCAACCTGCGTCAGGTAGTTGCTTGTTCTCTATTCCGGACACGGAAGTTGCTAACCAAGACGTAGCGGAAATCAATTCGACGCCGCAGGTGCTATCCTGAAGTCCTTGGCCGGCCTGAAGGTCGATTTGGCCGTTGAATCGAGTGTCAAACTTGATGACTGTATGCTCTTGAAAATAAAAATTGAATTGTTACTGATATATCTAAAAGTCGCTACGGAACTTGCTTTCAGTCAGACCGGCGTTTTAGCTAACGTACGCAACTCTCACTTTTTCACAGTTGAAATGCAATTAACGGGTCCTCCTGCAGACCGACCGTACTGCTTTGTTCTTGGTTGGAGCCGTCTCTGGTCCTGTCGCACAAAATCTTGTCGATGGAGCAGTCCTTTCGTTCAGCGAGAGTATCATTACGTTCGTCATCATTCTTTTCTTAACCTTTGAGCAAACGTTTACCCCCCAGACTAGAAACATTTCAAACGATGGATTCGATCTGGCTCTTAAGGGTTCACTCACTAACATTGGCCCGCTGGACGCCGTGATCTCATTCCCTGAGCCCGTAACGTAAGTGCCAACATCCTTCGAAGTGGTGATTTGGTATTAACCATCGTCTAGTGTCACCTGGGAAGGCAAAGACATTGCCCAGATAGCTCTCCTGCCAAGTATAACGCTCTTTATTCTTATTGGCTTCTAACTAAATTTCCTCATAGTCTGCGCCGCTGCTAACACCGGGCTCCCTACCTATGAGACTAACGCAAGATTGACAATCACAGAGTCGTCTGGGTGCGTGGGGAAATTTAATTGTGTAACTTTATCCTTGACCTCACTTTCACCCAATTTTCACTAGGTTTACCGAGTTTGCCACCTTCTTGCTCCACGAACCGAGCTTCGAATGGACGATATCGACCCCCAAGCTCCGTGTAGCGGCTCTCGGGACCATCTTCGATAATGTATCTCTTTCGAAGAAGATTTCTCTGAAAGCTTTCAATGGTCTTCCAGGTATCACCATCAGCAACTTCCAGCTTCCATCCGATGATGCGGCAGGTGGTATTCACATTGAGACTGATGCCAGCATTCCGTCGGAGGCCCGTGAGTCCCACAAAAACTATTTTCTGCTGTCGCGTACTGACGTGGGTCTGGTACCAAGAAATTGGCATCGACTTGGGCTCGGTCACTTTCCAATCGTTCTTCAAGGGAACTCTGGTCGGACGTGAGTCTTTCTCGTTTCAGCAAACCAAAAAAAACAACGTACTCAGCTACAACAATAGCCCTCGCCGCTGAAGGCCTGGTCCTTCGCCCCAGTTCTGTTGCTGATACTCACCTGAGCGGCCGTATTGTTCCCCAGAGCGGTGGCGATCTTGATGTCATGGGCGAACTGTTCTCCGGTTACCTGAATGGACAGAATCTGACCCTCCAGACCAAGGGCTATTCGGTTCAAGGAGCTAATGGCCCCGTCGAGTGGTTGAGTACCGCTTTCAAAACTTTGACAATCGACGTCATCTTACCAGGAGAGAAACTTCAAGTCTGTCATCTCTTTTTCAGTCCGTGAAATCTCCGCTAATAAAACTCTTAGGTCATCGAAGAGATCAATCTCAACGACTTGTCTGTGACGCTCAAGTCTCAAGACCAAGCGTTTGCACCACCAACTAGCTCGAAGAATACAGTTGCGAAGTATAGGAATCCTTTTGGCTTCTCCTTGCAAGTTGTGCGGGTCGGACAAACAATTGTTCTTGGCTCCCATGGTGTTCAAATTGCTCAGGCGAGTCGTTTATATCCTCTTGAGGAGATGGCAACCCTAACAGCTGTATAGCTCGTCATTCCTCCAGCGCGAGCCGATGGCGGTGTTTCCACCGGCAACTCGGTGGACCTCAACATAGTATACACGGATGTTCCTCTACAGTCACTCAACAACGCTGCCTTCCAACAACTTTTCGCTGCCGTCACGCTCACGTCCGACCTGGAAGTAGAGTTGACTGGTGCAGCCGACGTTCTGGCAAGGACAACTATTGGAGACGTTCCCATCTCGGGAGTGCCCATTGATGTCACTTCGCACTTGAAGGGTAATTATTCCAATACATGCGTTGTCCACTCGCATTCTGACTTGCCCTGTGCCAGGAATTGCCTCGTTCGGTGGAAACTTCGGTGTTAGCGATGTGATTGTCGCTGGAAGTGGAGGCGCAGGAGGCTCTGAGTATGTTAAGGCACCCTTGAAAACCACTCTCCAGAATCCTTCCAACATCTCCCTCGATACCGTGGGCGTATCCCTTCCCGTCCTGTTCAATGGCGTCGCCGTTGGTCGCGCTGCCCTCGATGTAAGGCATATACCTCTGATGTATGTGACGATAATTCTGACTCTCCCGTTAGGAATTCGCCCTCGTACCTGGATCGAATGTTGTGGACACCGAATTCCGCTACCAACCCGCAAACCCGAATGACACTGTCGCACAGGTAATGCACACTGACCGAAAAAAACTCCTTTGATCTAACCCTAGATATAGGCCTTCCTCGCGGAGTTCATTCAGACTGGAAACCAGATTGATCTCGTCATCGACGGAGACCTCTCCAGCTCGCCGTTCGCTTCACTGGCTCCTGCACTGGCCAATCTCCGTCTCGCAGGCCAATTGACTGGTAAGAGCATACGGTTCTTCTGTGTACATCGCTCTCATATGTGAATCCTAGGCCTGAATGAACCGACGTTCATCACCCAAATAGCCGTGATAATTACCTTGGAGTCACTGATCACCAACCTCGTCTCTGTCGACTTTACGGTAGGTTACCCTCACTTTGACAATGGTTCAAGCTTGCTTAACGTTACGGTCAGCTCCACAACCCTCTCGATGCCGATCTTGTCATTGAATTCGTTCAATCCGACTCTGGTGTCAACGGCCTCACGTATGCGCAGTTCAGCCAGCCCTTCTCCAACTTCGTCGTCCCTGCTGGAGCTACGGTTCATTCAGGGGAATTTCCCAACGTTTTACTAACACAAGGTGCAATCGCCTCGCTCGACATCATCCCTTTAGGATACCTCGATGTCCAGGCCGCAGTCACACTCAGAGTTGGCCAAGGCGGTTATCAGGTTCCCTACCTCAAGCTCTCACAAAACCGCATCCCAACCACCTATGATCTGGTCCTTGGATTTGCTGCGATGAAGAATGCCGCTATCTCGGCATCGCTCTCGGCATCTGGCTCCGAAACCGCCTCCTCCACCTCCGACGCTGCTGTCTCGACTTCAGGTGGCCCAGCCTCAACCTCAGAGCCTGCGACCGCCACTTCCACTGTCAATGACTCCGACATCCCTGTATCCACATCATCTGATGATTTCGCAAATGTGAGTCTGGCTCTATCATGATCTAATGAGTAAACTAACGCTGTTTTGCCAGACGACTACTGCGATAACACCTGCGGCGGCCGCAGTAGGTCCTACAACCACCCCCTAATTCGTAGCTGCTTTCACGATTGAGACTGATTGCCGAAATAATTCGGACAACATTGAAGTGATTCTGAGCGCCATATACCAGTCTAATAAGAACTGTGCAACATTGTTTTTATTATTTGCCTTTTTATTCGCACTTGCACCTTGTATGTAGTTCATTATACCATCATTTTTTGAGAAATGCATTGTATCAAATTTGCTCCAAGGTACAGGGTGCTAAGATAGGCGTACCATTCAGCTACTAAGCAGGAGGAAGGAATGCACCCCACAACAGAACAGAAATGAGACTCCAAAGGATGCTCCATGTCACCCATAGTCTGCCCCACTTCGTACTTTTTGAAAGAAGCCAAGCAGCTGCCCAATAAGTGAAAGGCATGGACGCTCCAAGGCGCAGGATAATTTGAACATGGGATGAAAAGAGTAGAATGCAAGCAAACACCGTTGCATGAATAGCATGTGGAACAATGGAAGCGTTCTGAAACGGGTCTTCGGAGAACAATGTCCTCCAGTGGAGCAGGCTAGGGAGTGCGACAGAGAGGTTGAAAGAAGCAAAGCCAAATATCAACGAGAAGGTTGGGGCTGCGATGAGAAAATTTGGCAACTGACTCGCAGTCCAGTAGCGTAAGAAGCCTACATTCCAGTATTTCGACTGGGTGTAGGTATAAATAGATGGAGGGGAATGGGTGCACCACTCGGGAACATCTGACTCGGAGCAGAATACGTCGAAAGCGAAAATATGATAGGATATAAATGGGCCCATCACTGCTGCTGTTAAGAGGGTGGCCTTGAGGAGCGTGCAGAAGCTGGGCTATTAGATCAGATAGACGGTCAAAAAACGACTCGTAGGATATGGGTCGATCACTTGCATGTTTGCCCGAGAAGAAAGGGTGAACTAACAAACCCCACAGTATAAATCCACTTAGAAAGATGCCGTTCGACCGAAAGATGCTTGCTAGAGCAAAGAAGGTGGAGGCCAGGGTCCATTGTTTGCGTGCGGAGTATAACATGCCTAGCAAATCCGTCAGCACCATCTAGGCGGGAAAAAATAGAACAAGCACACCTCGATAAGAAAAATAAGTGAAAAATGGCTCGTTGTATGGAACAATGTAGAGAGTTGTCGGGCTAGTTGGCAATAGCGAGAGCATCGAGGCCAGCAGCGCCAGATGGGGAGACTGCAGATGGTGCAGGGATAGATCGTATAGTGTCTGCGTCGTGTCGCAGGTTAATGCGATTGCTGCACCACCGACAACCATGTTCGAGATGGTTTCTTTTCCGGACAGGCGGTCGAGAAGGGCGCCTGAATAGCGCATGAGGAAAGGAGCACCTGGGAAGAAGGCCCACTCATGCTCGTAGACGTATCCACGATGGGCAATATGTAGAAAGTGAAGGAGGTCCCATCGTAGGAGGGGGATGGCGAAGGCGGAGGGTGGGGCGAGCAGAGGGGACGCGTCAAAGAGAGGAAGATGGGCAGCGAGGAGGACGACGACGACGAAGAAGAGGCGGGCGGCAGCGGAGAGGCAGCGGAGGAGGCGGCGGTTGGGATCATCCATGGCTTTCCCACGCCCATGCTTCCCGACGACAACAACCCCGTCCCCGTCCTCGCAGACTTCCTCTCAAATGTACCCCCACCCTTGACAGTCGTCCTCCTCCACCTCGCACCATGCATATCCGCGTCCAGGCAGGCTGTTGAAATCTCCAGCTGGGCAGCAACTTGGTACTATAGTTGGCTCGCACTCGCCGCCTGGTGGGTCGTCTGTCTATTCATAGATAGCACATTGCGGTAATCTTTCGCTGTTGTCGCCTTGGATACTCTTCTGACCGAATAATTATCTAGGCGCTTCTTGCCTTTCGTTGTGCTCGCTTTCATTGCGGCGGTACAGCGCCAGCGGAAGAATCAAACGCTTCAAACTCCCACAACTGAACAATCTCTTCGTACAATCATCACTGACCTGACAATCATACAAGCCCTTCTGCCGTCTATCCCCTCCTCTGTCTCATCCGTAGCCCTCCCAAAACTTCTTCGCGTTTGCGTCATTCTATATGTCCCCTACCTCGTCCTCTCCGTCTTCATCCCTTTCCGGATCATCTGTGCATTTGTCGGGACTATCGTCCTCACATGGCGAGCACCTTGGGCAATTATCCTGCGTGCTATCGTTTGGCGCAGCGCCTGGTTGAGATGGGCCGTATATAGCGCATGGGCCACCTTGACTGGAGATCCGCTTCCTCCTCGTACGATGTCGACTCAGCCGTCGAACACGTCGTCCGACACTGTTCAATCAGTCCGGTTCTTATTCACGGTTTACGAAAACCAGAGATGGTGGATGGGACTTGATTGGACAGCTGCCCTTCTTCCCGGAGAGCGGCCGTCTTGGTGTTCCTCCTCGCAGCACCACGTATCCCCTCCAAACGCGTTTGTTCTTCCTGACAACACCGCTGTTTATCTTCCCGATGGAAAGGGCGGCAGACTGAAACGCACTGCTATTTGGAAATGGGAAGAACCAGAGTGGCGAGTCGTCATCCATAAAGATGGCGGTAGTCTCAACAGGGTTGAACGCCCACTTCCAAGTCCAAAGGAAGAGACCGCAAACTCCAGTCGTTTGATTAAAGCGGCTGCAGGGCGTCTGCGAGACTCCGGAATAACGTCACCAACCTCAACGGAGAATGGACCCACAGGCACAGCTTCAGATGCAGGGCATTCCGCCGAAGACAAGCACGAGGGCGAAGATGAAGAAATCTTAACAGATGCAGATGGCTGGGTGTACGGGGACAACAAATGGGAGGCACAGAGTAACAAAGGCGGGATGGGCAAGGTGAGTCTCGACGTGTCTTTTTCAATAAAGTACAGCTAATCAGTCCGCCGAACAGTATACCCGTTACAGGCGTTGGACCCGGATTGCAGTGGTGTTTGAAGAAGTTGAGAACGTCTCTCCCGGAGAGATAGGAGTATATCGCGAAGAGTCGACGGCTCGGCCTGTTGAGGCAGAGCAACGAGTGGAACCTGTAGCACTCTCAGAATCTCCCACCCAGGACGCCAAAACCATAGGAAGCCCACCGCCAGACAGTCCTTTAAGACAGCGCCTGAGAATGGCTTTGAATAAGTAGCTGTTCTTCGCTGCCCGGTCCTCGTTCTCTTGCATGTTGCGTTCGTCCAGATTCTCATGTGTAACGGTGTTTGTATTCAAAATGCTACAGGAGATGTATGTGAATCTCAAGCTAATTAGTAAATTGGTTCGTGTAATGCGTAACAATATCAGGGTATAGAAATACAATCAAGGATTATCAATGGCTACAATGAGTTCAGATGAACTAATCATGAAGAGAACAAAGTTAATCAAGAGGGGAGAAAATGTTTAGACTTTGTTGTCATTCCCAGGTTTAGGTGCCTCCGCATCGGTAAGATCGAGGAAGGAGCCGGGTGGTGCAAGAGAGGCGGGGGAAGAAGGATCTGAGGATTGGGGTTTCGCGTCGACAGCCGTCATTGAACTGAGAGTCGATGCTGAGGAAGAAACAACTGGAGGCTTCAGTCCTTTCTCGGCGGAGTTCTTCCTCAGGGTGCTAAAAGGCGAGGAAGGATTCGAGCCAGCTTCCGATGCAAAGTCGCTCGTGTCCCGAATAGATGTCATGTCCGATAGCGAGTCGAGAGAGTCGCGCTTCTCGATTGTCTCCTGCGAAACATAGATGGGCATATCAGCTCCTTGCGAGCTGGCGAAATTGGCCGATCCTTTGGTCTTGCCGTAGCTATTGAAGGCGAATCAGTCTTGAGAAGAAAAGGGCGGGCATGAGAACTCCACGTACCCAGTTGAGCTCGTGACGCCTGATCCGACCTTGGTACTGGCACCACCAGTAGTTGAATAGCCAACTCGCTTCGCGACGGAGGAGAAAGCGAGCTTGTAGTGCTTCTGTGCCTCGTCTGCGAAGCCGAAGAACAGGAAGAATACGAGGCCGCACACGACGACTAGCCAGCGGGTCATCTCCAGCGAAACTTTCGTGGTCACATCGGCCTTCCACATCATGGCCGGAATTTGATCCACACGGGAGAATCCTGCGTCCAGAACGGTCAGAACTGCTTCAAGCTGCGCTGCTAGTCGACGTACCCCAGTGAGTGTCTTCCCAGGAGATCCAAGGCTGGACTTGTCCTTTGGTAGCGTTCAAAATGATGGCGGTTGTGCTCAGAGGCACACTTGAAATTACTTCGATACCAGCGAGAGCCATAAGTCGGAAGTAACGGTTGGCGTTGAGATTGGAATTCGAGGAAAGAATTTCTTTGAACTCAGCATGGCGCTTGCGGAAGGCAACGATGCTCATGACTGGAAGGCCGAGCTCAGAGAATGTAAGTATCAAGCCAAGCTGGCGTGTACGCACTGGAGTAGGCTCCTGAAGTCAGGCCCAACAGAAGAGGTGGCAGGTGCACAAGGACGTAGGCGGGTGGGGTGTTGTATGTAAAGGGGTAGCATCCTATCTCTTCAAAGATGTTGAATCTATGGCCTTGGACGATGTAGTCTAAAATACTCTTAGGACCTGCATTCGTTCGGAATCCAGGTATGAACTCACGAAGAATCATAACGAGAATAGGAATTCCGAGACCAATGGCCAAGTCAATCATAATCGCTCTGCGTTTCTAAACAGACGTCAGGAGAGAAAGAAGAGGTATTATGAAGCGATGTACCTCCGTGCGGGTCCTTGTAACTGAACGAACTGCTGCAATGCAGTACAGTCGACGATTTATGCACAGGGAAGCAGCAGGGATGGCAACAGAGACCCCAATGATTAGCTTGGATGCTGCCGGCACGAGTCAGTAAATAGAATCCATTGACCCTTATGATAAGAAACTGACTAATATCACACCATACAGGCGCCCAGTTTATCGCGTTGTCGTTCCAGATGACTGAGTTAATAAATAGAACGAGGGCAGTTAAACCCGTCCACGCCATGTATAAACATGTTCCAGTGTTCCATGCTAGCAAGAAACACCCGAGTCAGACAATGCAGGGAGTATGTGAGGTAAAGACAATTCACCTTCTAGATGCCATGGAAAGGGAATGCAAACCAGAACGAAAGTGAGGAACGAAAAGGCCGAGAACACGTTATTGGAGGCAGTCATGACCGTCGACGGAACCAGCAAGTCGAAATTGGGGGATGAGAGTGTTCTCGGACCTCAAGAGCCAAAGGGAATGCGATGGAGGGAAACACCTTCGGGTTTACGAAGCATATTTAACCAGGAGAGAACGCTGTAGGTCCTTGTAAAAGATTTGGGATCCTCTTGTTTTCTTGCAGGAGCAGGCGATGTCCATAGATGGAAGCATATTTGTCCCATCCAAAAGCGGTGGCGATAACCAGGTGGTGAAGTGGGAATAAGTCCGAGCCCAGAGCGATACATAGCCAACGCTTCCATGGCATCACACAGTACAAGGAGGAGGTCTGTTCCGCAGAACAAGGAAAGACCTTTATTTAGCGTCAACGTACGAGCGCCTTTCTCACCTAACAATATCCGAAAAAGGAAGGTGTTGTACCGGACTGCCCAGACCTTGAACTTCCTCCGCTTCTTCTGAGTCGACAAGACCGACGATGTGATAAGCCAACATGACAACAAGCATTCGCGTCGTGGCTGAAGGATTCACGAATAAGGACACTTGTGTATCAGGAGTGGAAAAGCCGGCCGTTGGTGAACATAAGCCTTCAAGTCGACATTGTCCTGAGATTCTAACAGACATACTTAGGGAGGGCGGTACAGGCAGCCTTGATACCAATAGATCGGTACGGACACGGGGGTTTCAACTGGAGCCTGCCCTTCTCCCCCCTTCTATTTCCGGAAAGAAACACGGCGCATGTCAGGCCACCTCTTCGTCGAAAAATATAGCAGTCTTGGGTAGGCCATCTTCTCTAATTACCCCTCGATACATGCCTGGGCAGTTCAAAGGCATTGATACTACATGGAGTCATTGGTCAGATCTTCGGTCAAACAAGGCAAATAATTCACAGCGCCTCTTACCATTACCGCGATTGTCAAGCGCTATTAAACCTCCAATACCACCATCCTTTAGCAGGTCCTCGACTACTCCCTGCGAGGCTTTATCCAGCGACTCATTCAGGTAGCGAATCCGACGAGCAACTGTTACGGCTGCTGCGTGGCGGATGAAGTACTTGCAGGCATACGATGAGATGGAGAAATCCACAAAATACGAAAGGCTTACATCACCATCCCCTGTGCCAGAGACACCAACAGCTCTTATCTCTCCTCGCCGATTGAGCCTGTTCCACACACGCTTGACCCAGCTTGAGCTCTTCCACTCTTCGGCCCAATATCCACTTCCCATTAACGGGGTATCGCCAATTCGGCCAACAAGTTTATTGGTGCGCCCACCTGTAGATGTCAGAGCCGCAATACATCCGTGAACATCCAGTGCTACGGCGCCAACGGTCCCAGTCGGAAGGTGGTCGAGAAGGGGTACGGAATCTTCTGCACCTTCGCCGTCTGCAAAAATAAGTATTGGCTCCTCGGGAAGACCCAAGCCACGACGGTGTTCTCGCCATCGATGTTCTGTGAAGAAATACGACGGGCCGACGAGAGTTTCTCCAAGGTCTTGCCCAATCCTTTCAGCAGTACTTCCGGACAGAAACGAATGGGGTGCAGACGAAGGGTTGCAGTACAGAGTCCGGACAAGTTGAGAAGGATTCTTGGCGCGAGTAAGTAGGGTGAGTCCAAGTCCACGTCGTGAACGGGGAATTTCAGGGTGCGATGCCGGAGGCTTCGATAACATGAGAGAGGTCTCGAGTTCTATCTGTTAACTTCGGAGGTAAGCAACGAGTTTCTACGATCAATGGCATTCATGGTGTCACCTTGCCGTCTACATTGAAAACAGCGCCTTTGCCTGCATTGAAAAGGGGACAATCTATCCCATAGGTCGAATTAGAATGCTTACAGGGCTCCGGGTATGGAAAGTACGCGTAAACTCTCACCTTCCATAACTGATACCGCAGATACCGCAGCGTCTATGGCATCCCCACATTGACTCAGGACCTGATAACCCTAGGGAAGAGTTCAACCCATCACAAGTTGAATACCTTGCTGTTGGATTGGGCTCACAGACCGTAAGGCCTCTGCTAAGGCAGATCTGTAGGCGGCCCGTTGTTCAGGCGTGGAGTTCTCCCTCTGCATGGTGCCTGCACCGCCATGGATGACAAGGACGTAGCGTCGCTTTCTCGAGCTTGGTGGGGTGATAAGGGGTTGCTTCTCGCCTGCGCTCATGGACGTTGCTGGTGAAGTGAAGCCTCCCTTCATTTTGGAGATGAGGAAAGAGAACGGCGTGTTCTATAGGACACATTTACAGCGTTTAGCATGGTCACTTTGCCGGAGTGGTTAACGGGATCGCCTGCTACCTTGTAGTAGATCAGCGGTTGGTCTTTGACCGCGAGTGTTCGAATCGCTCAGGTGACGCTTTTTTTGGCTCCCTTGTTTCTTTCCCTCGTTTAGGCCAAACATCATCTAAGTGCTTTCGGTTCTGATTCTACCCTCAGAACACTCACCAGCGTCTACTATGAGCGGCACCAAGTACGCTGACCTGCCCGACATTGTGAGTATTCTCATTTCTTGCCAGCTCTTCCAACCTGAAACATCGTCCCTCGCTAGGACACCGCTCCAGATATCTATGAGACGGAGGACACCTTTCCCCGATCTCAGACCACGGTACTTTCTTCCGTGCTTAGGTCAACCCATCTTATAATGAATGTGGTATCCATAGAACGCAGACTCTAGTGACGATGAATCTGCCATTCCGACGCGATCTGCCAAATACAAAGCCGATGCGAATGGTCGCGAAGAGTTGGACCTTAGCAACCTCATGGGCACAGAAGAAGCAAGCAGAAAGTTTCAGAAAGCAGAGAAGAAACGACGTGCGTCCCCTCCCGTGTCGTTACTGAGCCTCTATTCACGTACTCCGCAACCTCACTAACAGTGCGCACGAGAACACAATACGCGTATCCTCCTTCACCTAATTCCCCATCTTCTCCAAGCCACTCCTCCGGGGCATTGCGGCCAGTACCCTTATCACATCGACTACGCTCTCTGGAAAGTGAACTTGCGGCTTTGGAGAACGAATTGGCTGATCCCGCAAACCCGTTGATCCAAAAGGAGCGCGAAGAAGATAATGTTGATCCAGGAGAGCTCATAAGAGGACTAGTCGACGTTCGAACGAGATTGGAGAAGATAAAGAAGGGGAAAGAAGGCAGAGCTCGCCTAGTCGGCGCGGTTATCGACGTCGACACGATTCCAAAGGATGTTCCCCGAACAAGGGACGAAGAGCCAGGGTTGAAACTGACGGAATCAACTGTCAATGCCGCTCCTAAATCAGAAATACAAATCATGGTCGACGTTGACCAACGAGTTGGACAGCTTGAGCACCTTGTCGGTTCCTCAAGCACCACATTAGACGAGGCATGTTGGCATTTTCATATTTGCTCAGAGTGCCGTCTCATGCTTCTTTATACAGACAAACCCTCTCCCAACCCCCCTCTTGCCCCTAATTACGCGACTCAATAACCAGCTTACGATTCTTACTCAACCACGGCATATTGACTCGATTTCGCGTAGGCTCAAGCTCCTGCTCTCGGATCTTGATCGGGCCTCTGCTGCCCAACATCAGGCACACCGGCGGCATCCATCGCAAAGCAACGGGGCTCCTCAACCTCCGGGGTTACAAGAGCAGCTCCTCCCTCTCGTCTCACGGCTAGGACCGCTTCTACCTCACATCCCTCACATTCTTGCCCGTTTACGAACTTTGTCAACACTACACTCCTCTGCTGCAGGGTTTCAGAATTCTCTGGAAGATCTGGAAGAGGAGCAAAAGAAGACACGAAATGGCCTATTGGAACTGGAAAAGGCCGTTCAAACAGTGGAAGCCAGCCTCAATGAGAATAAGGAAGTCGTTAAAAATAATGTTACTGGGTTGGAAGGCAGAATCAACCTACTTCTTGAACGATTGGAGGATTTACGAACCGAGCAAAGTAACTAGATTCTTGAATGCCCGCATATTACATACATATTATAATCATACGTTCAGCTGATGAAAAACTACGTGGAGCAGTATACGCCACTGCTTGCATATGCCGATAGCCTTGCATGCTATGTCATGCGACGCCGTGGCTCAGGATGCGCGTTCATGTTCATCCCAACCATGCGCTCCACAACTGCCTGTGCTTGATCCCAGTCTAGAGCATCGTCTTCCTCCTCTTCTGCCTTGTTGTTTTCTTCGTGTCCTGCTCCTAGCCCCCATCCGCCTGAACCTTCTCTCGTCGGGGGTTCTATGTCGGGACTTCTGTGGAGTATGGTGAGTAAATGCAGCCGAGACAAACTCTAAGGCGCACCGGAGAGCCTCTAGGAACTCCCTCTCTCGCTCACGTTCGGCTTCCACTATGTAACTGGACGGTCCAAGACGAGGTGTATCATCACCAAACTGCTCCTCTTCCCCTTGACCCAACCCACGCAGCTCCGGGACGTTTTTCCCCTTTCCAGCTACACGGCCCCGTCTGTCTCGAGGTAGGCCACCTGACAAAAAGGTGGGCGTTCGCGTTTGGAAAGCTGGGCTATTCTTAAACTTGGGGTTCTTTGGGTCTGCTTGAGGTCGAGGATTTCGTACGAGCCTTAGTAAATCTCTGATAGCGGCTTCGCCCGCAGTGGGTTGAGGGGTCGGTGTTGTTAAGGAAAATGTGACAGGCAAATGACGACTCTGAGCAGATAGGACCAACAACCTATGGACTAGAGTCAGCAAGTGAGGCTAAGGCTGTTTTTGAATTGCTTACATTTGTTGTAGACGAGGCTGCTGGTGCGACACTGTCTCTTGAAAGCTATCCTGTCTATTCGGAATAGAAAGGCGCGCATACAGTCTTTGAAAAGGGGGTAGGATGACACGGTCACGGAAAGATTTCAAAGCGACGGATCGAACATCTATGTGGTGGCTGGATGCGGTATTGAGCGCAGATGGCTTCGTTCCATTTTGACGACTTGGAGAAGTTGCTCTTGGGGGTTTGGGATTGCGATGTAATGACAATAGCAATGGGTCAGTTTGAAGTGGTAGCAACACCTACTTGAATCAATGCCAAAAAATCAAAGAGAAGGGGTAACGTTACTCACTCCTTCCAGATATGTAAGTACTTGGTCCCAGAAAAAACCCCAGATCTCCACAACTCGAGCCACTAACTTCTCGTCTTCAATCCCTGTCAATTTAGCATTGAGAGTGACCATGCCGGAGGCGATCAGTTCGGAGGCATCATTCTCCAAGGTTGCGAGTGCTCTCGGTGGAGATGATGATACGACTGACTGTATATGCCGCTTCACCAAGATGTTCAAGTCCTCACTACAATGTAGATACGTTTAGACACTCTCGTATTCAAAGAGAGATACTTGCATTGGTATTCTCAGAGGTTCTCCATTAAACAGAGGTAAAACATGGACATGCAAAGCACCCCAAGGATCTGTTGCAGACGTCGATGATGCGCTGACTTGCGACATGCTCCCTGGGGGAGGTAGCGCCAGTGATGTCACTGAGGGGGCTGTCGAGAGTTGTGGGGTTAGAGCAGAGGGCAGATGGGTGAGATTTCCAAGTCGGTGCATCTCGCGCGATACCAGCTTGGAGTCGTAGGTTCTGCCGTAGGACGCCTGTGCATTGCATTTCGATTGGCGCCTCTACGTTCTGTGGATACGTACTCACCTTAGAAGGCGATGTTTTGTTCGCGGTAGACATCCCAGAAGACGGCGCGATGACTGTGGGCGGCAGAGAGGGAGTTATCGTCGTGCCGGACTCTGCCCTAGAATGGCTGTGTGGGTGTAACAGTTGGCTAGGGTGTAGCGAGTTCTTCGTACTGGCGTTTACGTCTCTCGCAGTTCCAGACAGAGAGGAAGCCAACCGGTCGGCGAAGAATCCTAGGCGCTTTGAAGAGCCAAAGGTGTCGGAGCGCTCGGAGGTGATAGATGAGTTCGGAGGTAGAACGCTTCGGTTTGTATCTTGATCGACGGATGTGTTCAAGAAGCGAGTTGTCGCAGGTGTCTGTCGAGGGGTTGCATCGCTTGAAGTACGTCTCCTTGGCTCCGTTCCATCATCGGGGGAGGAAGATCTGCTGGTTTTTATTTCGCCATGGCTCTGGTCGTGCGATCTGCGAGGTCCGTGAAGGTGAGAAGCGGCCCACATCCCGCCGATTTTGTGCGGCTGAAAGCTCGAGAATACGGTCCCAGTGAAGTACTTGTTGATCAACCTCAATTGCACACGGCTATTTCTTGAATTGGTTCCGGCCTTCGATGCCAAGCATCCGTGTTTGAGAGCTCCTTCACCCCTTCACGCCCTCTGGTGATTCTGCCTCTTTCCAGTTTCCACAACATCCTCCGGACCCGACATAGGTTCTTTGGTTGCTTCAAGACATGAGATGGCACCGAATTGGTGTCCTTGGAAACAACCTGAAGTCCTGTTACTACTCCGCACCACATCTCCAACCTACAAGACGAGATTTTACTGTCCTCGCAATTGAATCATCAGCAGACGACACATGCGCAGCAATTGTCGATTCTTCAAGGAAAATACATTCCAATGTAGTAATTAAACAGCATACTACGTGCGTTCCACGTCTTCCGGTATCTGACTGCTTGTTGAACGTGCCAGACATGAGATCTATGGAGGAATTTATCCAATAAGTGCAATTGGCTTGCACCAACGCAACATGGTGTGTATTTTTCGGAAATACGGCCACTGAGAATGCGTCTCTGACCGCGTTAAATTTTCTGCAAGCCGTATGCTGTTAGACGAGCCCTTGACGATGCCAAACTGGACATCGTGAAGGATATCGATGGCATTGCATTTACCAGGGGTCCTGGTGAATAAAGCCGTTTCTGTCGTTCTTGTGCTGAGGAGACTGACTTGGATTCTAGGTATGCCCGGCTGTCTCAGTGTAGGGATGAATGCTGCAAAATCATTGGCATCTGCATTGCAAAAACCACTTGTCGGTGTGCATCATATGGTATTTTTGTATCTGTTGCCTCCTAGACGTTCTTGACCAAATTATAGCAAGCCCATGCACTAACACCGCTGCTCTCTGAATGGCCTCATGAGCCACAGTTTCCTTTCCTGACGCTTCTAATATCTGGTGGACACACGTTACTTCTTCTCGCGAAGTCTGCTAAATCCTTCGAACTCATCGCGTCCACAAGAGATGAAAGTATAGGCCGATCATTTGATAAGGTCTCCAAGCTTCTACAACTCAAGTGGACTGCACTTGGCCCTGGTGACGCTTTGGAGAAATTCAGTGCTGAGGGTGATGTATCCCCACTTCCCATCCCGGAATTTCCTCGCCCTCTCAGAGGACAGTTGGATTTCTCCTTCGCAGCATTCCACTCGCATGTCAACCTCTCTATTGAGAAAGTAGGCGGCTACGACAAACTCGACATCCCCACGAAAAGAGGCATAGCACGAGCCTTTCAGACAGCCACAGTCTCTCATCTCGAGGAGAAGGTTATCCTGGCATTGGAACATTGCCGGGATCGCAATATCATTGTGAACGACATTGTTGTCAGTGGCGGAGTGGCAAGTAATCAGTATCTTCGCGGACGGTCTGTACTGAACTCATCCTGGATTGGTTCATCCGCTCATGCATTTACACAGGTTGCGACAGTGCTTACTCAAATTGGATGCTGAGGCTTCTTATCGTCTGTCATTCCCTCCCCCATATCTATGTACAGGTAACAATTTATTCACAGTTCGACGGGTAGTGCCAGCTGAAGATGACATCTAGACAACGCTGTCATGATCGGCTGGGCCTCCATGCATCGATTTCTTGATGGCGACGTGGACGAGTATGGGATTGATCTTCGACCAAAGTGGAGTCTCGAAGACCTTTAGCTTGTCTTCCCAAAAATTATATTGCAAGGTGCATTGGCAAGCTTTAGGCGATCGAGCTGCCTTAAGAATACAAATCGATGTTAGACGTACATTACAAGTAACTCTAATTTATGTCTGAATAGAGTGAATGACTTGGAATCTGTCGAGACAGGAGATTATAGAGAGGGCTACACTAAATTCTGAACACGGTCGTAGTCAAGTACTAGGTCATAGTCAGATCCAAAATATCCAAAACCGCCGATCCTGTCGATATTCGCGGTCTTTTGGTTGGCAGCCTCGGAGGAGCCATGTCTTGGTGAGAGGTTCGCTTCTTAGTCGACTTCTTGGACTTCGAGGGTGCGAAGAGTATACGATCGCAAAGTCGGTCGAAGTTGGTCAAAGGCCGTTCATCGAGTTCCTGGTCGTCCTGAGCTTCTTGGGCAAGGGCGAACCCGAACCCGCCTTCATCAACTCCAAGCTCTGGATCTTCCATATCGGGGTTTTCGAATGTGAAAAGAAAACCACGCGACGTTCCTCTTCGAGGAGGGCGGGATTCGGGGAACTCGGACGTGAACCAAGGATCCAAAACTACTCTGATTACGGAGGGTTCTGGGCTTGAACGAGGGACGGCCATCGTAGACGCTGCGTGTTGCCCCTGAGATGGGGCCCGCGTCTGACTTGAAGATGGCATTAGGTGCTCTTCTTCGGAATCTGACAAGGGGGTGGGAGCACGGGCCTTCCCCTTCCCTTTCTTCCTTGTTTTCTCTAAGATATAATGTTCGACCATGGAAGGGTGAACGCGCTGCAGAATTGTCGCCGGGATCCACAACCGCAAAGCGGAATTGCGATCTGTCTTGGAAGGTGTTGTTTCAGGTGGATGGGATCTTGTATCCTGGATTCCAGCATTCGTGAGAGTCACCAACTGGATAGGTGAAATTTCAACGCGATACTCCAGGAGGTGACCTGTCGATGGATGCTGGCGACTGCCAACCATGCTAGTAATGATCGGGTGAGAGTCATGGGGACCTGCGTTGGGTGTCGTTCGTTCTTGGGTTTGCGTCCGGTTGACGAAAACGTCGGCATACATTTCTTGACGTGCATGTATTTTGTTCACAGCTCCGAGATATTGCTGAACGATAGAAGCAGGAGTGCCCACTTCTCGTCCACATACCGACGACCGACGGCGTGCTTCATCGTCAGCTTCGAGGGCGGCCCTCCTAAGAACGTGCATGACAGCTGCTGGCCACATCAACGTCCGGAAGCGCTCGATAATTCTGTCTCTGTACCCCCACTCAAAATATTGCTCACACAAGGATGCCACTCGTCCAAGGTCAAGGTTTTTGACGTCTCGAAGAGCGACACTCCCGTTGCGTCCGCTCGTGCTATGTGTCGGATTAGCGTACTTCTCGAGAACGTCCAACTCTGGGAATGCAATTGGAAGCGACAATGAAGTCCGGTGAGGTAGAAACCCCAGCGTGTTCGCTCGTAACTCAGCATTAACGCGTTCGCGCCAATGGTGAAGGAATTCCTGTAGGTCTTGGCCTTGAAGATTTTCATAAGCTTCGAGAAGCTCGTCGCCAAACCCACACCTAGCAAGGGAATGGGCAATCACTTTACCGAATCGCTCAACGCCCTAATCAATGATCAGGACATATATAGGTACGTGAAGGGAATGGCAAGAACAAACTCCGTGATAATCATCCCCAGATAGGAGGGCAAAAAGAATCATTCCGCCTCTTGTCATGCTGACTTCGGCATGAGAACGGATGTCAGCGATTTTGTAGACCATCGTGTGGTAATTGTCAGTCTTGTCATCGGCATTCAGTGCAAGGTTGTTTTTGTTCCCAGATAGCTTCTTGCTGATACTAAAGCAACGAGTTAAAACGGTGTAAGCACAAATGTTTTGACGAACTTCTTTATGACCGTGCATGCGCCAAAAAGAAACGCATCACAGTCGTCTGTCATTATGGCGTCGATGTGACCATCCCGGTTGAGAAAAGCAAGCTCAGCCTCAGCCTCTCCAAGCGCCTTTATGAACAAATTAGCAATGTCACTTGCTCGAGCAACGATACTAGCTTACCTCGCGCCACTCCATCCCAAACGCATCCAAGAACTCTTTAAATTGTTTCGAAAGACCGTGAGACCCCGATTTTCCTAGCCGACTAGCCCGCTACGAGTGGATTTGCTATCAGGAAGGCTAATTATAGATGAGCGAGATACATACCTTGACTTTAGGACGCTGTCGTCCATCGAATACGAACAGAGGAATAAGTGGCAAAGAAGCTGAACGGACGAGTCATGATTCGTTGTGAAGGGACTTAGGGGAATACAGCGAACCAAGAAACTTGAGACGAAAAAAGAGGTTGCGTAGTCGGCAGTTTTCTCCTTCTTTACTGAAAGAGGCATGATGGAACCAAATGCTCACATCGATGCCGATGCGGTAGGCGCGCCTACAAAGAGAAATTGATGGAAGCGAACTGCCGCGCACGTTGAAGTAATTTGACGAACCTGCCCGAGCGATTGCTTTCGAAGCCTTCCACCACGGCAAGGTGCGCCAATGAGGTGGATTTCCCTACTTTGTTGAGAACCTGGGAGGCCGAAAGGGTTTCAACACGGTTTCTAGTCAACTGCATCATGACACAAGAGAGGACTGTCACTCACATCCCATAGTCCGGGCACACCCATGAATATATATCAAATGAATCTTGAGAATATAGCGTTAGATGTTGTTGGAGGAGGTCAGAGCAAATAAGCGGTTTGATGTAGGCTCGAGCTTTGACCTTGACAGACCTTGACACAAAATAATTTGAATCAATCACTGTTTCCGAAGTGGTGTCGACGCGTTATGTCACCAACCCGTGATTCGTGACCCAGTCCTCAGTGCCACACCCTTGTAGCCTTGGCTCTTGAACTTGACTTCTTCAACTGGGTGGACCACCTCCCTCGCATGGTTAGCGCATAGTCGAAGCAATGCCTGCATTTCAATTTCCCTTGGGTAAGAGAAAACGCGAGAATGAAGAACTCCAGGACAGTCAAAAACGCGTTGCCTTAGAGCCAGGAACAAGTTTTGCTTCGCAGAAACCGTCTCGCAAATATTCACTCGGTCAAACCTGGGTGGTCCAGTGGTGAGTTTGCTATAATTTCATTTTTACCCTTTCAAACGAAGAACAGGCGCAACCCCCAATATAAGAAACACAAGACGTGGGACGGTGACGCCACTATGGCAGTAGATGACAAGAATACTGCGACCCTTTATGATGCGGATGGTAAAGTGTATGCGCTTTTTGTACTCTCTATCCGTCGTGTACTTACGAATCTGATAGGATTGCAACGGGAAAGATTTCCCCGCCACTGTTTGAAGGCAAGAACATGTCTGTCGCCGGGAAGGAGATAGAGCTCGAACGGTCATTACCCCCCGAGCAATTTCTATCAGGAGCATGTTTTGGACAGTCCCCATGGGCACCCTCCTGTGAAATGGGGAGTATCAAGACTGTCAAGGAAATTCACACCTCCTTCATTTATGACCAGTCCCCACCAACCGTTCATACGCCACCACGATTCTCTTCCAGCTTCGAGTGCGGAGTATGTGGCTTCTCAGGAAGAATATGGATCCAATGGACAACAAAGCTCGCCGAGAAGACTTTCTGACATCACCAATGTGTTATCCCATTGGACGGCCAACTGGTACGTCAGCTAATAGGGCATTGGAACTTCATTCTCATTTGAGCCCAGGCGTAAACCTCAGGATAGAAAAAACAAGACCTGGGATGGTGACGCATATGTTTCACTTGTTAAGGATAGATTGGTCATGATGTCTGAAGATGGGAAGGTGTAAGTACCTGAGCCATGAAAAGCCTTGCCGTTCCTTGACAATGCCCTTAGCATGGGATCCACCACGTGGAAAGGACAACAATTGTGCGCAGGGTTTCACCTCATGATCGGAAGGAAGGAGGTAGAGCTCGATATGCCAGTTTCTGCCAACCAATTGCCGACAAATGTTGAGGAAACAACCGGAGAGCAACCTGCCACGCCTTCGGATGCAAAGCCAGCGCAAAAGTTCATCGCCCCAACCAACTTCTATGGAGTGCCGAAATCCAAAGCAAAAGGACCGCTGTCTGTTCAGATATCCCCTCCTGCCTTGAAATTGCGTGCTCATGTTATTCTAGTCACGATCCAGACATAGAAGATGCTCTTGTCATGAAGTCTCCTACGAAGGAGCACATGAAGCGGTTCAACAAAAGGTGGACGAGAATTATCTACTTCATCAGAAGCGATCCTGAAACCCGTGAGTATAGAAATCTTGCAGTTGTGTCCGTAGTGGTGGATCCATTGCTCTCACGAAAAATGAGACCACATCAACGTGAAGGCAAGTGCTACTCCCCTTTTATACAAATTCACTCACTCACAATCAGCATCAGGAGTACGGTTTCTCTACGAATGCGTTATGGGTCTGAGAAAACACGAGGGACAAGGATGTATCCTCGCTGATGAGATGTCAGTTGAACCTGTCTGCTGCTCGTTTGGTTCAATTCACCTGAACCATCGTTTAGGGGCCTTGGGAAAACACTTCAAGTGCGTGTCATGTTGTCCCTAAGGTCTAGATAATTTCATCTCCTTGTTTCAGACGATTGCACTCGTTTGGACACTGCTGAGTAGAGTGTTCATTTTACGCCAATGATTATTTCTAACGGCCCCTAGGACAAAATCCTTATGCGGCTCCTCTTCCGGTGGTACAAAAAGTCCTTATTGTTTGCCCAGTCTCTCTCGTGAACGTAAGCCCGCTCTCAGGTCATGATATTTGTGTTCTTATTAAGACGCCATAGAACTGGAAAGCGGAGTTCTACAAATGGCTCGGACGGGATCGCGTTGGAATTATGACCTGTGACAAGAACAACTCCAGTGTTGACACTTTTGGACGGTCGTTCGTTTGTCGTCCGTTCTGTTCAGGGTTTTTCCTGCTCATTATCTCCAAGGAAAGTATACGAAGTCCTTATCATTGGTTACGAACGCCTTCGGACCGTTATGTGAGCTTCACAGCTGTTGTTTATTCCAGTCCTTCGTAAAAAGTACTGACTGACTCATGCCTTCTAGCGACAAACTCACTGATCTCCAGTATGCGTTCACAGTACCATGTCTCAACCGAGTTTAAGCTGTGTCCATCTAGTCCTCCAATTGGATTGGTCATTTGCGATGAAGGTCAAAGAGGCACCACATACCATGGATCCGAATTCTGACAAATCGTTTGCAGGCCATAGACTGAAATCAGCAAATAATAAGACAGCCTCCGTATTCAAAGCACTTGCCACCCGCCGCAGGATCATATTATCTGGAACTCCCATTCAAAACGACCTCGGAGAATTCCATGCCATGGTTCGTAATCACCCGTTGAAGCCACCGAGGTTCTTATTAGTTCTATAGTCAGAATTTTGTAATCCTGGCCTTCTGGGTAAGTATCTTTCTTGTCCTGGCTATCGGATTCTTACAATCCACCAGACGAGTACAATGTCTTCCGCCGGGTGTACGAGACTCCCATTCTCAAAAGTCGAACGCCGGATGCCTCAGAAAAAGAGATAGAAATAGGAGAAGCACGGACTGCCCAGGTTCTGTTCCTTCATATATTCAATTAATTACATCCTCACCTCGAACACAGCTACTTTCCATCGCGAAAAGTTTTGTCCTTCGAAGAGATGCTTCCTTGCTAAAGAACCACTTGCCTCCTAAAAGTGACACTTCAAAAACTCAGTTTTTACTCTCACTAATATACTATCTAAAGCGGAATACGTACTTTTTGTGAGGCCTACCAATCTCCAATTGTCCATGTTTTCCAAGATCCTGCACCCTGCACACCTGGACGATCTCATTCAAAGTTCAACTGCTGAATCGTTAGCCTTGATCAATATCCTAACGAAGATCAGCAATAGTCCTATCTTATTGAAGGCAACAGCAGACAACATCCAAAGCAAGATCAATGATGGCGGTATTCAGTCGTTCCAGAAGAAGGCCGTCCTCGATGCTTCGCGTCTTCTACCTAATAATGTCAATGTAGCAGACGTTAACTTGAGTGGTTAGCCTTTTGTCTTAGGCTATAAAAACAAACACCCTTATCGAAAAGTTCTCAGGGAAACTCGCACTATTATCTAGAATTCTTAGATTCCTGCGTCAAGTGAGTTTTCCTTTACTTGGTTCTAGCTCGTAGCCAACGAAGGCTTACTGCATCTACAGCACACAAGCGAAAAATGTGTCATTGTCTCTCATTTTACATCAACTCTCAACATACTGGAAGCATACTGCAAAACGAAGTCTTATTCTTACTACCGCCTTGACGGGTACGCAAATTCTCATCTGCCTAGCCGTTAGTTGTGCTAACCTATGCACTCGTAGCCAGACACCCCAGAACAAGCGCCAAGAATATGTAAACGCATTCAACAAAGGGAGCCAACAAAACAGCTGTAAGGTCGCCGTGTGTTTTCCAGGCATCAGTTGATAACAACCTCCACAGTTGTATTTCTGTTGAGCTCCAAGGCAGGTAAGCTCCGACGGATCCGTTGTGCTTTTGATAACTCTGACAAGTGTTTTAGGCGGCGTTGGAATAAACCTCATCGGTAGGATATCCCACATTGTTCACCCTCCATCTGCTCAACGTATTAGGTGCCTCGAGATTGTTTATTGTGGACTCCGACTGGAACCCTAGGCGAGTAATGGATCAGCAAAGATTTCTCTCGTTGCTCATCTGCAGAGCACAGCCATGATCGGCAGTCCATGGCTCGGTGTCATCGGTATGCCCTAATTTCCTGCGGCTTCATGAAATATTGACTGGAACTCCAGTGACGGTCAAAAGCGCCCAGTTTTCATATATAGACTACTGACAGCTGGTGCTATTGATGGTAACGGATTTTATTCTCGATTTTATTCATGGATTAATTTTGGTTGACCACACAGAAAAGATATATCAGAGACAAGTCACTAAACTTGCGTTAAGCGACTGTAAGTTTATTGCAGTTCTCGAATTGCCACCTCCACCCATGACCAATGAACTCCCCAGCTCTTATCGGATCGGTAAGATTCAGTGCCAGATGTCAGTGCATCGTGCTTACCGGAAACAGGGCAACAGCAGCAACTCCAAGAGTGACTCGTTCACAAGAAAAGACGTGCGTTCAGAGTTTGCCCTCATTTCATACCCAAGCTTCACGGCACTTCTAGCTTCGGGATATTTTCCGTATCCATCCAGATACAGCGTGCAATACGCATGACTTGCTAGGGTGTTACTGCGAAACGGAAACCAGCTCCTCAATTAGTCCCGAAGTAGATCTTGCAAACAACCACGAACAGGTGCCCCAGCCAGTACAAAGGGGGTTCATAGCTGCCTCGGCAGTTCCTGATGAAGAATTAGACGCAGCTGAACGGGATGCGAGTTTATCTTTTAATCAACTTGATGCACTGTCTCATCTGTACTTTATAGTATCTACAGAAGAAGCGTGCAGGTTTGGCGGCTCTTGGAGAGTGGAGTCACATAAATTGTCTCAAGCCATTCTCTTGCGACGGGATTCAAGATGTCGTCCTACGCAAGGCCATCACACCAAAATCCGAGGAGATCGACCAAACATCAGATCAGGATTTCCAGATATCTGTCCGCGACCTTCCTAGTGGAACGATCTCTTTCTTATTTGAGAAGTGTTCACAATCCAATATGGATAACATTGAGGAGCAGGGCGATACAAACAAGTACAAGGATTCAGGCAGCACATAGAGACAGAGGAAGAGAGTAATGGTATAAAATGATTGTCAGACGGGTTCTGATATTGACTGGTAATCAAGCTACGTTCAGAGCCCCTCCGACCGCCACTCTGTTTGTTGAACGCCAGACTGGGAAAATGGCAAGGTATAGAATGAGAGTCGGACGGATTCCAACAATTCCTGCGGAGTTGAGGTGCCCCCCCTACCACCATTTGATGAATGCCAATTACCCGCCGTGCACGAGGCAAGAGAACAATGAAAAGAAAGAAAGAAAAGAAAGAAACAATCAGGACACGATTTTTGACTTGGTTTGCAGTCCGAGGTCTGGCCTAGATGTTTCCATAGACCGGCCTTCCGTCGATGACAGTTGCATGAACTCCGGTTGCCAGGATGTCGGCGAAGGGGATAGACATAATATCTTGGGAGAGGATGGTGAAGTCGGCACGTTTGCCAATCTCAAGAGAACCCAAGAAAGATTCAGTGAAGGATGCATATGCAGGGTCGATTGTCATTCCTAAATAAAGGGGATAAAATGGTGAACATTCCTGTAAGCTTGTGTAAGAATGGGCACCTGCCTCTGAGAGCCTCTTGACGAGTCAAACGTTGTTCAGGGAACCTAGTAGATAATTCAAGGACCGAGGTGCGTTGGGTTGGCATTGGAGCGACTCACCATCCGCCAGGACCATGAGGCGATCTTCCATCTGGCGATTGACGCGTGACGGCTGCGTAGAATCCTGCAAGTGGATTCATCGACTCAACAGGGAAGTCCGAGCCAAGTGCGATCTTAGCACCGCTGTCGACGACGGAGCGGAAGGCATAAAGACTTTTGATACGGTCTGGGCCCTAGAGAGGTGAATTAGAAGCGTAGCAGAGGTGAGGACGTCTATTGTGCCCGCACCAATCGATCTTCAGCGTACCACATATCGCTTATCCTGCAAAGTGGAACAAGTTAATGATCTCGGCCACACTTAAGACGCGGTATCCTACGCATGTGCAGGCTGAATGCTTGCAATAACTAGAACGGGACGCTAGATGAGAAGGTACAAAAATGAAGTGATACAACACATACCTCCCAGCTTCCCGAGCCTTACCATGTCGGCCTTTGTCATCATCTGGGCGTGTTCGAGTCGTGGACGTAAAGCCTTCACATTTGCCCCCTTCAGCGAGGCTTCGAAGGCATCTAGGACAATGCCATTCGCACGATCACCAATGGCATGAACGTTCTGGATGTATTATCAGCTTAAGACTAGCCAATGAGACATAGGATGATGGCAGCGCTTACCACTTGCCACCCATCGCGCAGGAACATTGGGATAAATTTGAACAGTATCTCTGGATCCAGGCGCATAAACCCGTTGGTGGTGGGGTTGTCGGCGTAGGGTTCATAGAGCTAGGCATATTCTCTTGAGGATATGTTGCTACGTATGAGGACAAAAGGGACCAACCGCTGCTCCTCCAGTCCTCAAGGCCCCTATTACACGAGATGAGAAAAACAAATTCATAATTGAGATCGGGGACGATGATGATGGTACCATCTGCAAAGATCTTGACACTGCGGGCGCTTAGTCTGTCGCTCTCATCACCGATAATTAGGCGACTGGTATTTCCCCAATATGGTTCATTCTCATCAAAGTAACTCATGCCGTAAATGCGAATCTGTGACAATCATTTGCAGCTGCTAGAAATAGAAGAAGATTTGGAAAAGCTCACAGGCAAGGGCCCGATTTCGGCTTGTCTAGCGGATGGTTCAGGAGCGTGAGTTAAGAATGCCACCGGGATAATGGGAGCCAGAACCTCTTAAAGAATGCAAGAGATTTGGGATCGAGGCCGGCATCATGGATGGAAGTTAAACCATATTTATGAGCATCACGAACTGCCACTTTGAATCGCCTCAATAAGTCACTCTCTGTCAACTCCGGCTGCTTCAACAGATCCTGCGCGTTGTCTAGCAGGGTTCCTATTGGGGTGTAGAGAAGGAGACTGATTCTGGACTTCGGTAAACGACGAACCTGTAGGAGCACCATCCTCATCACGCACAATGACGCCTCCTTCAACGGAGTCAGGAAAGGGTGCACTGATTTCAAGGGCCTTCGATGATACCCAGAGGGCATGGCAGTCTTTACTCTGCAGGACAACGTGTCGTCCTCGAATGACACTGTCCGCTTCCAAGTCGGCCTAGAAAGATGGTTAAAAAGAGAGAAACAGATCAAGATATCGACGAACGGCGGTGGGCCAACTACTCGATGGCCAAACAGTATGATCCCATCCTCCTCCGGTTATGGGTTTGGTGGTGTCGTTGTAGATTTCGGGAGTGGAAAGAATATACTCTCGGACACGGGCGACAGCATCTGTTGAGGAGGTCAGCGATAATCTTCGAAGGTGACGAACAGAATGAATACCCTGGATAGTCTTGCTACCTTCTAGCGGCAACTGTTGAGTGGCTCCGTACTCCAATATGTGTGCATGCGAATCTGCAATGTGACAGTCAGAGACATATCGTGCAGATGCCAGCATACTCACCAGTTATGCCGGGAATGATAACTGCACCAGGTTTGATGAACCGAACCTCGAGTGCCACCTGGCTGGGCCGGAGCTTAGACCAATTGTCTCGCACGGTGTCTATTTATATCGGTTCGTGGTAAGCCTCGTGGATACATCGGGACACGAGCGTACGCACCGAGGGAGCCGGTGCCAACAATATAAGCGCCTTCGACCACAATGCACTGAGTTTGGGTGTTCTGGTCATCAACCAAATATACTTTGTCGTTTTCTTTCGAGCAAAGGGCATAGGCTTCAGAGAGCGGCGGTGCTGCTGTCTTCCTGACGAGGAGGAAAGCGGCAAAGAGACTGACAACACCGAAGAAAAGTTGGAATTTGAACCATCCTCGCCCTTTCATTAGTTTCAAGTCATGGACCTCTTGTTTCTGTTTATAGTCCTTCTTCCCAGCTATACGAGAGGGGACCCTCGGTTTGGAAGATGCCATATGCCTTGAAGAGAGGATGAGGCTTAGGGACCTAACGGACAACCAAAGTTGACCTACCAAGCGAAAACAGCCTGACAAGCTCAAGGGAAGGGACTACATCTTGTGAACGGTCAGCACGCCTTTTATCGTATGGCATCTTTCTCAGGAAAAAAAAATGCACCGCCCTAGGCCGGTCGGTAAGACGGGCGCTAATCTCTTCTCCCGGAAAAATGTTACCGCCTCTCCCATAGGCGCCCATTACAGTTGAGATTCGGATGTTCCACCATCAGAAACCAAGACGATAAAGATTCTCGCATGAGGAACATGTGGTTATGCCGCCGCGTCGTATGAAATATTGTACCTATGGAGGGAAAAACAAGAATACATAGAAGCCTGCCACGTTTCATCGCTGTCATGTGACTTGGTAATGACGGCATCTTTAGCTTAGGCTGCCACTGGTGACTGGAAGAGCCACGCCCCACCATCTCAGCGTCAACTCAGTGCAGCAGGCGATGCCTGGCCCCAATGACCTCGTTCGTCTACGAACCCATGAGGCTGTTCGCTTTCTCAATTCACACCGCATATTCTTCTACGCCTTGGTCTCACTAGTCTCTGTCTCCGCCGTTATAACCAATGCTCTGAAGAACTACAGCAACTTCTACTCGGTTGCCATCTATCTCTCGAAAAGTAGCCGCAGCGTCCTGGTGCGTACCCGCTGGAACAGTTCTCCCTCATTCTCATATGTTCTGCAGGTCTTGGCAAACTTTGGCGTTCTCTTGACGCTTCTCTGTGGCCATGTCGTACAGCGCATATTCTTCGGTTCCTTGAGGGCGAATGAGATTGAGGTCTGTCTGTTATTCACGTATCTCGGTGTAATTGGGCTCATACTCTATTCAGCGTCTCTATGACCGCTTGTGGTTTTTCATCACGGAGTCCCTCCTGGCCTTCACGATCTTTCGTGACGAGTTCGACATGCCGTTCGCCTTGATGTTTGGCTTTCTATTATTCGTCAAGTCCTTCCATTGGTTAGCAAGCGACCGAATTGAATGGGTACGGCGCAATTTTCATAGCATGGGAATGCTCTTCTTTATACTCTTTCTCAGATGGACCAAAGGCCATACCCTGGCCCTCCACTACTCTTCCATTTCAGGATGACTATTCTCTTCGGTATATTGTGGTCGACAGACTGCATCATGTTTTTGTTTGCGGTTGAACATACACTGTCCGCTGGTGTTGGTGGCATGGTCCTATTTGCCAGCGAGGTACGAACCTTTCGATTACTTCCAGAATAACGCTGAGCGAGACAAATCAGTATGCGATATTGATGGCGAGCGTCATGAATACGATTTCCAAGTATCTGTTATCCGCATACGATCTACGCAGGGCCGGTAGGAGAGGAGGAGAAAATGCGCCCCCATGGGAGAATAAAAGCATGTGGGTCTTTTATATTGAGCTTATGACAGGTATGCTTTACCCTCCATGTACATTTTCGTATCTCAACTATACGATATAGACTTCCTGAAGTTAACGACTTACCTCGTGTTCTTCATAATCATCATCACGTTCTACGGGTTGCCGCTGAACATCATACGAGATGTTTACATCACTGCGCGGTCATTTGCCACTCGTCTTCGAGCGCTTCATCGTTACCAAACAGCGACGCGGAACATGGATCAAAGGTACCCGAACGCCACGGATGAAGAGTTGGCTGCGACCAGTGACCGGACATGTATAATCTGTCGTGAGGAGATGGTGTCGCCTGGCGCACAAGAACCGGTTGCCCAAACCGATGGACCTAACACGACTCCCAAGAAACTCCCTTGCGGGCACATCTTTCATTTCTACTGCCTTCGCTCGTGGCTTGAACGCCAGCAAAGCTGTCCTACATGGTAAGTAAACCCCTTAATTCGCTTGACATCTCATCTCTAACATGTTTGTAGTCGACGCAATGTTCTTGATGATTCAACTTCACCACCTCAGCCAGTACCTGGTGGCCTTCCTGGGCAAAACATTCAAGCTGGTCCTCAACAACCGAACCAACCAGTCATTGCGCAGAACCTTCAAAATGAAAACAATCAACCAGGCCTCATTGGTCGTCTTTTTGGCCCTCCAGGACGTCTTGGAAATCCTATCGTTGATAGAGCGCCGGCTCAGAATGTTCACGATAATCAAGCTCAAGCAGGACAACAACCTGGCATAGTTATCAACTATCAAGTTCAATATCAATTCCCCAGGCAACAGAATGAAGCCAACGTTCAAACCGCACAGCAGCCGCAACAGCGAGCGCCCGTCCCACCTTACAACGGATTTCCAGGGCCTGGGGGCGTCTGGCAAGAGTGGCCCGCCCAAGGCGACCTCCCGAATGGAGTTCCTGACCTGGTCGAAGGAGGCCCAGCCGTTCAAGCTGGAACAACCTCGAAAGAGGGAGGTGCATCACCCGCTGCAGATGCTTCTACAACGTCTTCGTCTTCACAGGCCTCAGAGACTTCGGCTGAAAGCCGGGATGGTGATTTGTCGCCTAGGGAAGCCGCTGCTCGTGCCGCACTCAGTCGCTTTACCACCAATAAGCCAGTGACGACGCAGCTTGAAGATTCGAGTTCAAGCCAAACGCAAGAACCTGGGACATCTACATCAAGCTCCGCGACGTCGGCAATCCCAGATGCGGTTTCCAAGAGTATCAACCATATACCGAAGTTAATTCCGCTCCTCGACTTTCAAACCCCTGGATCTATTCCACGCCCTCATGTTCCAAGGCAAGGGCCAATTGAAGTGAACGGACGACCATCTTCAACGCCCTTCGCGCAACCTGCCCGTCCAGTCGCTCCGCAGAACAGGTTTGCACACTACTCGTCGAACACTGCCGTACTTCCGACCCCGTCCTCCTCTGTTCCTTCCTTCCAACTTCCCCCGACTCTGACCGACGAACAACTAGCAACACTGGATACCTTGACAAGAGAGAGCATTGATGAGCGTCTTCGAATACTCGAAGGCGTTTCATCTACTGTTTATCGCTGCATCGATGAGCTCATGAGGTTGCGCAGCGCCTTACCTCCCACAAACCTCCCAACTGGAACATCTAGCTCAACGACTCGTCCTTCTGAGACTGCGGCGTCATCGACGGCTACCCTGGAGAGCAGTGTTATTCCCATTACAGAACGTGGCAAAGAAAAAATGAAAGCCACGGAGTCCGAAGGGGCTCAGGATACAACAAGTTATCAAGAAATTCAGACACCCGCTTCGGGTACCAGCACAAATGACGAGGTCTCGTCCATGTAAATTAGTTTAGCTGGGTTGAATATACATAGATGGAATTCTGGCTCGTGTACGCTATGATGCATTCAACTGGAGAAGAATCTGTGCTCTCTCCTTGACAATGTGGACCTCCACGGATGACTTGTCTACGTTGGAATAGAACTCTTTGAGGGCAAGCCCTAGTGATCTTTTGGGGTCGCTTCCTGCTGGTAGCCCTTGCATGGCGGCCTTCAGGTACATGTCAATGTCCTCAACAGACAGAAGAGGGGGCAGAAATTTAGATAAGAGTTCTACTTCCTTCTCCTCTTTGGCTGCGAGGTCTGGTCGTTTTCCATCATGGAAGGCAGAAGCTGCTTCAACCTTTGTGAAACGATTGAGCCCGAAGAGAAGTTGAAGTCCTAGCGACTCTACGTACCCGTCGCTGCACAGCTTTACGAATGATCATAGTCTTGGACAACTCGTCAACTTCGAAGAAGGGCAGACCATGGGGCACGTACCATGGCCGACGAGGACAAATTCCCATCCTTTGACGATTTCTCTGCAGAATTTATCTCCGATAGGACTGACTGTAACCCCGCAGTCAGACGAATGCAACGAAGGCACTGGAAACGGGTGGACATACCCGTAAGGTGGTGGAGGCGACTGTGTCGCGGTTCTATGAGGAAGAACACGAGGTGAAACGCGAGAAGGACGACAAGGAGCAAGTTGTGTACCTTCATGGAGGCCTTGATATCATAAAGAATGTGCCCCCGCAAGTCTGGACAGATTACAAACTAGACAAGCCTGTCAAAGAAATAGGCGTACCGGAATTGGCGCTACCAGCGGTGCTATAGAATAGACGACGGCATTGTTGTAGAAAGGGGCTGCGCAAGGTCCTCACAAGATTAGCCATAGTCACCGATGTAAGTAGTTGCTGTTGGAGAGGGCAAGTCCCTGTCTCGTGCTCCGGCATTTGCCGCGGCCACTTGAGCCTTGACAGTGTCATTTCGGACAGTGACTGATCGACGACTGGTGAAATTGAAAGCTTGGAGGCCAGGCGCTGCTGGGAGGCGCTGGGAGGCTTGGAAAATGACTCGATATCAAATTTTGAACATGATTCTCTCTTTCACCCTGTACTCGGGAGACAATATACAAGCACGACTTTTTCTTCATGATCAGACTCCTCTTGCCACTCCATCATCACCGCCGACGAAGATGTCTCCTCCGTTCCCTCCTTCCTCTGGCTTTTTACAAGCCATTCGCCAATCCTCAAAAGAATTGCGCATAGCTTCAGGCATCTCAGTAAGCTCGGAACTCTTGTCTGGACTTGATATTGCTCAATCACCTCTTAACAGATTACCCCTGATCACATTCAACGCCTTCTCTTATCGCCCACCTTTACGACGTCCTTTAAACGGGTCTCGAAGCATCACGGGTTGACGCTACCCCTCAAATTCTCCTCCCACCTGGACGAGCTCAATTTCTTCTCTGTGCTTTCCCTTCTTAATTTTGGATCTGGGTATCGGGTGCCACTCCATACAGCTTCAGGTCGAGGTGCTTGGGATTCTGTCCGGGCGCTAACTTTTTCCCTGTATCTCACATCGACTACTGGTGACGGCGATCTTTTGTCTTCAAAGGGTTTGCAGACGATCGGTGTAGCCAAAGTCGCTGAACTCTTAGGGGTCAGTTTGCATGTTGAAAAACCTCATGACAAGCTCCCTGGCGTTGTGGTCGGAGAGTTGGGTGGACCATTATATGAATTCGTGAGACTCGTTGTTTCGACCTTGAACAAGACAGGGGAAATGTTGGAGAACCTGGGATACGTAAATCTTGGTGCTTTCATCGCAGAGGCTCTAAGGGAAGCAGGAACGGTCCAAGGCCGTTCAGACGATGCTGCCATCGAGGTCATCCTGGAAAGAGTGGGTCTTTCTTATCATTCCACACCACTGCACTACTCATAGGTGAATATTATCTCTAGATCGTCCGCGCGTTTCCCGGTTTTCGAGACATGGCCGAAGTTAATGGACAAAGTAAGCCCCGAAAGCCAGCGGAACGTGAAGGAAACCATTGACTTGCTGATTGTAGACATTTACTGCTTCAAGAAAGCGTTATTCTTGATCCATGCCATCACAATACGCTTTGGGTCCTTTCGTCCGCCCCCTTTCCCCGTTCCCAACACCAATAATATTCCTGTCTTCTCAGACAACGTCCTACCCTCTCTTCTTATTCACCTTGGCATCATTGATCTGCCTACAACAGGCACTTTGTCAAACCTACTAGTATTCCCCGATGCTGGTTCGGAAGAGAAGCTGAAGACGCTGCTGAATCTGCCTCCTCCCTTAGACGTCAAACCTGCCGATACTGCCCAGAAGAAGGTACCAGAGGAAGGGCCTGTTCTGACCGCAGATCAATCGTACATCTTACGAGCAGCGGCTATCGATGCGTGCGAGCTCATCATCGAGACCGCTCAATCTCTCGATCCAGCGTTCCTCAATGCCAGCGAAGTCGAATGGCTCCCTAAAATCACACTGCCAGACCTGGATATGTGGATTTGGGCAGTGGCAAAGGACAGGTCAGATTATAGAGCGCTAGAAAGGTTTGTAGCAAAAGATACGGTTTATTTCTAGGTATTGGAACCAGGGTCAGTGTATAGTACATATCCATTGTGTCTAAATCTAGAAAACGTGTGCATGTATAGTTGGATCTTCAGAGGCTATCAGGCATTATGTCTCGCTGTCGCTTGCATTACTATCACTCTCATCATGGCCCCAGACGGCGAATGCCCTGGGTTCATTATGGTCATGGGACCTAGAATAACTATGCCCTCGCCCTCGCCCTCGAACATTGGACGCTGGCGTTGGCGTCTTGACGGCTTCGTAGTCGAAATCTCGGTCCTTTGGAATCCTGCTCCTGCCACTCATTTGTCGAGGTGAATGGAGATCATCTCGGGTGCCCTGTTGGGCGGCATGAGACAGCAAAGAGTCGGGGGATGAAGATATGGAGGACGATGGTGAACTGGGTAAGTTGAATCCGACATGGCGAGGGGATATAGTTGGAGGATGTGGGGCCGCACTAACAAAACGCCCAGGAGAATCGACTCCAGAATGTGGTGGAGGCATAAAGCGGGTTCGAGAGCGGGACTTAGATCGCCGCTTGGGAATGGGAGATTGGGGGGGTTGGTGCTCCTGGACCAGAGCGCCAACATCAGATGATATACCTTTCGTGACGTCATTCGCGACTGAGGCTGCCTCTGGAGACGAATCATCGATGTCAAAAGTGTCCTCCTCTTCCTCGTCAGACACCTCGTCTTCTTCCTCATCCTCTAACATTTCCTCGGTTTCCTCTGGAGATTCTTCCAACACCTGGGGGTTGCCGAGCTTCATTTCGGAGGCGATGTGATGACGCCGTCGTTTCTTACAGGGCTTTGAAGGACCTTCTTCCACGACGACGAAAGATTTCTGTCGCTCTCTCTCGTTCCATTTGAGGGTACGAGAGATAGCGTGGAACCAATCCGTGGATTGTTTGTCTGCACAAACGGTAGGGAATGGGTATTTGGAAGCAGTGACCTTGATGTGATCTCCCTCTGCGGGACAACGTCAGTCGAGGACGGGCTACTAGCCATGTTCCGGACTTACGCTTTAGTTCCACGCGGCCTCGACCATCGAATGAAGCCCATGCGGTGCTGCGAGAATTGAAGGGCACACAAATTCTGAGTTCCATGCTGTCCGGCAACAACATTGGCCTAAACGAGAGTGTATGAGGGCAGATGGGTGTGATCAGAATGGCGGGTATTTCAGGATGCACAAGAGAGCCTCCCGCAGATAGCTGCAACATCATGAGAAATTTTTCGATTTGAGGGGAAAATGTACTTACCGAATAAGCAGTGGATCCGGTAGGTGTCGACACCGTCAATCCATCTGCCTGTACCGTGGTCATGTGGTGTTCATCGCCTATGGACGCCATGGTCAGCAACTCTGGTTTGGAGGTTAGCAACGTGCTTACCGAATAATTCCAAAAGAGAAACATAGGGACTTGGACCGCGGTCAACAACGAGATCGTTCAGCACCTCGAAGGTTTCAACAGGCCGCGTCGTGAAGCACATAATTTCCTTGTCCTTCGCTTTGCATTTCCCTTCAGGGGCAGCAAAACCCCCGCTCCACCCGCCTTCAAGAGCTTCCCAGCCACCCTTTTCAATATTCTTCATCATGATCTCACCCGTTTCACCCTTCTTCACTGCCTTGCGTCCTTTGCCCTGCTCGTTAGCAACTGCACGATAGACAGTGCAGGTGAATCGCATTCGAAGATTAACGCGGATGCCATTGTCAATTGCTGAATCCATGACAGCTTGATGATCGGCGAAGTCGAAATTGGTGAGGAAGCCTAGAGAGCCCAGAGCGAAAGGAAGCACGGGCGGTACGATGTGTTGGAAGAGCCATGAGGTGAAAAGAACTGTGCCGTCTCCGCCGAGCTAACAGGAAACATTCCAGTCAACAAGGAATGGGGTCGTGGGGAGCGAGAAACTTACAGTCACGACGAAGTCAAACAGATGCGGGCTGTGACTGCACATGGCACTTGTCCAATAACGAAGCTGCCCTTCTTCGCCCCCCTCCCGATTGGTGGAGTTGGACGACAAGGAGGAGAGAGAATGGCTACTTGACGTCCTCCGTCGAGGGAAAGGAACGAAGAGCTCAGGGTGCTCAAGCCGAATGCCTTCGGCGTCAAAACGTCTAGAATGTCTTAGCTGGTTATCAACATATCTATAGACATGGCAATGTCAGCGACACCAAGAGAGCACTCAGGAATATACCATACACCACCATCCCCCGTGAGGACCCGCGCGTGCGCTTCAGCATGAGATATAGCGCTAGTTCTCGCGTTAATTTAATCAAACGATTATCGCGGGCTTTGGTGATAATGAGGACGTTTTGTATGTTCGTCTGCACTCTGGCACGGCCTTAAAGCGTCGAGATTAGCCATCATTGCAATAATGCCAGTTGGACCTACCCAGCTGTTTACTCATTTCTCGAACGCCCACTGCCGTTTCTGCAAGTCGTCTAGTCAAACTTTCGCCAAATTCATTGTCGTCATTCGCATCGTGTTCGAAGGCTGTCGACACGGTCGATGGTAATCGGCCTTGACTGGCCAGTTGTTGCAATGATTTAGCAACACCAACTTCGTTGGGATCGATAAAGTGTTGCTTATTTTGTAGCCAATCTGTCAATTGAGCGCCTTTATCGAGGTGAGAGTGAACGAAACAGGGTGATAACGCGGCTTTCTGAAGCTGTGGGGTAGGGGAGGCTTTCGGGGAGAGGGGTACCACGGTGCGGTCTTGAACCATAACAGGGACGGAAGTTGTCCCATTCAATTTCTTGAGAGGTGCAGGAGAAGAAGTATAGAGCTCGATATCAGGATTCCACTCCGATTGCTTGTGGTCGATGTGCAAGGACGTCGGCCGGCTGCTTCTCCGGGAAAGCGATGGGCGCAGCACTTGTCCTGGTCCTGGCGTTGTTGGGGGAGTAGAGAACGTCTCCGAATCCGGAGAGAGTAGTTGACGGGGATCAGTGAGAGATGGAGACATTGCTGACGGGTGCGATCTGAATGGCACCTACGACGTCGTTGGAGGTATATGTACCAACTCGTATGAGCGTCCCTTGCCTTGATGCCAACGGTGATGAACTCGCAGCGCTCGTTCAACTGCAAGACAGTCGTCTGGGCGACCACAAGTTTCAAGCGTAGATGAAAGATATAAAGTTAGACGGATGATTATGAAGCCCCTCCGGCTACATTATCATCTGCCGTCCACCAATGGGCGATGAGATCAAGCCGACGAATCAAGTTTTCTGTTTCCACCTCTCATCGGCTGCCATTTAAGCCAATGAACAGTGTCCACCTCACGATGGCTGGGCAAGAACCCTTCCAACCATTACATACAGATTCGTTAGGCATACGCCAGCACATCGACCAGCATCGACGTCGTCAAAAATAAAATAAAAATGGCAGTCGCTTCTCTAACATACAGTGAATATCTCTAACCGATTTCCACGTCTTGAAACTAGTACTATAATTTAAACGTATATCGCCGATGCTCGTCATATCCGTCGTATTTCAAGCTTACGATCAAGTGTTGCATTTGGTGTCTGGGTTGGGCCAGTGCGTGGGAATTTAAAGATCTTGTCCACCTCGTGACCACCACTTGCAGTTTCTGCAAGTGCTAGCAGCCTAGCACTTGTCAGATTGTCAACTGCAACGATCACCCCTACCAGATATACCGCGGTTTCTTCTCCTTAGCTGCACGTGGCAGGTTGTTCCACTACCATGTCGACTAAAGCAAAAGAAAGTGTCAAATCGCTTCCGCTGGCCAATGTTCTCCAGGACCTGGCTATTCTTCGCGCTTCTGGGATGGAAATTCCGCAGGCCTTGACATCGCCTATGCGTCCAGTGCCAGCTACTCCTGAGTTAAATTCCTCTTCAGTGTCGACTTCTTACGAATTTATCCGCTATTCTCGTGGGGCTATCAAACTGCAGCATTCGGGGAAGGTGGAGGTGGAGGGGCAGAGGATCGAAGAGATTCGCATCAAATACGAGACTCTGTGCAACGTTTTGCGAGCGCATACACCGTCTCAAGAGTAGCTCATTCTGTAAGTGTTTCTCAAATGTCAACATTTTCATGTACCCATTTTGAACCAGCACACCCCCAGGTTGTTGACATCTTGAATGAAATACGAGAACCAGACGCATCGGTGTGCAGAACCTGAGAATGGCAGTCCGTTGACATCTGCGGCTCAAGCGGGCCCGAACACGCATCATACCCCAATCATACCCCTTGAAAGATTTCTCCTGCTTGCCGCTGTCTTCTTTTCGAGCCCAGTTCATCGTAAAAGCCCGCGAAGCCCATTGATTTGGCATCCTACATTTGTTCGCGATTCCATTCAGTTTCGATCCCTGCGCCGTCTTACCCTTGGTCCCAGTGATTGCCTTCTCCAGCCCCGGTCATCCTGTGAAAAGAGGTACATTGCCTTTCTGATGAACGTACGGCGGTGGTGATTAGCGTTGGCCAGGCTTCGTCTGGTTGAGTTCTTGCGATCTCGAGTGGGCAATCCGAAGCGATTCAAACCCTTGTAATTGCTCAAATCGTCATGATGAGTCCCTCATGATAATGTGTGGTTCGTGGTACGGCCAGACCTCAGTTCTATCGCTTCATGCAGCTAAAGCGTCCACAGGAACCTTGCAGAAAGGCGAGACTCATATCCTAAACAGTCAAGGATCCTGCAACTGACTGGGGAATCTTCTAAACCTAGGTTTGTTCCTTTGATGTGAACGCTTCTCAGGGTTACCAATTGATCAGATCTTATCAACCTCGTACTTTCACAAGCAGCACTTCATAACGAATCTCGTCCCATCGACTTCTCGGAAGTTCATATCGCATACCTTGGTTATATCGTCTCCCAATCTAAAAGACTGGACTATCGTATTTACACAAGAACATTCCCGATTCTTCACGAATGGTTTGTGAGAAACCGGCATCAATCCGCGAATCCATGGTGTTGTAGGTTCTCGTGGGCAATACAGCGGTCGATGTGGGTCCGTTGATGTCCATCCCCAGGCTGTCATCTGGCGGTCACATCTGGCGATTTTCGCAGCGCATGTTCACAAAGAAGCCCATCCCTGGATCTGGAGAACTCAGCACGAAGCCGGGTATATAAGAGTCTTGATATCTTCTCCCTCTTTCACTGTATCCGCCATGGACCGAAAGGACTCGTTATCTTCGCATTCGGCTGAATTCGAAAAGGCTGGCACCCACGCCGCCTTCAGTCAGGAGGAGTCTGCGACTCTCGAGAAGCGAGTGTGGCGCAAGCTGGATTGGTATATTCTTCCAGTCGTCACCATGTTCTATCTGCTCTCTTGGCTGGTGAGTACTTCAACGCATTTCTTCTTCCATCGGCTGGTGCTGAGTATCCGATACTAGGACCGGACCAATCTCGGAAACGCTCGCGTTGCTGGTATTCAACAAGACCTCAGAATGAATAACAAGCAGGTTTGTTCAGCATCATTACCTCGACACTGTCAGATGCTGAAGTACATGCGCCGTTTCAGTACAGTATTGCATTAACGGTGACATTTGTGTATGTTGTCGTCTTCTTGACAAAGTGGGAATCCTTGAGAGAACTCGATTCGTCAGACCGTACATAGTATCAGAGATTCCCTCGAATCTGCTCCTTAAGGTCAGCTTTATCTCAGTTTCTTCGCTACCAACATCCGAACGACAGCTGTTTAGATTGTGGGCCCAAACCTCCTGCTGCCCGCCCTCATCGTGTCCTGGGGTATTGTGACAACTTTTCAAGGTTAGCCCCACATGCCGAGCGTGGTTCATCCATACTGATTTTTCATTCGTACCCAATAGGATTCGTAAGCACCTACGGCGGTCTCCTTGCGTGCCGGTTTTTCATCGGTTTGCTTGAAGGTTTGTCCGGCCGTTCTTTGGGATTCTTCATTGCTTACGGTCCACAGGCGGTGTACTTCCCGGCCTTGTTCTTTATCTCTCCATGTTCTACCCCCGTCGGAAACTGCAATCGAGGTTAGTATGGCAGATGCATGGATTGTGCGCCTTTCCCAACCTCTTCATTTCTCAGGATATCTGCATTCTTCTCCTCGGCGTCTCTTTCTGGAGCATTTAGCGGACTTCTGGCAACCGCCATCATGAAAATGCATGGAATGGGAGGTCGTCCTGCCTGGGCTTGGATCTTCATCCTTGAAGGGCTCTTTACCGTGGTCTTCGGGTTCATGTCAGTCTTTGTTTTACCTAAAGCTCCACAACATACACGATTCCTCTCGCAACGTGAGAAGGAGTATGTGATATCCGAATTACGCCAGGCAGGCGCCATCTCCACTGATGACAAAAACGACGGCTTCAGCTGGGCTGAGGTCCGCAGGACCTTTTCTCGTCCCCAATTTTGGTTCCTTGGCTTCGTGTACTTCTTCAATGGTGAGATTATTCTCTATTGTCGATGTTTCCTGTCGGTGTTAACTTGACGCTCCCTCCGTTGTTAGGCACCATGTTGTACTCCCTTGCATAGTGAGTCGGTGTTAGTGAACGTATACCACGAGCTTGAAATAATGTGTTACCCAGCTTTACGCCGTCCATCGTCCAGGCCTTGGGTTACACTCCCATTCGTACCCAGCTTATGACTGTGGGGCCGTATGGTGCGGCCTTCGTTCGTAAGTTTATTCTGCCTTCGGTCTACGGAGTACGGAGAACGAGAATCGCTGATTGTAACCTTTCAGTCACGAATGTCGCCTCTGTCATTGCTGATCGATACCAATGCCGGGGCTTCGTCGCCATATTCAGTTCCTTGTGCTGCCTGGCTGGATTCGCTATCTACAAGAGTAAGCATATCATCCACTTGCATTTGTATGTTGTAACCTTTATCTGACGCCCAATGACCAGCGTCAACCGACAAAGCCACCCTTTACGGCAGCCTCTTCCTGACTATCGGTGGTATCAACTGCTCGTCGCCTGCATTGGCGGCATGGGTGGCGAACAACTTCGCCCCTCATGTGCGAAGGGCAACAGCTATTGCTGCCTTGTCTATGATCACCAATAGCGGTGGCATCCTCTCAACCTGGCTGATGGCGTCGTGGTCGAAGCCGCCGAGGTACACGTCTGCGACTATCGTCTTCCTCGTATTTGCAGCCATGATGGGCATTTTTACTGCATTCAACCTTGCCTATCTTTACTATGCTAACAAGGCCAAGGCTCTCCAACGTGAATCAACAACGCAGAGCGAGGAATCGCCTGACCTTGGTGATAAGAGCGCCTGGTATCCATACATCCTCTAAGGCGGATGCGAATTAATTACACTCAGAGGAACGAGTTCATGCTTTCAATGTACCCTACTTACACGAATTTCTAAACTACTCTTTCGTGAATATTATATTCGTTCTCTAAACCTCGCACTTGGAGCTTATCGTCCGGAATCCGGATTGTCGCCGGCTCACCAATTTGGAACGTATCGACGCCAAAGACAGCGATCACGTGCCAATTATGGAGGCTGGCATTTAAAATGATGTTTTTCCAGCCACTCGTGTGCGGCTTGCTCTACGTTCCAGGTCGCGGCTCCGGGAGCCATTGCAGCCAATGTCGACAATGGTCGCGCAGATGGTCTCCCCACTCCTTCCAACCTTCGTTGTCCGGGTCATTTCCCCGACAATTGTGCTCTTTTCTGCCCTATCTCTGCTCTTTACACATCAACAATCTCCACATTCGCCTTCTCCAATCACGCCTGTGGTTGTTGCGACTGCGATACCACGACGTGCTGTCATACTAACTTTTCTTTCTGCCGTCGCATTCACCTATCTTCTGGATGGGTTAGCGTTTGTTGTTTTCGCTGTTTTGGATCACAGCTGGCCGCGCCACTCGGGAATTCCAGTTAACACAATAACCGGTCTTGTGGCATTTTCTGGCCTAGCTGCTCTAGGGGCTTGGAAGGACATACAAGGCGTCGAAGTATGGTCATTCAGGAGGCTCAAAGTATCAATGTTTCTCGCACTGTCACTTGATACAAGCTTGGCCATTTTCCTAGCTCTTGATGTCCGACGTGGGACTCCAGGTATGTGGCTCCAGCTTGCAAATCAGACTGTTTTTTTAACTCTCATGCATCATTCCCAGAACCAACAATTCCAATTCGAGCCCTTGTTCATGTCGTTTCCCCTGCGTTGCGTGTTCTATGCCTTTTGCCTTTACTTGGCGCACTGCTATCGCCTCGTGTTGTCTATAATTCGGTGCAGTCCTATGACGACATCGAAGAACCGCAAGCGACGGATTCTACCTTTCTACTTCCCCCTGGAGCCATTCCTCCGTCGTCAGCAGGTTTATCTGCCATCCCCTCTCCTGGGGAGAGCAGCAAGTATGGTACCTTTCGCTCTACGCGATCCAATTTGCAAGCGTCAGCACCGGTGACCCGCGCCGCAACGCCGGCGCCGTCCACAGGGCCTGACTTGAAGGTACGAGGAGATGTCGTCCCCTGTAGACTATTGCCACATCTAACAATGATGTCAGTCGGATAAGAAACCTGAAATATCGTTCGAACCTTCCTGGTCAGAAATTCTGCGCCGCATCCGCAGATTAGTGCCCTACTTGTGGCCAAAGAACATTCGGTATCTCCAGTTCCTCGCCGTATGTGTTCGCATCTCCTGTCTCGACGCAAACACCTGAACTTCTATTAGTTTGTGTGCATCATCATTCTCCTCATTGGACGTGTTGTAAATATTGCGATGCCAATCACCTTGGGCGCCCTCGTCAAGATCTTGGAAGGTGGATCTGAAGATTCTCCTTGGCCATTCCTATTTGGATATGTTGGCTTGCGCTTCCTCCAAGGAAGTGGAGGATTATCCGCTGTTCGAGATGTACGTTACCTTCTTTCGAAAGCTTTGGCCGCGGCTGAATATGCATCATTCAGGCACTGTGGGCCCCCGTTATGCAATACTCAGATCGAGGTCGGTAATTGCTTTAGCTCTGTCGCCTCTCTCTGACCATCCATAGAAATGTCACAACTCTCTTTCGATCACCTCCTCAACCTTTCATTTGCATGGCATACTCGCCGTAAAACTGGAGAGATTTTACGGGTTCTGGATCGTGGCGCCGCGATCAACCATACTTTTGAGGTAAATGACGATGTTGCTGTCAGGTTGCTCACAAACTCAACGAACCATTGTCTATGCAGTTAATCTTGTTTAGCATTATTCCCACCTTCGTGGATATCTTCATCGCCTTGATATTTTTCTCCGTCGTCTTCAAGTGGACTCTTGCCTTGGTTATCTTCTTTGTGATGTTTGCATATAGCGAGTTTTCAAGCCTTATTGTCTAACAATTCATCTGATGGCATTCTAGTTGCTGCTAGCGTCATTCTCACCCAATGGCGGACTCGTCTGAGACGCCAGATGAACGATCGTGATATTGTAGGCCTTTTTATTATGTCACATTCTGATCCTGCTCAGATGGTTCTGTCAAGGTTACACGAGGCATTCATACGGACTGCCTTCTGAACTACGAAACCGTCAAATATTTTGGCGGTGAGGAGCACGAGGGCGAACGGTATGCTGAAGCCATCCGTGAATACCAGGCGCTGGAGTACAAGGTTATAAGTACGGCCTGGCTCTCTTTCTTGCTTTCTTCCAGTTAATTGCTTATATGTCAAACCAGTCTCCCTGAATATCCTGAATTTGGTCCAAAATTTCATCATCGTCAGTCTTCCTTCCACTCATGATTTACTTTGCGGTATTTATCCCACTTCTCCGATCACACAGACATCCGGGCTTTTGATCGGCTCTCTGATGGTCGCATATGAGATCACTTCCGGCGAGAAGCCTGAAGCCCACAAATTTATTGTCTTTATCACCTACTTGGCCCAGGTCATTAGCCTTCCTTGGACCACACTTCCGTACTGATGGTGATTCAATTCAGCTCTATGGGCCACTTAACCAGCTTGGCTATATCTATCGATCGGTCAACCAATCCCTAGTTGATACCGAGAAGTTGTTGGCCCTCTTGAACGAACCTACAGAAGTGAACGATAAGGAGAATGCTCCTGATTTAGTCGTGAACTCTGGGGAGATTACATTTGGTTTGTGCATCCTGTCGTTTTTGAAGACCTTGTCTTACCTCTCTGGGCGCCAGAGGATGTCAACTTCTCCTATGACGGACGAACATCGGCGCTGAATGGTGTTTCGTTTAAGGTTCCGAAGGGCTCGTCCGTAGCTCTTGTTGGCGAGTCTGGTGCGGGGAAGTCTACGATTCTTAGGCTTCTCTATCGATTTTATGATTTGGGTGAGGGTCAAGGAAGGATTCTCATCGATGGGCAAGACATAAGGTCCGTCGACCACTCCTAACTCATCGTCGTCTAATTTAATCCTTATTCTATCAGAGATGTGACTCAGAAGAGTTTGCGTCAAGCCGTTGGTGTCGTTCCTCAAGACTCGGTTCTTTTCAACTCTAGCATTGGATACAATATCGGGTGAGGACATTTCGCACCTCTTTCTAGTGATTATCAACTCATGAATCAGATATGGCAAACTCGGCTCTACCCCCGACGAAATTGAGGCTGCTGCAAAGTCAGCGCAGATGCATGACAGGATCATGAGTTTCCCAGATGGTTTGCCTGCTGAGTTTCACTATGTCGTGTTTCTGTTAAACCACTTGTAGGATACGACACCAAAGTTGGCGAGCGTGGTGTCAGACTGAGCGGCGGAGAGAAACAGCGTGTCGCGATTGCTAGAACTCTCTTGAAGAATCCGCCCATTTTGTTGTTGGATGAAGCAACGAGGTGCGCTTTTCTTGTCGCATCCTTTCTCAGACTCCTAATGGTATTCGATACACTAGTGCATTAGACACCTCGACGGAGAAAGACATCCAGAAAGCTTTGCAAAATCTGGTTAAAGGCCGTTCGTCGCTATCCATCGCGCATAGGTTATCTGTAAGTGAATTTTCGACTGCTTGGCCTATTATACCATGTATTCAAAACCTCGATCCACAGACAATTGCTTCAGCCGATCTGTATGTCCTCAAAATGCCTGCTGATGGCGCGTTTACTGATATACCTACAGGATCCTGGTTCTTAGGGAAGGCCAAATTATTGAACAGGGGAGTTTCAAGGAATTGCTCGCAATCGAAGATGGCGTCTTCGCGTCCATGTGGGCGGACCAAGTTTCCTCAAATGACGACGCAGCTCTATCTCTGAATGGAAGCAGTATCAAGAAGGAAGCGTCGGGATACAATGTTGACACTGCCGATCATATTTCGCTTGCCCCCACACAGCCAGATTTGGACAGCAACCAGCCTTCCGACTTCGTCACCGCGGAATTGCCCAACGAAGAGGACGAGGGCGCTACGGCAGACTTGAATGCCACATCTATCGAGGACCATCACTCGGATGTTGGTCCTCCCTCTCAAGCTCAGGATGTTGGCACCCCGGCTCAACCGGAAATGCTTGTTGCGCCAACACTTGTTGCTCCCACTGCCTCTTCCCCGATAGCGTTCCCGACATCCAGTGAGGATCAACGCGAGAGTGATCAACCTGAAGTTCCTCCGGTGTCCTCTCCGCCCTCAGTTCATCCCCCTGCCGTAACGTTTGGTCCAAGCGTTAATTCACCTCCATCTCGAACTGGCACTCCTGATCCAGAAAGCGAGCCCAAGCGTAAACGTATCTCGTCTCAGAACTTCCAGCGTCTGGCGAGGCGAATTTCTTTGACCACCCGGCGTCAGAGCTCGTCGTCCTCTATAATTCCTGGCTTCAAGCGTGATCAGTCGCCAAGAGTTTCGACAGACGATGCAAATGTTCGGGCTGAAGGAAGCAGTCCAAGGATCTCCACCGACAGCCCAGCCGGAAGTCTGAAAGGGGACGATAAGGGCAAACTCAAGAAGAAGGACAAGAAGGATAAGAATAGGAAAGGTTCTATGTAATCGGACCTAGCTACTCAGTTCCTTGCAACCTTCCCCTTCTTAACCGTCCCCAACTTTTCTCCGACCATATATTTTCTGTCCAGTGTTATTGGTTTGTCTCGGTGCTTTCCTCGTACAATGCATTTGTCCTTTCCTCTTTCCTTTCCTCAGTCGCCAGGAATTTTGTTTTCACGATCTAACGACCTGCACATACGATCTTCCACTATTTCGCTTTCTTTTACTTGTCCATGACATTCAACCTGCAAATCACCTTTCTTTCCTCCTGCTACGACTCAACCCTGCATTAGCATTCACCATACTTACTTACACCACCTGCTATTCTCGTGCAATGATATCTTTCCTCTGATGAAAGGTCAGGTGTCGAACAGGACACATCGGAATCATTTCATTTGAAAGTTCGCCAGATGTGATGGACATGTGCCAGGCTCCACCAGTTCTTGTGCCTAAGGCCCTAAGACGAGTAACGGGGCACTCTTGTCCTGGGGGAATTCTATTCGCGAACCCCCTTGGTTTGCGAACCCCTCCGGGAGATCAAAGTTTAACGGCACTTCCGGCCGACCAGCCGCAACAGGCAGGAGCCGTGACTGGCAGGATTAGGGTGCCGGAGTAGCGCCTGCCATGACATCATACGTTTGCCTGCGCCTGCATGTACTTAGGACTCACCTGAGGAAACCTGGCGCTCGACGAACGAGCCAACAATGTCAACATCGCCCATCCGTGACCCGCATTCTCAGCACTCGCGCAGGTCATCTAAATCTGCATTCTTTTGTATTCGGTGCCTGACTAATCTCTCGACTTCAGCCTAGCAGACCATGACTGCCAGTGAGGCATGCTGCTATTATCCACGCACCACGTTGAAAGGCACGAGGACGAATGAAAAAGATAATCTTCGGATATGTTGTGGGGGTTCCGGGTGGGTCCTTCCTCTTCAGCGTCAATAGAAGATCCCGAGCAGTGAGAAACACTCTTCCTCGCTCATACATTTCTGAAGGGAGGTCACGAAATTGAGCTGCACCCTCGGTGTACCCTTCTTTAAGTGCGCAAAAACCTTCAACTAAATCATGATTTCCACGTTTCAACTCTGTTATCGTTGCTGATATCACCGCTTCCTCCGAGGCTCTGCGCTTGTTGCCTCCTGCCCTCTGGTATGGTCAGATATGTCACCCATTCTTTCTGACCTGTCCTCTCCACAGATTATTTTTATTCTCTGTGATGAGCACCTGGCATCGACCATATTGTTCCTCATGGACTTGAGTCATGAGCCTTGTTCCTGCTGTTGGAACTCTGCATTGCATAATGCGGTGTCGAGCGCCGCATCGCAGGAGCAGTGCGTTGTCGCTGCGAGAACGTAGGCAAGTAATATTTTGCATTTTATTCTTTCCGGGCGCTACGGGCAAGCGCCACAAGTAATTACATTTTATGTACGTTGTAGGTAAGCAGTGGATAATGGCATTGAACCCTCGCGCGATTGCGAGGGTTCCTGTTCTCACTCGAGTAGACGATACGGACACATTTATTTAAACACCTGCTCCGTGGCCAGGGAAGCAATCACCATTTACTACGTTGATTCCAATTTCCAGCGCTGCTGCCGAGGCTGAGCCAACTTATCAATCTTTAAGAAATGTCTATGGGATGGCAAAGGTAGGGCCACACCAGCATGGGTAGCCTTACCAATACGAGAGCCCTAATTACCACCCTAGAATACAACTAAATAACGGCTACTTATTCTGTTGCTGCTGCGCTGCATGTGTACAGTGTGGTGCTTGTGGGCAAGCCCCTATCCGGACCAAATGTCACAGCTGTGACAGCATTTGTCATCCCGTAATCTCTCCGAAAGGCGTCCGGGATCTGGGGGTTCATGAGGGGTTCGCACAAATATGGGGTTCGTGAATAGAATTCCCCCTTGTCCTGGTCTCAAGTATGCAAACCATCGGAAAAGACTCTATTGTGGAAGACGAGTCGGTTGTGGGCTTGCATTGTTGTCCTCTGCGAAAATCCCTCGGATTGCAAGGCGCTCTTAGGAATCGAGAATGAATCGAATGAATGAGGTAATGGCGGAGTCTGAAATGTGGGGATGGCGTATATAAGGACTGCTCCATCAAAACGGCTTCTTCCTCTCCTTGTCCTCGAACCACCACAGTCCCTCGTTCTGAGTTTCCGGTCTCGGTTTTCGTCTGGTCTCGTATTTCAGGTTTCGATATTGTAAGAGCTCGTCGTGATGTCTTCGAAAGTATATGTTGGGTCAGTCTGTGTATTTGCTTGGTGTTTCCCGCGGCTTCTCCCTTCCTTAGGAGAAGCTGAACTAATAGTGATTTGATACCTGATGTAGCAATTTGAGTTGGAACACGACCGATGACACTCTCCGTCAAGTCAGTACAGTACTTGACTAGCAGTTCTGCTCCGCGATCTCGTCAATGTCTCTTATCATCGCATGTTCCCAATTATAGGCATTTTCCGACTTCGGACAGGTCCTTGATGTACGCTATCTTGTCTCTCTCATTTCCCAAATGTCTTGCCGTCGCTTTGCGTAAGAATAAGTTGACCGATTCTGATTTAGTCGATCGTCATGCGCGACCGGGATACTGGTCGCTCTCGTGGATTTGGCTTTGTAACATACAGTTCTGCGCAAGAGGCTGATGCCGCTATCGGCGGCTTAAATGAGCAAGAGCTCGATGGAAGGCGCATCAAAGTTAACCTCGCCAATGCCCGAGGTGGCGGAGGCGGAGGCGGAGGTGGAGGTTAGCAATCCGTACAATGGTGGCTGTTATTATCTAAACCGCAACCCCTAGGCTACAGCGGAGGAGGAGGCTACGGAGGCGGCGGTACTTTGGTCAATTTGGAATTGAAGATTACAAGCTGACCCCAGCTATTATAGGTAGCGGCGGTTATGGTGGTGGCGGCTACGGTGGCCAGAGTGGTGGCGGCTACAGTGGAGGCGGCTACGGCGGTGGTGGCTACGGCAGCAACAGCGGTGGTGGTGGATACAGTGGTGGCGGAGGCTATGGTGGTGGAGGGTACGGACAAGGTTGGTCGAGGGTTATCTCATGATGAAGCGCTGCTTGCTAACGCACGATGGCAGGCGGCTACTGATGACACACCTGCAGCCGGGCAAAAAAACGACTTGAGCCCAAACCGCGCGCACCTCTCTTTTCGATGTTGCACCACTCATTTCGTGTACTATGCTTCTCAATTCAACTTGTACCAGTAGTTACTGCTGTTATCTTATCTCCATATCACGTGAACCAAATCGATCCGATTTAGTAACGACAAACAACTGCAAATACCTACTGTTGAGGAACGAACTCTACAGCAACGTTGTCCAATCCCCCACCACCTCCACCACCTCCACCACCTCCCCACTGTCCTTCCCTCTTGTGATAATGGCGGGGCCTATGCGCTCATTCAAGCCGAAACGCCCTCCTAACTCCTGGATTCTCTTCAGAGCTGATGTTTCCAAAAGGCTACCTCCTCCGGCGCCTGGCCAACCACGGAGAAGTCAGGCAGACGTCTCTGCCCTCATCTCAAGTCTGTGGAGGGAGGCAGATGATGATACGAAGCGCTATTACGAACGGTTGGCCGATGAGGCCAAAGTGGAACATCGCAAGCAGTTCCCGGATTACAAGTTCCAACCCACGAAGAAGGAGGATAAGGAACGTCTGAAGGAGCTCCAGAAAGAGCAGCGCGACCAAATGAGGAGGAATAGGTCCGCTCGTGGGGTGAATCGCTCGCCGAACCCCCCTGCTGCTGCGCGTTTCGCTTCAAGCGCCCCGTATCAAATTCCGCACCTGCTTTTTGGCCCGTCTGGGCCAAGCCCGCCGGTTTCCGCTGCGTCCTCACCAAGGGATCATGCCCCGGCCTCTCCTGTGCCATCATCTTCGATGTCAAGCTTCCCTCAGACTAGCAATCTTTCTTCGCCAACCTCCTTATCCGCCAATCCAACTTCTACAAATCATGATCAAACTCTTCGATTTCCATCTTTTTCTACTCCAGACCAAGTTTCTCAAACAGATTCATCCGCCATTACACCAATATTGGATGAACCGCGACTGCTTGCTGGTCCGTCTACCGATATGAGCGCCCAAGGAACAAGCGGCCTCGAAGCCTGGGTCCCTGCTGCCGAAGGAAGCGGTGCCTCATCGGCAAGTCTCTCATTTGTTCTTCTTGGCCTTGTCCTGACCTCTTGGGGTTGCTCGAACACAGATTCACCTCAGATTCGGAGAAAACAGCTTCAGCGATCTGCAAGCTTGGTCTGAGGATACCAATTCGTTCTTCCTGGACCCATTCCAGTCTGCCAACGGCGGCGCCGGCATGTTTGAGATACATGGTTTCAGTGATCTCATCTCAACAGACCCTGTCGGCGATTTAGAGGTCTCGGTTGGGCAGTTGGATGACAACCCCATTTCATTCTCCTACTTCGACACTTATGCCGAACCCCAAGTCGACCCTTCAAATGCTTACACGTCGGCGTATCCGCCACAATTGGATTTCAACCAGCTGATGTCCGACTTGATGTCGGCGTTTCCTGACATACCTGTGTCTTCCGACACTCCACCCACCGTCGCTTCCAACAGCACTGTTGATACCGTTATGGACACAGCTGCTGCTCCGACGCAGTCGACGCCGTACCAACCGCCTGCCGGTGCCGTGAATTCCTCTATGCGTCGTGTTGGGGCTAAATGGACCCCAGAGACCATGAACCTCGTCTCGCCACCCCCACAGGTATCGGCCTAGTGATGTACCCTGCTTTCCGCTTCATTTTTATCTGCTTTCCTATTTCCGCTATCTCTTTGCAACGCTATCTTCTCCGTTTGCCTGCTTTCTGACATCGATGAATCACACCTCATGTTAACGTTGTATCTCCGTTTTGCCCCGTCATGATATCGCTACGCACGCTTATGGTTTTCTTCGTCTTGATTCCTTCAACTAGACGAATTCGAACTACCCCTCTTATTTTCTCATGGGATGTTGAACCATTGCTCTCATCGTCGAATCCTTGCTCTCCTAGCTGTCTGTCCATTTGCTTACATATCTCATCTTTCATACGTACTGTTATTGCTATTGTCGTCAGCATTCTGCTTTTTTTGCTCTGTACTCCGTAACATGATAACAAATCCTGCACAGAGTGTAGGTACGTCGTGCTAAACTCAAATGTTAACGCGTAACGATTTACCCTTTATGGGTGACAATGAGTGAATCAGGTCCCATTCAAGTTGTCACAAGTGAACCCCATTGTCCGCTCAAATTCCAGTTTCTTTTTTTTTCTTGTTTGTTTGATCAGCGATTTATATAGCGGTTCTCGGAGACCCAAATTGCAGTCAAACAGATGATGTGAACACTGGGGGATCAAGCATTCTTTGGGCAAGGCAATAGGAAAACCAGTTTAAACCACATAGGCAGGTCACGCACTTCGCAGTGCCATCTCCTTCAGTCAATTGATCAAAAACCGCATATTTCGAGATTTCCATACCCATGAAAACAGATACTTCAGTTGTAAGATGTGTATATATACGTGTGTACTTTTCAGGACAAACGGCTTTAACCAGGGGGAAGCAAACTAGCATCAACAGGACCACCTTCGTCAACTGGCAAGTGTTCTTCGTCTTCTGCCTTGATAGGCGTCCTTGGCATTGCCATAAGTCCTGTATAACCGTTTCAATTCTTCATGCGCTTTCAAGACAACCAATGATCAGACCAACCTGTTCGAGCGGCCTCCAGAATACCGAATGGTTTCAAGAGATTCAGGAAAGCCTCTACACGGGAGGTCTTCGCCGTGAGTTCGACAATTACACTATGCTCGCTGACATCCACAATTTTGGCACCGAACTGATTTGCGAGAACAGAGATGGAGTGTAGGTGCTGGTGCTTCAAACGGAGAGCTTGCGAGGGGGTAATAACAGGCGTTACGGCTTCAGGATGGATGCTGCGCTCGAAGTTGTGCACAAGGGTGGTCTCGCGCTCCACTTTTGGGTCTACTGGTTCCTCCACCCAGCGAGGATCGTGAGTTGGGCCTCCTGCCAATTGATCTTCGACATACTCCGGCCCGAGGATCGACACTTTCGCCAGAAGAAGCTCTCGAGAGATAACTCTCGTTTCTGTGTAATCCAAAACAGCCCAGACAGGAACCTTGACGGCATCAGCATGAAGAGACATGGAATTTTGAGTATAAGGACAAACCAAATCTTCCAGCTGTCTCCGTGCCTGCTCGACGACACCGTCTTGACCGCTGAGGACGATGCACATGCGACTCAAGTCGCGAATTTCGGTCCGACAGACGACCAACGAGTCGATATTGAAGCCTCTCCCTGCAAGGATTCCAGATACGCGCGACAGCACTCCAGGTTCATTTTGCACAAGGCAGTTGAGGATGTGCCTGTGGAAAACCCAGGCATAAGGATCGTCCAGAAGAAAATATGAAGCTAATAACAGACTTTTTGAAAGGCTGCAAGCTAGGAGGTGGGGTATTGTAAAGAATATTTGTGACTGCCTCCTCTGCGCTGCGAGAACGGGGAAGGTCGGTTGAAGGGAGAGGGGGAGGGCGACCGCGCTGGATTCGCTTGTAGTCCAAAGCCGAGGTGGAATCGTCGACGGACTTTGGCGGCTGAGGGGGCTTTGGATCCTTGATCCCCTGTGCTATCCGCGCAGTCGAAGAAAAGAGGCGCCTGGTCGAAGCTGGAGCGACGCGGGCACGTAGGATGGCTGCTGAGAACATAGGGAAACCAAGAAATTGTAGCATCCCTGACTCGACACTTTATATTTCATTATGTAATCAGCCTCCTTTCCCAGCATTTCTCAGCACTGTCCGCGCAAGTTCTACATACTCCACTGCGTCCTGAATATCCTTGCCTTCAGTTTCCGACACCTTTTCCCAATGAGTAAGGCCACCGTCAATGAGCGACCAACATTCCTCTTCCGAGTGCTCGTCGACCCATCGGACGTATTCGGCTTCTTGCCAACCATGCAATTTGTGCGGGAGCGGAATCGGAGAGCGGACCAGAATGTGGTGCAGAACAATCAGCGGAGAAAGTCCCGTTGTGCGGTTGCTTGAGGCCAGTTCTATATTTTCGAGGAAGAAAAGAGGTCTATGCTTTTTTGAACTTCAGGTCCCATACTTCACCGATAAGAGGCTCACCGCATCGCTCGAAGGGATCTGTACTCGCCACCAATTGACTCCAGATTTCCCCCTCTTTTGTTTTGAGTGTTGTCGGCAATGAATGCATTCAAAGCAAATTCTAAGCCTGTCATATCACTGGCCATCTGAAGCTTTCCACTTTCTCCAAGGGGGCAGGCAATGGAGATATGGAGGACAAAAGTTCTGATCACATATTTTGTGATAGAAACCACCCTACACGAAGTCAACAAGACGGATGACCTTTGATGGACCGTATGCTGACCATTTCCGCCCATACTCGCCGAGATTGTATCTGGTAATGATTTCCGACTTGATGAACGATAATTTCTCGGTCAGCTCTTTCATGTACAGGCTTGATCCACCCATTCCAGCGTTGGGATCAACAGCCTTGGAGAAATCAACCCTGTGGAGTTTTGCGATAAGGGCACTAAGCTCTCGTCGTATGGCAGTCGTGAGTGGATCAAGGATGCTTTCAAACATTTGGTACATATTCTGCCATGGAATGATACAGTTACCGAATCACATAAAAGCAGGGGATCCATACCTTTAGACTTGGTTCCAGGATGATGAACACAGCAGCATCGTGCTCTTCGTTCAACTTGCTCAATCGTCCCCATGTCTGGTAAAGGAAGTTCGCCAGACTGGCATTCGAGATTTGCTGCTGCGTAGCCGAGGGTCCGATCAAGGTTGTCGCGGACCTGTCTTTCATGATCTGTCATTGGAATAAGCAGGAGTAAATGCAAAGGGAGAACACAATACATACTATGCCTTCCAGTCTCGTGAGTATATTTCCCAGACATGAAGCAGCGTTTTTTGAAACAGCTTTCACGAGCAAAGGATCAAACCGTGCCGCGTCGAGTTCGTTAATCACAATGCGAGCAACGTTGATTCCTTCATTGCCTCCTGGAGGAATGCGTGCACCCCCTGAAAATGCTTGACCAACGGCATCGTTGATCTTGTTAGAAGATTTGGACAAGTAGAGGGTCTCAACACTTGACACTGAACGGAGTAAAAGAATGGTTTCTGGACTAAAAACATCAATGAAGTGATGAGAGACGCCAGTGGTAGAGAAAGCAAAATACCTTTGGAACGTGCTGCTGTAAACTGTATCCGTATGGACAGCAATCTTGCCGAAGAAGTCATGGAATAATCGTAACAGGCGAGGGTAGCCCGACGACAATGTTTGCTGAAGAAATATTGATCCTGGAGCAATTTGGTGCATCAGCAAAGACTGCAAACGTAGGTGCACGAATGTGGCACCTTTAGAAGAATCCTGGAAATGCTTCTGAAGAGAGCGGCTAAGCGACATCCAGAACGTTGCACTGGGCCTATTTTCCAACACCTTCATTGCTTCATCCAGAAAGATGACTTGTGATGTAGCATCTCGTTTGATCTTAAGGACTTTTTCCAACGCATACACCTAGGAGACAGGTGATGTTATTAGCAACGTGACGGCCGAAAACTCTACCTGTAACTTGCCTTGATACAACAATCTGCCATTTCTTGGAACATGGTTTCTAGTCTTGCCCAAAGCGCAGCTGACCATTGCGGCGCGGTCACGTTTGTGGGTTCTGTTCGGACACGGGACCTGTACATTTGCGGTGTCTGGGAGCCCGTTGCTGAAGGTGGCTCTATAAAGCAGGTCAATCTCTACAAGAGAAACATAATTGAGCTACCAGCCTTTCGCAGAGGCATCCTTTGAGATCTTGTTCAAATCAAAAGCACTCCGTATGCGGTCCTCCACCGCTTGGGACAGATCAAACAAAAGGCTTTGTACCAGTGTTGGGAGGATTCTCAGGTTATACGCCGTTTGAAGTGACGAAGCCAGTAACGGTTGGTTCTATAAGAGAGAAATTTGATATTAAAAGGTCTGTGAATGGCCGTTTTCACTTACAAGGGTTGACAAGCCGCGCAAAACCATGTTTTCCATTTCAGTGGTGATGATGGCCCTTGCTTCGTCGATGAAAGCTTCGTGAGCTGCCACCACCTTAATCGAGCTGAGTGCTATATACAGTTTCTCTTCTGCCGTTTTATCATCCTTTTCATCGCTGGGATCCGGCCCAGATAGAAGACTTCCTGAAGCAGCGGTTACAAAAAGCTGAGGAGGAAGTGTCCTTTCGTCCCCACCTAATTCGGCGATGCTAAGGGCAGCCTTTGCAATGGCCCTTTCCTTCTCGTCCTCTATATCCTTTGCATGCGCGACCGTCGCTGAGGCTAATTCGTCGATGGTGCCTTTCTCTAACGAATTCTTCACGCCGCGAACCTCGTTCATTTGAACCTGTAGTCTTCGAGCAAGAATTACAAAACGTGAGGTCCTTCTCAACAGATCTGATGCTTGATAAAATCGTTGCAAACGGGTGACTAGTGTTTGAAGAGTGTCATATGGAACATGAACTTTGACGCGGAGTCTAGAGGAAAGATGAGACAACGCCCAAGGGACGGAACGTGCAAATCCATACTTTTCAACAGAGTTATCCAGGTCGCTTAGACCAGCACGCACCGATACCAGAGTACCAGACAATGCATTTGCATTTGAGGCCTGAGTCAAAAGGTCTTCATGATGAGCTGTGACCTTCAGAAGTTAGGTGGCCTATCCATGATATCGAGGCTTATACTGCAACACACTAGGTTCCGAATCTGCTTCGATACGTCATCTATCCCGAACGTAAGTTTCGAAATGGCAACTGATATGTCTTCCTTTGCTATGGAATCCTGAGTCGCTTTATGTGCCGAGCTCTTGTTTCCAAGCTTGGTGTCCACAGCATAGGGATCAGTCGCGAGGATGGCATTGGCATATTCGTTCGGATCGAAATCAGGACTCGCGAACGCGGTGTAATCTAGCGAATAGATGTCAGTCCATGGTGGAGGTGGTAAACGAAGGACAAACCGGTCATAATGGTGTTCAGGTAACTTGAGGGTTGCCAAATCTGGCTACGCGGCGCTAGTTCTGATGTCACCGAATCTCACGACCAGTGCTCTTCCATTACCGCCATCATGGCTTATACCTATTACCAGCAAAGCGGCCAGCCTGGCTGGGGAACAAACCACGTAGGAACCCGTGTCCTGCTTCGATCTCATTCTCACTCTTTGTAGTTTCAATTTGGACCACCACCCACCCCAGCCTTTCAACCTCAGCCATCTTGTAAGCTGCGATCTTCTGAGATGGACCCGGGCTTCCATTTACGAATCATCGCAACCAGGGGGAGGACACGACTTCTATAGCGCCCATGCCGCAACTGCTGATCCGTGAGCTGTCTTACCACTCCTTCCATACCCATGATAGCCTACTAACGTCTTGACATAGCTACCTTTTCGATCATGCCTGGAACCGCGTTCGCGAGTACGGCGGTGCTCCTGCTGGAGGCATCGGCGTTGGTTTGCACGAAGCTCGGCACTGGCACCGCCGGGCATATGGGATGGTAGGTGCTGCCCGTCCTTATTTCCTCTCACCGCTGACGAGGCGCCCGACTTCCAGAACGAGATCAGCTACATGGATGCACATGAAATAGGTCATGCAGCTGCATACGAAGCTTACAGAACTTGGATCCATAATAGCTCCATGTATGAACCACTTAGCGGTGATATTGAACGACAGCGTGAAGCACTGACTGGGTTGGCCGTAGCGGAAGGTGAAAGAACTCCGCCTTTGATCAGTGGTCTTCATTTGCTCATTTTGGACCTTCAGCGACGAGATTAATTCAATTCTCTGGACGTGCGTTGGATCAATATGCTCGCCTGGCTGCCACAGAGGCCGCTGCTCACACTGCATCGTATATTTTCTACCAGGCAAGCTTTCAGTTCTACTTTGTGTTTCGCCCCCCCTAACTCCACCGTTAGACGCGCGATGGGGAATATCGTTCCAGATCCCGTTATCGAAGAGGATCCATCGATGAGCCGTATGCGTTCGATGATGACCTTTTATACCCTCGCTCCAGGTCCCATTCTCGACACAGATCCCACTCTCGTCACCGCTCGTATTCGCAGGCTGGTGGTATGCGTGTACCATACCCCGGCGGAGTTGCTTATTCTTCCTCTTCGTTGTCTTCTGTCCCTCATTCGGCATTCCCTGGTCACGCCGGATCCTATGGGTATGCGGGCAGCCAAGGCGGAAGTGTGCCTATGCCCGTCCCCATGCATCCCACATCCTACCATCCAAACGGTACGGCATCCGCATACGGTGGCTCCTCTCCAATGCCTATGGGCATCAGTCCAAGCGCCTATGCATCTGCTATGCCCATGGGTGTCGCAAATTCGTACAATGGATCGCTAAGTGCAGTACCCTTGGGCCATTCTCGGAGTCGAAGCGCCTCCTTTTCATATCCCCAGCAATACCCTCAAGTATATACCGCTCAACCTTACATGGGAACTGCTGGGAGCGCTCAATCTTTTGGGATGCCCCCAGGTGTCCCGGCATCGCAGACAATTGTTATCCACAAGTCCAGAAAACACGGGAAGCACCGACATCGTCGTTCGCGAAGCTCAGATGGAGAGTACAGTGACGACGGGCACCACCATCGTTCTTCTTCTAGGTATTAGCTGAAGCAACAACAGCAGTAAGACTCATACTATGCAAATCTATCGACTTATACTCGTGTACGTTAACTACTTAGGCGCGGATAGTGTGCTATCTAGAAAACCAAATTTCGGACGCCAGTTTGTACTTCAGATGTATAAAGTATATCAGTGCGAATTGCTCACCTCACTGCTAAGTGTATTTTGTATTATTTAACTGACCACTCCCAAATGTATTGGCTTACAGTGCAGTGCATTAGACACAGCTTGTGCTGGATAGCGATCGAGCAGAATCAAGGCTGTGTCGCCTGAAGCGTCGGCAACGTTGGTAACTTTCGCACGGTCACAGTCGTGAGGGTATAAAGAGCCCTCTCCTCGCTCCGTGTCCATCATACTTAGGCTGGTCCTAACCCCCTGCAGACGCACTCCCTCGTAACACCAGAGTTGTACTCTGACCACGCTCACGAATTCACGAACACAACCAGACGATAACTTTTTAAATTTCTAACTTTCAAATGGCAAAAATTACTCGCACATTCTGCTTCTGCATTCCTGTCAGAGCTGGCGTTGTCGTAAGCGGTTATACCCAGCTTCCATACCTTGTCGTAACATCGTTTTCACCAGTTTCTCGGTATCCTCGGTTTAATTGGAGGTGCTGGAGTGGCAGCAGTCGGAATTATCAACTTAAAGCGCGCAGGTGCGTGTTGTGTGTTGCCTCTCTCGAATCATACTGATGACCTGTCCTGTAGATGGAAGCAAGACTGCTGCAATAATTCAGATCGTTATATACTTGCTCTTGTCCATCCTCTCAATCTTCGGGTTCGTTCATCTTCGAAGTCGTATCTATACCTGCTCTTCATCTCTTTCACAGTTTGATCGGAGCTATCTCGAGGAGACTTGGATTCATCCGATCCTACTTCTCGATGCTTGTCGGTCATCTTATCTTCAGCATGGCCACCGGTATTTTTGCCATCCACCGTAATTTCAAGGACGCACCCAAGTACATTTCGGATTGCGCTAGCGGCTCAGAGGATCCGGACGTTCTGAAGACATGCAATGATGGTGCTGCGCTGGTTAAAGGTGTCATGATCGGAGTGTTCATTTTTGCTTGGTTGCTCGAGATGTGTACGTCTACTTATCGTTAATGACCAATTTCGTCGATACTCACATTCTTCTCTTCAGGGGCGTGTGTTATTGTGCTCAAATATAACAGACAACTTGCTGAGGAAGAAGCGTTGAAGTCCGTGGTGAAGGACACTGAATCTTGGTAGATGGATCGTACCCTTAGTAGTCGTTTACCGTACGCGTCTTCTTCCCATGATAATGCCAATTTCTCTGCCTCTGCGTCTTGAAACGAGCATCACTGCCATCAGGAAATGAGACATCAAGTGCTAGCTCTAGGAGTGCCAGGATACTTCCGAAATCCAGTAATTGCTGAACGCTGAGTGCTGAGGAGCAAGGTCCTTGCTCCTGTTACTTTTTGGTGGCGCGTTATTACATAAGAACTTATAGTGACGCGAGGACCGAAGTAGATTTCTGCTCCTCACTCTCTGCTTTTTCTCCCCCATCATCCTCAACATGTCTGGCGCAGCAGCATCTGCAGGAGCTTCAAAGTTCACTGCCTTCATGAACCATCCTGCGGGTGAGAACCGGAGCGACTGCCCCGAATCTGTCACTAACCCCCCCCTCTCGAAATTGTCAGGACCGAAAACCGTCTTCTTCTGGGCCCCTCTCATGAAGTGGTGCTTGGTTGCCGCTGGACTCAAGGATTTGACCCGTCCAGCCGACAAGTTGAGCGTATCGCAAAACACGGGTGAGCACCTCATCTTCCAGTTGCACAGTTCCTTGACTGAATGTGTATAGCTCTTGCCGCAACTGGGTTCATATGGGTCCGTTATTCACTCGTCATCACCCCTATTAACTACAGTCTCGCCGCGGTAAGTTGCATTGTTGAAACGTATCTTCTCGATCATTCCTCACTTCCCCTAAGGTGAACTTCTTTGTCGGTCTTTCAGGATTGTCCCAGCTGGGACGAATTGCTCAGTACGTCTGCGCGACATTTTCTATAGCCTTGCTCCCTAACGCAAGCTCTCTAGTTATCGGATGACTCATCCAGAGGCCCAGAGGTCCTCGTAGTTCATTATTACTCAATACAGTTCTTATTCTCTCCCCGCAACTGAAGCAGTCGAAGTCGAAACGCATCTGAATACATACAGCATAAAAGAGCAAATATCGTCAACTAGACCGAGAGCTACCTGTCCGTCCACTTCCCCCATCTGCGCCCTTAGAGCGCTTCTTCTGCCCGTCAACATTGCGCGGTGGTGACTCGTCTTTGCTCATCCCACTGAGCCAATCTGCTCTCCCAAAAAGCTGTCCTGCAGCGCCGGTGATCATGTCTATCACCTGTTGAGCTTGAGGATTTTGGCGCCGCGCATCTGATTCTTGCTCGTATTTCCACTGCTTGTGCTGCTCGAACGAGTCCCAAGGCTTGGGTTTATTCGGCTTCCTTCTTCGCGTTGACCGAGACTTCGGTCTAGTATCCTCCCCATTGGCGGTATCATCGAATAATCCGGCGAGTATATCGACGACAACGGGTATAATGCCCTGCGTTCCGACAACGTCTCGTGTAGCGTCGCCCATGAGATACCCTGCTCCTGCTATCAAGACACCAAAGAGTGTCCCCCATTTGACAAAGAAAAAGGTGAGTCGCAGGAACCATCTTGTCGTCCGATATAGGCTGGCGAGAGCAAGATAGGCGGCGACGATGGTGATAAAAGGAGGTAAAAGGGTTTGCGCATTCCATTCCGAAGGATGGCTGGATAATAGCGAGCCACACAGCCCAGCGACGGCTGTAGCGGTTGCAAACGAGTGGGAGAGGATGCTGACCAACAACGAGTAAAGTGGAGGCGGGAGACGAGCGGCAAGATATTCGAGCAGAGGGTCTAATACGGCTGGGACAAAGTCCGCAGGGTTGGCCATGGTGGTGAGAGGTGAGTTCGGCAGCATCTGACGGCGCGAAGGATCACTTTATGAGCCAGTTCGCTTCGTTTGAGCGGTCGAACAAGCACCCGAACCAGATCTTGCGGCATGCTCGGCACTATGGTCCTCGTGACGTAAGTGACAAGTAACGCGGTTACTCATGGATGAATACCCCTTGATCTGGATGATCTAAGACAGAAAAACTGGGGTGCGTTTGCTTCCGCCCAATGGGAGATGTCCGGCGTCAGCCGGCTCTGGCAACGACCGGCCGCTGTCAGCAATATTGCCATTTCCGACAAGAACTTATAGGTCTGGGAATTCGACAAATAAAGCACAACAATCGCGCATATAAGGCCCAGACGCTCTGTGATGTCTCTCCCAACTCTTCTTCCACCCCCCGAGGCGCCCAATAAAACTCTTCTCCCCTCTCCTTTGTCTCTCACCATGGCCATGAAGAGGAAACTGGAAGCCGACTCCAACGAATCTTCTCCAGTTGTATGTGTGCTCTCCCTAAGCGCCCGCTTTAACCGCTCATTCATCATGACCGGCATAACAGACGAAACAACTGAAACTCGTCCCTTTCCCCAACATGGAGCCCGACATGGATGTCGCTATGTCAGACGCCGAACCATTATACCCTGACATCATCCACAGTCGCCTTCACTCAAACGCCAGCTCCTTGTCGAACGCGTCCGACTCGCCCACATCCGACTCTTGTATGTCCCCTTTTATCCTGCGACCGGAGGGGAATATTTATATCTTTCTGCAGCGGCGTACCCAACCTTTGACCTATATCCTATGCCCTTTTTCAGACATGATGGCTCAGTTGATCCCGACTCTCACAACTATTCTCACTACTCCCGTCAGTCGTCGCCCAACTCTCAGGTCGGACTGCTTCAGCCTACCAGTGCGTTCGCTCATCATGGGTATGTCGTTTCCTCTACGGCATCGCGCACGCGCCTTAAATATTCGTGCAGAACCAACTGCACCCAAATCCCTAAATTGCGCATCGCTTGCGCGACAACTGTCAACGGTCAGCGCTCTATGTGGAGCCATTGCGAGCAATGCGGCGCAATTTCCATGGTAGAAAGTGACTAAACTATCTGCTAATATTTATAGCTTCCCCGACTGCCTTGCTTTCCTCTTTATGTGCTATTATTCTTGTTTTGCGACTGCTGTACCATCATCCCTGTCTGCCGCCTCTGCAGCTAAAACCCTTGGACGCCACACCGACTTCGACTTTCGGCCTCTGTCTATGTCTTCAGTATGACACCATACCGACATCACTGTAAATGTCCAGCCAGTATGTGTCTTCCGGTTACCATTAACAGGAAGATATCTTGCAGTCCTCTCGCTCATCTCAAGTTGCTTCTGCTACTGCTCCGTCTATATATTTAGAACACGCTGTCCTGTACCATAGTATGCTTTGCAGGTGTCAACATGGACTCTATCTTTACCTCGAAAAGAGACATCGAAGCTTTCATGACGCACAAGAGTCGCACATATTTCCCTCGTGCAGTCAGCGCCACGAGAAGTGAAGCGTACGGACCGGAGAATGGGGTGTTTTCGAATTTGGCATCTCACCTTCGCCTGATTGCTGGAGTCCCAAGTATGGATCCAGACCCGTTCACATCTCTAACCATGACACTCATTGCGCTAATGCCCTAGGTCTCGAGGTGTGTGCTACAATCATAAACCCGGCGATGAGTTGCTTAGTACTCAGTCTTACTCTGATTGAATCGTTTTTTAGACTTACATTCACGGAGTGGGTGGAGTTTCTCCACCCACTCTCCTTGACATATCGGTCGGCTCTTCCTGCATACGTAGCGCTTGGGCAGGAGGCGCGAGCAATCCACTATTAATAGACATCCCCACTAAGAAAAAGTATCGTGGAATTGATGCTCAGTGCCTTTTAAAAGGTTCAGCGCGCAAATAGTGGGGCAGCCAGGTTTATCCCACTCCTCTCCAACGAGCCATGCCAGTCTCTAAGGGCCGCGAAGACTCGGGAAAAGGTAGCTCTCAGGAAAACGAGCATACCGACCTCGTCAACAATGCTAATGCGAAGTAAGGACCTCTCCCTTACCCTTGAGCTTGAGGATCAGGTTATCGACTCTACCCGTGTATCATCAGGATACAAAACCCCCTCCACGGCATCCCTCATGATAGACTTCTGGCTCAAGTTAATGCCTTCGCAAAAGAGTACAACATGGGGGATAGCCTCATTCACCTGCAAAAAGGTGCTCTGGTTGCGCAGAATCCTGGAAACTTTGAAAGCATTATGGAACTAAGCGACGATGACCGTGAAGTCCTTCGTCGGGAGAGGACCCGTAAGCTTCTTGTCTTGTCGTGCACTTCATATTCATTGACAATGCATTTCTTACAAAGACAAATGGAGTCAGCCTCGTGACCTCTATCTTACTGTTGTTCTGTGTTCTGTTGCGGCAGCTGTCCAGTATGTGTCCATACCATCGCGAGGTTGAGCTGTTTGCTGATCCGAGATGTTATTAGAGGATGGGACCAAACAGGGTCTAATGGCGCTAACCTGTCCTTCCCTGCTGAATTTAATATTGCCTTTGAGGACGGCGGTCCTAATACCAATAAGAACGAGTGGATTGTGGGCGTGATCAATGCAGCGTTCGTCACCGCCTGTTAGTTTATGCTAATACTGCGTGCTGAACCTGGTAATTCGTAGGCCCTTCATTTCGTGGGCTGTTGGATGACAGACCCGCTCAATAACTTCTTTGGGCGACGCGGGACGATCTTTATATCTGGCATATTCTGCACACTTTCGGTTATTGGATCAGGCTTGGCGCAAACTTGGCCTCAGCTTTTCGTGCGGCCAACAACAATTTTTCCTATATCTATCATAATATTCCATTTTAGGCCTGTCGATTGCTGCTTGGCATCGGGGTTGGTACTAAGGCATGTACGGTGCCCGTTTACGCTGCCGAAAATACGCCCGCTCTCATCCGCGGTGGATTGGTCATGTCCTGGCAGATGTGGGTGAGTATCTGAAGGTACGGCCTGTCTCTAGTGGAACCATCCGCTAACCTGCGCGCTCGAGACGGCGTTTGGGATCTTCCTTGGCTTCTGTGCGAACCTTGCCTTATATCGGGTGGGAGAAATTGCCTGGCGTCTGCAACTAGGCTCTGCCTTCATACCGGCCATCCCGTTGGTTGTGGGTGTTTATTTCTGTCCTGGTAAGAGGAATGCCTCCGTTACGTCTGCGCGATTTATGGGATAACCTCCGGGCTGCAGAGTCTCCTCGATGGTTGATGAAGAAGGGCAGATACCCCGCCGCTTACAGATCGTTCAAGCGTCTACGAAATAGCGAGCTGCAGGCTGCTCGGGACCTCTACTACGTCCACCAACAATTAATGACCGAAAAGGATGTAATCGGCGGCCAATCCTACATATCCCGCTTCACAGAGCTATTCACCTTACCACGAGTCCGCAGAGCCACGCTAGCTAGCTTCGTTGTGATGATAGCCCAGCAAATGTGTGGTATCAACATCATCACATTTTATTCATCCACGATTTTCGTGTATGCAGGATACTCGACCTTGTCTGCCTTCTTTGCGTCATTTGGATTTGGTCTAGTCAACTGGGTATTCGCCTTCCCTGCGGTCTGGGTAAGAAATGAATCCCACTGAAAAGTTTACACGACGCTGATTGCATTGCTATCAGACAATCGACACTTTCGGGCGAAGAAACCTCCTTCTGTTCACCTTTCCAAACATGGCCCGGACTTTACTTGCTGCTGGCTTTTGCTTCTATATCCCGGACGGAAGCAAATCGAAAGTCCCGCTGATTGCTCTTTTTGTGTTCCTATTTGCAGGTCTGTCTACTTCCTAACCCAGCATTGTGGGTTCTCATGACGTACATCTCAGTTTTCTACTCTCCCGGGGAAGGACCAGTGCCTTTCACCTATTCGGCAGAAGTGTTCCCTATCACCCATCGAGAAATGGGGATGTACGTCTTGCCAGTTGATTCTGTAGTGACATAATGCTGACAAGGATACATCATCAGGTCGTGGGCTGTCGCTACGAATTTCTTCTGGGCCTCCGTTCTCTCCTTAACATTCCCCCGTCTTTTGTCGGTGTTTGATCCAGTCGGTGGTGAGCTGCCTCATGCGTATCATACAACTTAGATGCTCATTCAAACAAATTCCCAGCATTTGGCTTCTATGCAGGATTAAACATGGCTGCATTCATTATGATATTTTTCCTGGTGCCAGGTTTGTCCAACGACACCATTGCGTGTAAAAAAAGTCTGAAAGTGTTTCCTTAGAAACGAAGCAATGCACGCTAGAGGCATGTATTAGCCAACTCAGAAAGACAACTAGCCTTACTCACAGATTCGACCACAGGAATTGGATTTCGTGTTTGCCGTGCCTATGTACAAGCACATCAGGTACCAGGCAAAAATGTTCCTTCCGTACTTCATCAAGCGATGGGTACTCTTCCGCAAGGGAACAACACTGGAGCCACTCTACAGTTTTGACGAAGTCAAGTCTATCGCGGCCTTTGAGAAGGGAGTTGGTCATTAAACAACTCGAAATGGCCGAAACATTTCCATAAGCCAACTTCCGCAACTTACAAGCAAGCTGCTAAGTACTGTGAACGTGTGTTCCCTTCCACGAAAAACATGCAACACGACACTTTGATACATTACAAAATTTCACCGTAAACTATATAATATTTCTCCATTCAGATAAGAAATGCCTGGGTGAAGTGCCTGCCAGTGAAGTGGATTACTTAGATGCCTTCGATCACGTGATCACTCCGCGACGCTTCTTGATTACCATCCGGCCGTGGGAATTCGTCGCCCCCACCATGGCCGCGCTCTACACTACCAAACTCCTCTCATTAATTGGCATCATCCTCCATTGGGCCCCACTCATTGCCTGATTCCTTATCTATTCATTAAACCAACACCTCTTCTTATTTATCGGAGAAGATTGCGACTTCGGCGTGGTTGTATCCCAATCGCTTTGTTGGAGGCCCGAAGACCTTGTTTACGACAATCTCAAAGCGCAACTGATGGCCCTACTTGACAGGCAGCCTGTGTACCATCTTGCTCTGCCTCACACAGACCTTTCGGGGGCGCAACCTAGTCATGGAAGGCAATGAGGGAGGAGGCTAGTCTCTGATCATCAGCCGTGTTGCATATGATCCGGCTACACCCATTGGGGAGAAACACTAGATATTTGACCGCCTTCACATGGTAGGGGGATGCTACAGGATGCGTGCCTTAGGGTTTGGGAAATGGGGGAGGAAAGCGAGTGGGGTTGTATCAGAGGGTGGAAGGCATAGTGGAAAGCAGAGTCACTCATTTCAACATTTCACTTCCAAACCATCCAATCTCATTAGGGGTACTTAGCACCTACATGTGCTGCCCCTGTCAATGGCGTTGGCCCGGCACACCAATTATGCAGGTGACTGACAGCTTGGAAGCTTTGGCGCCCAATGCTGGGAAGGACTAACACCATGAAGCCCTTGATTGTTTAGATTCGGCGAACCGCAAGGAAACTGGTCAGCTCTCACCAACTGTCTCAACAACTGGAAGCTTCAGTGCCCAATGGGGCTTCAACCAAAGGCGGCGGGTCGAGGGATGGGATGATGAGGAGGGTCGTTTAGGTGTAGTCTACCTCCAAGGGACTGTGATCGAACACCCTATTTTTTGTGTATTTGGAGTACGTCTAAAATACACCCTATGTGGAAGACTTCACAAAAAAAAAAAAAAAAAAAATCATGTGATCACTCATCTGGCCTGAGTCGGCCCTTAGTCTATAATAGTCTGTCACAAGTGACAATCCTATGGATCACGGCCTACGTCTGTAAGTCTCTAATATCTATGCGAGTTTAGTTCGGTACTCTCAAGCAAGTCACCGATACATACTCAAAAAGCCTGTGTCCTGATTCTTTATCCCACAACAATCTCCCATTTGCGATCGGACCCCGATGACACAAACGACCCTATTGCATTATGAAGCACCCTGTGGGTACATCCTTACTGTTTACTGCTGCGAAAAGTAATTTGACGTCCTACCAGGGCCTGTTCATAGTATTGACTGGTGTAAGTCGTCGGCACCAGGTCAGCAGCTACGACCTCGCTCCGCATTCCGGTTGGCAGTAGCATCTTTCCTCGAAAGCTATCAGAACCAGATTGCTGTCGTCGGGCTCCAGGATGAGCGCGTTCTGGTGGAAGATGACTTTACAGACTATCCAGATTTCGTGACGCTATGCGAAGCATACCATGGATACCCAGCAACAAGCCTTCAATGGCAGCCCGCCGCGGCCCAAAGCTTTGCCTGGTCCCAAAAGTCTCCATCCACCGAACTTCTCGCCACAACTGGAGACGCTCTCAGAGTTTGGGAGTATAGCGGAGATGGACCAGCCTCGACATCCAGCTATGTTGGTCGCCAGCCTGCTGCTTCTTCAGGACACAGCTTGACGATGAAGACCGCCTTGTCTGGGGTGCGTGATCCTTACATCGGTTTTGACCTACCTTGAGTTTTACATTAGCAGTCCAAAGTTCAAAGCCAATCGGCTGGCGCACCGTTAACAAATTTCTCCTGGAATGAGAAGTCTCCGAATCTCATTGTGACCGCATCTATCGACACGACATGCACCGTCTGGAACATAGACACGTCAACTGCCTTGACTCAGCTCATTGCTCACGATCGAGAGGTCTATGACGTTGCATGGTTACCTGGGTCTACAGACATCTTCGTCTCTGTGGGTGCCGACGGTAGTCTGCGAGCATTTGATCTTCGGAGCCTTGAGCACTCGACTATCCTTTATGAAACGCCTGCACCGAAGAACGTCCCTCCACCGTCGGCGAATCCATCAGCCTCCGCCCGTCCCCCTACCTCTCCTCTTTTACGAATCGCATTTAATCCATCGGATTCGAATTACATGTCCACTTTCCACATGGATGGCTCCGACGTGCAAATTCTGGACATGAGGAGCCCTGGGCAGCCTGTTATTGAATTGCGAGGCCACCATGCTCCTTTAAACGCTCTAGGATGGGGCTCCGCTGACCATCCTTTGTTGGCGACAGCAGGTAAGTTCTGATAATCTGTCAGACCTTGGCAGACATTCATTGAAATCGCAGGCGATGACTGCCAAGTCTTGTTGTGGGATCTGGCAAATTATACCCAAGGAGCAGCATCCCCTAGGAGCGCTGGCTCGCGCCTTAACTCCCCCCGACCGGATGCGAAGAAAAAGATCGTAACAGAGCCCATCATGGCGTACACGGCAAATAGTCAGGTCACGAACCTCGCCTGGTCTCCGCAGATTCCGGGTGTCATAATGAATACTGGATACTCGACGGCAACGGGGGAATGGCTGGCAATTACATCTGGGAAGACAATAAAGGCGCTGAAAGTGTAATTTGAACTTTGGTTCAGTTTTCTCATATCTGAATGTGTGAAGTCATTGGGTTCATATCCTTCTTTCAACTCCAACAACGACGGAACCAACTGCTGAGACAACTTAGAAAGTCTAGCCTTCAGTCAGGCTCTAAGTATATGCCCAAGGCCTTGAGGCTCCATTGGACGATAACCTATTTGATACAACCACACGTAGATTGCGGTATTTAACATTCCTTAATGAACCTCAACTGAAGCGCTAAGTACAGCTTTGCTGAAGCTTTTTTCTGCCCGGTCTTCGTAATAACAGCTGCACTCTCCCTGTGGAATGAGTAAGTATCAGCCTAAACCTGCGAATTACTTACATAGGGTCTTTCAAGAGGTTTCATCTCCGGACAAGACCATCACCGATAAACGAGTGTCGCAATGTCGCTGGCTTATCTTCATTGGACCATATCTAGCTATCTATCCTCTTGCTATCTCCCACACATTTTGACCTCGCCTCTTGGGCGCCAACCGCGTTCCGCTATTGCACATTTTCAAATTCGAAACACTTATCAGAGCTTGACTTTGCAGTGTGCACCGACCCTTCGCATAAGGGATCAAAGGCACGGCATGGACTTCTTGAATGTGCCTCTCCCCCACAAGTTATTCGTGTGCCAAGGGAATGCACGCATGGCGATACGATCTCGATTGAAGACCTTTATGTTACTCTCTCCATCTGACTTCGCCGAGGCCCTTCGATTGCTTCGCTGCTGGGCGGACAATTGTATCTTCCGAAGTTCCGATCTAGCACGGCTCTTTCCTTCTCTTAAGACTTAAGGTTACCTTCACTGATCCTTTTGCTCATGGATGCACGCTCTCAGATCGGCTTCACCATAACGTGAATCCTTTCATCCTGAAGTCGCTGCAATCAAGTGTATCCGCCGGCGGATGAATTAGATGCGATAAGTTATCGAGCATGTGGTGCCGTCAAACGCTTGGGGTTACCTCTTCCACTTGTGTATCGTCTGGAATCTGAACCTGAACATATGCCGCCCTTGGGAGCATTTGATTCCTCTCCACTTATATTGGAGCGAGGTACTGAAAACCGGTTGATAGCTCGACCTTTGCTCCAGCCTCCCGTCGTTAGCAGCGTCGTCAGCACCGCCGACAATGACCACCGTCCCTGCTCCCGACACCCCTTCCATCCAACGCAGTCGGTCGTCCAATTCAGATCTGAAGGAGAAGAAGTTGGATGATGATCCCACTGTTTATGTCGCTAATGACTTGGAGGAGAACCAGATTAAGAGCTCGGACGATCGTACCAGCAGATTCCGGCCATTCATCCTCGGGGGTCTGGCTTTGGTGATCTTGGGTTGGTGGATCAGTGCAACTGTTCTGGAGGCTACGAGACATCGATGGTGCGCTGACTAGATCCTCGAACTTGTGGCGTCGTGCTGAGCACCCTCGTTCATTATAGGATCGTGCAGACCCTTTTCGCATGGTTTTTCATCCTGTGGGTTTATTCGGCAGATAAACAAACAGTGCCCTAACATTCCCTCCTTTAGCATCATCGCATTCCGGTTTATTCCCAACAGCATCGTCACGAAGCCCATTGGAGCCGTTTGGATTCCTTGTGTTCAGAAACCATGGTACACCCTACCATACCGTTCGAGATTGGCCATCGGATGGCTCTGCTTGTTGGCAATCATTTTTGGCTCAGCTTTCGGTTTCAATCTTCCAGAGGTGACTATTCACTTTGATATCCTTTCGTTGAGTTAATTTGATTCGAAGGGCACGGAATATGCTGATCGTGTGATCTCAATCGCGGGCCTCTTTGTGTTCCAATTCGGCTTTTGGCTTACTTCGAAACACCGTAGCATTGTCCCTTGGTCAGTCCTGGCTGGTGGTCCACATCGATTTTCCTAAGAGGGTTGCTGATTCAACATCAGGCCTACTGTTATCGTTGGTCTTTTCCTCCAACAGGCCATTGCGTTGTTCGTGCTCAAAAGCGGCGCGGGCTTTTCGATCTTCAGATGGGTCGCTACTCTGGCGGCGGACTTCCTTGGCCAGGCGGAGGCTGGCGGAGTTTTCTTCTTCGACCAGGAGACCTGGGACAAACATTGGTTCTTCGTTGGCGTTGTGAGTAATTCTTTCCGTTCAAGTGTTGCCTGTGAAGCTCACGGTTACATCCAGCTGTCGTCGATTATTTTCTTCATTGCGTTCGTCCAAATGATGTACTATTTGGGTGTCATGCAATGGGTCATTGGAAAATTGTATGTTCCCTCCGACAGCCTCTCGTTTTCCTACTAACCAGTAGGTCTCGTCAGCGCGTGGTTCTTCTTCAAGATCATGAATGTGTCCGGAGCTGAGGCAGTTGTTGCAGCTGCGTCACCATGGGTTGGTCAAGGTCTAGAAATCCCTCGAAAAGCCTTTTCCTTCCTGGATGCTTACTGCGCTCGTTAGGTGAATCGGCGTGTCTTGTCAAGCCTTATGTCGACTGTGAGTGCTTATCTCCAACACACACGAGATGACGCTTAAATCTGGAATCTTAGTGATGACGGAATCTGAACTTCGTGCGTCTCGTACAACCACTCTTCCGTTGGCTTTGAATAATCGTTTTCCTCCGACGTCCTTCGACGTACCAACAGATGTTACGATGACTTCTGGTTTCTCCACCATTGCTGGCTCCGTCCTTGTTGCCTACATGAGTCTTGGCGTCCCTCCGGAGACACTCGTCACTTCGTCTGTAATGAGTATACCAGCGTCCATTGCCATCAGCAAAGTTCGAATTCCAGAAACCGAAGAGCCAGTCACCCGCGGCAATGTTTCAATCGATCGTGGCGAGGAGACTAAGAAGAATGCCCCGGTATGTGCGGTTCTTTCTCGGCTTTTCCTTCGGTCTGATGCATTTCACAAGGCCAATGCCCTTCACGCCTTCAGTCAAGGAGCAGTCTTTGGTCTGATTGTAGCAGGTCAGATTCTGTAAGACTATCTCATTGTATTCTGAATTCATTTAGCTGACGAGTCCTCAAGGACGAATGTTCTTACTGTCCTCGCCCTGGTGGCCATGTACGTAGCAGACAAAGCAAGGCAATATTCCCGACTAACGCACGCACTTTAGGATCAACGGACTTCTTACTTGGATCGGACGTGGGTTCGGTATCAATGCCCTCACCTTGCAACTGGTCATTGGCTACCTCTTCTATCCGGTTACCTTCTTCCTCGGGGTTCCCCGTTCGGAGATCTTGACCGTGTCCCGCCTGTTTGCCACGAAGCTTGTCGCCAACGAATTCGCTGCCTACCTTGAACTCAGCGCTCTGCAGAGGGCAGAAGCGATTTCCGCTCGCGCCTATACCATCGCCTCCTACGGACTGTGCGGTTTCGCCAACCTCGGCTCTCTAGGTATTCAAATCGGTGTGTTGGGCGCTCTGGGTCCTTCGAAAGGCAGAGTCATTGCGAGGATTGCACTTTCGGCCATGATTTGTGGTTTCCTTTCTACCCTCCAGACGGCTGGTATTGTGTAAGTGTTGGTCCTTGACTCCGCCTTCCTGTAACTGACTCTGTTTTTTTTAGGGGAATGCTTCTTTAAATCGTTACCAACATGTCGAGATTGATGGGATGCTATTACATGAACGGCGACTAATTTCTGTTTCATACTTACTAACGAAGTGTACCAGGTATATTTACCAGCTTTTATATATCCCCCTTGACGTCTTGTAACCAAAGCAAGGCTGCCCTAAAACCTATGATGCGATATCGCTATGTGTCAGCGTCGAACCTGACCTTATTGGAAACTTACATGGAAGTATCTACACATCATACAAGCATTCCGCTAATGAAGTCGGTGAGCGTCGAACAGAAGGAGCGTAAAGGCAGTAACATGACTTACACGATGCCTGCAGTTTGAAGAGTAGACAAGAAGCCGCAAATCATGGCGGACAGGGCGATCTTTGCAATGATCTTGCTTCGGGAAGGCGCCAAAGCACCGAGAACACCAATTTGAATACCGAGGGACCCAAGATTGGCGAAACCGCAGAGCCCATATGAGCAGATAGTGTAAGCACGAAGGGACAAAGGATTGGGCCCGTTCAGCTGCAGGTCCTGGAGAGCTTGGTAGGCCGCAAATTCGTTGGCCACCAGCTTCGTTGCGAAGAACTCCGATACTTGCAGGATTTCGCCTCGGGGAACACCGACGAAGAATGTGACCGGGTAAAACACGTAACGGAGGATGAGCTGAAGTGTCAGTTGGTGAATACCAAATCCTTTTCCTATCCAGGTCAGCAGACCGTTGATCCTAGAACGCAGGGAACGATTGTTAGTCCGCGGCAGCGTCAGCTTGCTGGGCGATCCCACGTACATCGCAACAAGGGCGAGAACCGTCAAGACGTTCGCCCTTTGGAAGATGTGTCAGTACCGGCGTGGCTGCCGTGGTAAGACATGCGACTTACAAAATATGCCCAGCAACGACCAGACCGAAGACGGCGCCTTGGCTAAAGGCATGCAAGGCGTTTGCCTGAAGTACTTTGGTTGGTGTTCTGCCTCTTTTCACGAGTTATGGAACTTACAGGCCCTTTAGCTTTGTCTACACCGCGATCGACAGTGACACGTCCACGGGTGACGGGTTCATCATACTCTGGGATGCGCATCTTGCTGATGGCCATTGAAGCTGGAATGCTCATGACCGATGAAGTGACGAGGTTCTCAGGAGGAACTCCCAAGCTGATGTAGGCGGCCAGCACAGACCCGGCAATGGTGGAGAATCCGGAAGTCATCGTCAAATCTGCGCAGGTCGGCACTCAAGCAGTTTTCTGGGAAAATATCTGGGATTACTAACGAAGTTCGGATTCTGTCATGACTGTAGCAGATGTGTAAGTACGCTGTTTACTTGCCCATGAATATCCACGACTTACGATCCACGTAGGGCCTGACGAGACAAGCAGACTCCCCTGTTCGACAGGCCGCAGTTCATTACTGAGTCGTCTTGAGCAAGAGTTCCACGGACCTTGGCCGATCCACGGCGATGCGGCTGCGACGACTGCTTCGGCTCCAGAGACGTTCATCAATTTCAAGAAAAACCAGGCGCTATTTGAAAGCTGTTCACGAGGGATTCGACACAATTTTGAACGACACTTACAAGTGCTTGATAACCCATTGCATAACACCGAGATAATACATCATTTTGACGAAGGCAACGAAGAAGATAATCGAAGAGAACTTAAATTGGAGATTCTAGGTTAGCAACCTTAAAAAAAACAATTACGCTTCACAGAAAACATACCGTATTGACAAAGAACCAATGCTTGTTTTCGACGACATCCGCATCGAAGAAGAATGTGGCGCCAGCAAGAGCCTGCTTGAGGAAATCGGCAGCGAGGGTTGCAATCCATTTGAAAATGGAGAAGCCGGGCCCAGTCTTCAAAACGAACAAGGCAATAACTTGTTGAATGAAGAGTCCAACGATTATGGTTGGCCTGCGGTAATCGGTGTTCAATGTGCGTGCTGTCAGTCAAGAACCTAACTAACCATGGTACATTCTTCCTATCACGAGAGGTGAGCCAGAAGCCCAATTGAAACACAAAAAGGCCAAGAACGTTAATGGCACGATCACCGTAAGACGTGCCCTACGCGAACGATCTTCAGCAAAGCTCCTACCCCACTTATTCCTGCACTCACGGGCTGCAACTTGAATCCAAAGGCAGATCCAAAGACTATTCCCAGCAGACAAAGCCAACCAATAGCCAAACGCGTTCTGTACGGCATCTTATACCATGGCTCTTGGACGAAGGGAACCCATACTGCGCCAACTGGTCTTGTGATCACAGAAGTGGGTATGAACCGAAATGCAATGATACTAGTTGAGTGGAAGGTTAGTCTCAATACAGTACATAAGATGACTGTCTGCTCACGAGATGAAAGCCCAGGCGAATAGAGTTTGCACGATCCTGTGAAATTTGAAAGGGGCATCAAGGAAAGCACCGTTATTGAACTGACCATCGATGTCTAGTGGCTTTGAGAACAGTCGCGCTGATCCACCAACCGAGGATGACGAGCGCAAGGGCCGTCAGCACAAAGGGACGAAACCTGGCGTAAAATTCTGTTGGTTGATTCTGGTCTTCGGGGCCATCTTTGTACGGAGCAGGATCCGTCCCGCCTTCTCCTTGCTTTTCCTTCGATGCGGAGTCCAGAGACGAACGACTGGGTGTATGCTTCAAGCCCCCAGCAAGAGTCCGTTGTACCACGGTATGGCTGTCAGTAAGCATACTGGGGGAAAGCAGCGGCGAGATGGCGGAGGCGATGGGGGGAGCGGGGTGGACCGCAGCTGGGGAAGGGTTTTCATGTGCATGAGTGATGAAATACAGGACGAAAGAAGGTGCTGTACGGCAGAACCGCATGGGCTGGGCAGGATCTTAAAATAGAAGCGGTGCCACACCATCGCCGAAGCGTGCTTTTCGGTGCTATAAATAGTGCTGTCGATACTAGAATTTCTTCTCTGCCCGGCGAGTCTGAGCCTGCCTGTCGTTCGAGCAACCTTACCCTGTGGGACCGCCCCTACCATCGCCCATTAGAAGCTTGTACTTATTCCAGGAGTCCTTGTCAAGACTGGACCGCCTTATCCTCATAGTAAGTGGGGCCACCTGCATAGCTAGTTATACACTTGATAACAGCTCGGAGAACCTACAGACGTCTAATACTGCAATCTCCCCTCTAATCTATCTTCGATTAACTTAGCGACTGTATCTCCGTGTACAGGTATCGATGTCCCTTGAAAACCTTTTGGATAGGCTAGTTGAGGCTCAGTTGGATATGTGAAGTAGCTACGCTCAATGTTAGCTTGAAACCGAAGCACCCGTCTAAGCTGAAAGCTTACGTATCATTCCAGACGGAGTAGTGTCTCATTCCAAGGGAGCGACTAGTCCATTCGTAATCTCGAGCGAATCCCCCAGGATAAAAAATCTCAATGACGCTCGAATAGCGGTTGGGCTTCATGAGGACAAGATGGGTCAGGCCATTGCCATGCACGCCGAGCAAGATCTGGAACACAACTTAGCAAAAAGTCTAAACGTATGGGTCCGAGGAACATACTGTTGTTTCTGACGCCAATTTGACTTGTTCGTCTTTCGAAAGCAACTCTGGCTTGACAATGTTTAAGTTCCAGCGTTTTCCTTCTTTGGCCTTCTTCTTGATCAGATCTCGAAGTGCTACAACAAGATTATTGTGATCCTCTGAAACGAGATAGCGGCGAACACCTTGACGGCTGATATACGTGATAGTTACTTGCTCGGGGAGTGGGAGAAGTGACTGTGGGTCGGTAACGTTTCTACTGATCGAGGGTGGTTGATGACTGGCCTCTTCCGAGCCTCCGACCTTCGCTCCCGCAAACCTGAATACTGCTTCTCGTATCTCTTTCCACCACCCTCCGAATGGATCAAGACCTCCTTTTTCGAACATGTACTCCCAAGCTTCAGCAGCAATGCGTTGTGTCTGAGATCCACAAGTGTCCCCACGGAAAGCGGCACTACGGTCCGAGAGTAACGCAATAGGAAAGTGCCATGCCTTTTCGGTATCCAGCGAGTCGTGGACGTTCAAAGGAGAGATGCGTGTAATATTCGTCCGATCGGCCCAGTCATGCGAGACCTCGATATCAAGCGAAGGGAACGCCGCGCGGAGGAAGTAGGAGTTGAAGCCGGGTTTGTCCCTCCAACCTTCTGAAGGGGCATGAAGGAAAATGAGTCGAGAAAGTGGAGGTGGTCGGTATCCGTTTGTACGAATATTGAAGGATGGAACGGACGGGTCGGTACGCCCGAAGGATTCCTGTGCGTCAACAAAACCCGCTGATGGATTGAATGCGCCGTAGAAAAACGCCCAGGTGCCGAGGAGCAGCTCTGCCACAAAGTGATAGTAATGGGTCAGAAATTGCGGTGGCTCATTTACCAACAGCTAAAATGCCAGGAATGAGCACATATGGCCCATTTGTAGCATCGTGGAATTACTTACAGTATTCCCTTCTACTGTCCAGACGCGATTCCGCTCGTCAGTTGAAGAACTCCCACCCCATCTTGCAAATGCTTCTTTGGGGGTGATAATCTGCATCTCCTGTTCTGTTGGCTCACGTAGTCTGATATTCTCGGGGGTGGTGAGTGCAATTAGACCCGTGCTTGTCATCATTCGGACTTGGGGGAATCCATTCTGTTCCGCATCTGAGGCAACGACGAGCAGCGTTCCATTTGACATGTACAAATTGCGGAACAATGTCCACCCCGGGGCGTGAGCTATCAGAGATGTCTCTGGGATACGTGCTGACTTTCCGAGGTCCATATATGCGCTGGGCGAGGAGGAAAAGGGCGAGAAGAAAGAGGAGTGAGGGGGACCGGCCGTTATGTGCAGGGCGGGGAAGGAAGTTCCATAATGAATGAGCGAGATAAAGACGTATACGACGGATGCTCCAAGAAGGATTAAAAGCCCATCTCGGCGGGTCAAGTTTTGATACATCTTGGGCTTGAGCGGGTTCAGAGCATGAATTGATGGGTGAGGAGGAAAGAGAAACACACGATCTGAATCTCTGGTATATAAGCGTCCAGATTTGTGGATTCCGTCAGCCACCCAGTGACGTTCGAGCTCAGCTGGGGTGGAGGAGTCCCTAGCGCTTATAATGAAGACCAGGGTGACTATCGAGGATTTTCGAAGCGAAATAAGCACATCAGACGGCTGTATCGCCTTGGGAGAGTTGTCAGTAAGAGCAAATGTCTCATTTACGCCGAAGGTGTTGCGGGCAAACAACAAAGGTTAGGGTAGAACGTGCAACGCAATCTCTCAGATAGGAAATCTGCGGCCCCTGTATCTCGGTCACGCCGTGAGAATTTGCGCTTACCGACGCTGCGCGCCCCCTCGTCTCCGAACAACCGTGTTGGCCTGCAGCCGCCATGAAGTCCCTTCTGCCCTTACTCTTCTGTTCTGGTTTTGCAATTGCAGACTTTGTTCGTCCCCTTGTCATCTGGCATGGCCTCGGTACGACGCTATCCTGTCTGGTTTTCTGGTATTTGCTGCACGCAACTTCCAGGTGATTCACACTCGTCTCCTGGGATGTTGCAATTCAAGTCCTTAATTGAGGAGATGCACCCTGGAATATTTGTGCACTCAGTTTACATCGAGGATGATCTCGACAAGGATAGACAGGCAGGATTCGTGCGTTTATTGAGGTTCAAACTCTCAGCGAGAATCAAAACAATAATTCACCTTTGCAGTACGGGAATGTCAACAACCAAGTCGAATTTGTCGCGTCCCAACTGGATTCAATACCAGAACTACAGGGCGGGTTTGACGCCATTGGTTTATCTCAAGGTCCGTCTTCGTGAACAGTCGTCTTCTGCGGTTTAGCTGAGACATACAGGCGGACAATTCCTACGGGCATATGTCGAACGTTATAATTATCCTCCAGTCAACAATTTAATAACATTTGGCTCTCAACACATGGGAATCTCGGACATACCTCCTTGTGGGCGGTATGATTTTCTCTGTCAAGTGGCACGAAGAGCGGCGAAGCAGGGCGCCTATAGTGAATGGGCACAGGAGAATCTTATACAGGTAGGCCTGCAGTGCTGGATCATGTGCCCATTCCATGCCTAATGTTAGATTCCTGCAGGCACAATACTATCGCGATCCTGCGAATCTTGAAGCTTATCTGGAGGCAAATTACTTTCTTCCAGACATAAACAACGAACTGCCAACAGATCGGAACACAACTTATGCATCTAACCTCGCTTCACTCGACAAGCTTGTCCTTGTGCTCTTCACGGAGGACAAAACTGTGGTTCCGAAGGAAAGTGCCTGGTTTGGTGCTGAGGAAGTCGATGAAGACGCAATATACTCCGAGGATATCATCCAAAAGGTCTTCAAATTAGGATTGCTGGAACGGGCAGTAATTCCCATGCGCCTGCAGCCGATTTACCTTGAGGACTGGATTGGTCTGCGGAAATTGGACGAACGTGGTTCAATTGTTTTCGAGACTTGCAAGGGCGAGCATATGCAAATGAGCGACTGTTGGGAAGATATTGTTGCAAACTTTGTGGGGGGGACGGTCACCGGTTAGCTAGAAAGCGAACTCAGTATATTTATAATGTTTCTGTAAAACCATTTTATAATTTCCGATATTGAAGTGCGGGCTTTACATCGTACATCGGTTTCATGGTCCGCGTACCCTGGATGGCAATTATTGGGTACATACTACGCGTCGCGCGGCGTGCCGTGTCACAATCCGGCGATGTCATTGGTCACGAGACGCGACAGGCTCCGTGGGAAGGTTTTTGTTGTGAGTTGCTGGTGCCAGGGCTTGATCACCTCCGACTCCAAGCTGCCAATTCACCTTCATGCTCTTTGCCGACGGCCTGGCTGTATAAAACGGAGACTACGCGCAGCGCGAAATGGCCACCCTTACGACTACGGTTACACCACGCCTCCGCATGCTTCGACAGTCGCCTACGTCCAGTGCGCCGTACGATCGGAGTGCTCAGACTACGACCTCCACTTCTAAACCGGGCCCTTCGCGACTCCCTGACTTTTCCCAACTCGTGAACGTTGACTTGAGGGCAATGGATCTCTCGGATGACAACATATACTCCAGTGATGAGCCGCGAACGCCGCAAGTGCCTACCCCGCCGACGGTCACTCGCTCCGAGAACCCAGCTGCTGTGCTACGGGCATTGCTATCGCGCCTCCCCGCCCAGCCCAAAAGTCCAACGGTTTCCCGCACTTCGTCCCGGCAGAATATATCTGAGCGAGAGTCTGATTACGATGCCTCCGAGACAGCGAGTGCCACGCCGAGCGTAGCTCAGTCTAGTCTTAAGAACATATTTGGTCGCGCACTTCAAGAGCCAGGCAACTCGCCTCGGAAAACACAGTCGATGAGTGAGGATATGGATCCCAGCGGGGTAGAGTTTACACCAATGCCTGAGGGAACCAGGCTGGATCCGAAGGGAAAGGGTCGCAGCTCGGATGGTGAAACGGAGACTACGATTGGTACGTATTCTTTCCTGTTTCTCCACCAAAGTAGTGGCATTCTTAATCATCATTATTAGCCCGCCCTCGCACACGGTTCAAGGCGTCGTCCCAACCCATTACGAAGGATTTCTTGCGTGAGCGCTTCAGTGACCTTCAAGACGATTCTCCTACTCGACCTCGCGATAGACCTACCAGTAAGTTCGACTGCCATTTTTGTTTCGACTATTCTGACAGTCCAAGCTATGGATAACCTTGTGCAAGAATCGGATTCATCCCAGACGACTCCTCCTGCCGCCACAAGTACTCCTCTTCATTCCTTAAGAATGTCCGTGAACTCGGAATTTGAGTCAAGTACTTTTGTTCCCCGTCCGTGTCCGTTCGCTTCTCACATCCATGCCAGATCTGCTTGACCAGGACTCAGAAATGCAGAATGCGATCCAAGCTTTCGATAGTGATGCGGATGGCTTCACTGACCGTTCATGTGAGAATATCTTCCAACCATTTGGTTCGCCAACCTTACCTCTGCTAGTTTCACCTCCCCCGACGTTACGGCGTGGGCTACCACCTGGGGTTGGCCCAGTTCCAACACTTTCTGTGGACTCAACTAACGCCAGTCACTCTTTACACCGTCCTCCTTCGCGATCGAGTTTAACCTTCGGCCATAGTACGTCTCCCTATTTGCGTCGACATTCGTCTTCCTTAATGCTGTTCTCAAGGTCGCAATGGCCAAGTGAATGCTATGGGGGACAAATATGGTTCGCAATCGATGAGCCTGACCACGTCAGTTTTGGTTTCCGTGATATTTGTTCCAGAAGGAAACTGAATGTGTCCTAGGTTGGATGGCGCTATTCCCCTCTCTCGACCATTTCAAGAAACGTCTGCTGCAATACAACGAACACCTTCCACGCCGCCATCTCCAAATCAGCCATGGGATCTCCAACAAACTTCGAGAACTCCGTCTCCAGGATTGTTCAGCACTGGCCGTCCTCCCGCCACTCCTTCCTCTCCTTCTCGCTCAAACATTCGATCTCGACAACGAGCAGATAGTATCAGGAGCATGAAATCTTCTCGGCAGAATGGAAACTTGGATGAAGGACGGAGTCAGAGTGTGGGCCGAATCTCGCCAACCACGTACAAGGATGACATTGCTCAATCCACTTCACCCTTAGCGAGAGAGCACGCTAGCCCTCGCGCCACACCTTCGCGGATTTTCGAAAACTTTCATCAACAACGGGGTACAAGTCCGATTCACAGAAGATCTCCTTCGCCACTCTTATCTCATACACCCAAGTCCCAGAATACATCATCGGCGCTGCGATGGTCAGCGCTTTCCATGGCCCCAAGTATGAATGGCGAGCGAGATGAGCAACCTTCGCAACAGGTTTCTCCTTCAGAACGTGTGAAGGCATCAATAAGCCCGAGCTTGTGCTCAGGTCTGCAGTTGGATTCGCCAAACGAGCGTCCGGGGTCTTCACGAGAATCCTCCATACTGCGACTGCAGGGGTCAGTTAGGTCCAAATCCTCGAAGAGTCGCCTGCCGAGTGGCATACCTGCAGATGGTGGGTTATCATTGATTTTTGTTGTGTTACATCCACTGACAAACTTTTCAGACTTGAGAGAAACCGACTTTTCTTCGCAGAATGACACCCCCGAACTCCACTTTCTGGACCCTCCAGGTGATACAAGTGAAGGCGAACCTCGGTCACCAGTATCTGAACAGTTGTACGGTCCGTCTCCCGCTCGAAAAACCATGAATGGGTCTTCCTCCCAAACGGAGGTATCCACCAAACCTCAGACCTCGTTTATAGACGCTGACGCACCATCAACACCTCCTCGACAATCAAGGCCCAAAAGCCCAAGGGTGCAATTTAAAACGCCCTCGCCGCCGCAGGGTCTTCCCGACCTTCCGACACCATCTTCAAGTGGCGAATCGGAGGAGGCTTCCCGTCGGAGTAGACCAGCGACACCGAAAACACCAGCAGGACCTAACATTTCTCGTGGATTGCCTACGCCCAAGCCACCTGGCGGGTGGCTTGCGACACCAATGCCGAGACACGCCGAGACAACATCGAGTGATGTAGGCAGCTCAAGTCAAACTCGACAGGATCGAAGTTTGAAGACGCCGTCAAGGCATGTGAACACGTCTACGTTCAAGACACCCAAACCCCCAGGATCCTGGCTTACTACTCCAGGTCTTGTTGTATCTTCAAGTTCAACGGAAAGGAGGTCGTCGGAAGAGAACAATCCGGGGCAAAGCGGACTGCAGACCCCAGCTGCATCTCTGTCTAAAGCGTCGCTCCTTGATCCGAAGACTCCTGGCGCTCCTGGCGCATGGATGGCGACTCCAGCAGCAAGAAAGAGCCTGCAGAAAGTCCGTTTCAATGCAGAGACTTCTAGCAAGTCGGTCTTTGGCGGTGGACTCGCCACTTCATCGGTTGATGCTTCTGATCAAGTTCCCCAGACGGAGTGGTCTGTAATGTTATCGTCGACGACGCGCAGCCCTCGCAAAAATAGAGGCGCCAGTATTCGGATTCTGGATGAGTTCGGCCGGGAACAGGATTCAATTGCGGCACAGCCTCTAGATTCGGTTCGCAATCGGAGTGGGCTCCGTATTTTGGACGCTATGGGCAACGAAATTCTGGAAGACGAAAACTCGACGGGGAATGAAGGAAAGGATGATCCAGGTGACGTTCCGCCTACTCGCGGAGAGTTGATATCGCGTATTCGCCGAGGTCTTGACGACCTCCTTGATGATATTGACATTGACCAGTGAGCCGTTCTTTTTCGCTACGATGTCGGCGGCTGAACATTATGCCCAGGGACGATGGTCTTCTGCCTGTCGACCGTGCTCGTATGGAAGAGTTGAACGCTGCCTCTATGCAAGCCCGTCAAGCTAGACTTCAGCTATATGGCCGAGCGAAGAACACACGCCAGGAACTCGGTCTGCTGTCGGAGCAGGAGCTATCGGTAAGTTGCCACGAATAAGTGGGCTCGAGGATATGTCGAATCAACAATTTTGATAACAGTCACAATTGATCTCTTCTACGTCCAAGTTAGACCGACGCAGCTATTTAGTCATGGCAATTGTTCAAGTTGTCTTCATGGTAGTCATGTATCGGTGCGTCTCTTCAAGCATGTCTTCGGACAGATAACTAACCCATTCTTCAGGCTATGCATGAACCACGCTAGGAACTTTTTCATGAACAGTTACTATGATCCATTTAATCCTGAACTTCATTTATTTGTATTTAAGTCAGATATTTCGTACCTTCCAGCGATACCTTGGCCTCGGCTTTCGGTTCATAGAGGAGGGAATCTTTGGCACAGTGGGTGGCATTTAATTGGGGATCTGCAGTTATATCTTGGGCGAATATGGAGCGGAGGCATTCAGCAGGGAAGCGTTTGGACTCCAACCTAGCATCACCTTGTATACCAGTATCTGTATTTATACCATTGACGGCACGCACTGCATGGCAGCATTTGGGGGAACTGGCGGCTATGTAGTACTACTGGCGGGGACTTCTGCAGATATGAGATTTTGAGCCAAGCCCGATCTAGAGCTCCAGAGCTCCAATAGCCGCTTGAAAGAAACCTCTTGGAAACCAATATGGTTGCAAATATGCTTTGATCGATAGCACTTGGACCAGCAACGCAAGTACAAATAATAATAATAAACCCTAATGATAGAGAATCGAACAATAGACTATTAGAAAGGCGGAGGCGGGCGCTGGCGAGCGCTCTATGGCGGTCCAAATAATTGATCCGGACGATCGACCGACTGAACGATGACGATTTATTTTGAAATGGAACCACCATGACGTCTCCACTCTTCCTCACGGGCCAAATTCTGCCCACGACCACCACGACCACCGCGACCACCACATCTATACCCTGTTTTGAACAGCCACCTCACTCCTTTCCAATCCTTCATTTATTCCCAGCTTCGCAGCTCCCATGGAAAAGGAGCCCCAGCGAGCGACGACTCTTCCACTGGAAAGCAAGAATGATATGAGAGAGAAGAATTCTGTTCCTCCTCTACCGCTTTCAGAAGAATCGCACGGGAAAGTTGAGGATTCCTCGGACTCAGACACTGTAGCAACCAACTCTTCAGACGAGTTCAACTGGTTCGAGGACGAGGACACCAAAGCGGAACAACAAGACGGCGTCCGTGCCAAACGAGGACGTCGACTATGGCTTGCTTTCATGAAGCTCGCGAGGCCCATTCGCGTGCTTTTTGTCAGCCTTATCGGAGCCGCCATCTTCGCCACCCCGCTCGTTGTTGTCAACACCCGCTTCCGCGAGAACGTAGCCAAAGCTCAGGTGCACGTCTGGTCACTTTGGCTTACTGTCATCTGGTCCGCCAGCTGCGTGACGTATCTTCTGGTCGATATGATTCCTCGAATTGTGATAGCGATGACAAGTCTATTTGGTGGACAGACCGAGCGTTTGAAAATTCAGATTGAGGTATGGATATAATGGTCTCATACGTCGCAGAAGCAGAACGCTCAATACAACATCCGCAGCTTACCATGGCTGTCAAGGGCTGGCTTAAACTTGCGCTGGATATCGCATGGGCTTGGATATCTCTATCGGTTATTCGGGTATTCTACCATCCTCCGGGAACATATTGGACTATTATCAATCGTCTAATGCAGGTGTGTTCTATGATTCCTCATTTTGAAAATGAACTCACAAATACATAAGGCCTTTTTTGCTGCAGGCATTATTCTCTTTCTCGAAAAATTATTCCTCCAAGCTGTTGCTATTAATTTCCATGAAAAGGCCCTCGCTGATCGCATTGCGGAAAATCAACTCGGTTTGAAAGCCTTAGATCGTCTTTCCAATGCACATCCAATTTCTCCAAAGAAGTCTCCGTACGGCAAACGAGGGCATCGAGCACCCGGTTCATCTGGCGCGTTTGATCTCTCAGGTGGCTTGCCATCCAAGCAGACCGATGAGGGATCTCCAGTGAAGGGCAATGAGACCCCACCTACGAGTAGCTCAGGTTTCTTCTCCCAAAAATCTGGCGAGCAACCTAAGAGACGGAAAAAGAAAATGACATCGGTCATTGTTGATCATGTATGTGGCATTGGCAGCTACGTCGTTCTGTCATGTGTCTCTAACAGGCAGTGTCTAGGTTGGGGAAGCCATTGGCCAAGTTGCTTTAAAGAATTCGAAATTCAACAAGCAAGGCGATTTCAGCGGTCTGTATTCGGCGAGAAGGTTGGCGAGGAAACTATTCAGTGCCCTCAGTGATGTCCACCCCGCGCGGTCTCATTTGGTAGTCGAAGGTTTGACCGTCCTCCCGCCCCAGGTGTACCCATTCTTACAGCCATATTAGACTTTTGTCCATACTTCCGCTCAACTGCTGAAGCTGTGAGAAGGGTATATTCCATCTTCGACATCGTCTTTGACATAATCTCTTAGCATGAGGCCTTTGCTTTGTTCGATAAAGACGGCAACGGTGACATTACGAAACGGGAAATGCGGGAGGCAGTTCAACGCATCTACCGAGAACGCAAATCGTTGATCGCCGGCCTCAAGGTGGGTAGCCTATTTCGATTATGCGTATCATGAACTACATTATCCTGTAGGATGTTGGTTCGATAGTCGCCAAGCTTGACGCCGTCCTTTTATGCGTAGCTATCGTCATCATTATCTTCGTCTGCCTGCTTATATTCAATCGCTCCAACACCCTCGCGTCACTCGTCCCACTAGCCACCATTATTCTTGGGTTCTCCTTTATCTTTGGACATTCGGCCCAAACGCTTTTCGAATCTGTTCGTACTTTTTTCCCTGCTACTGCCAACGACGCTCACATCACTATTCCCAACCAGCTCATCTTCATTTTCTCAACACATGTGTTCGATGTTGGAGATCTTGTCATGATCGACGACCAGGTACGTCACATCGGTTCGCAAGGTTCCTCTTTATCCTGAAGTTTCTATTGTTTTATAGGTTTTATTTGTTAAAGAGTTCGGCCTATTTTCGACCACGTTTCGCCGGGTGGATGGTCAAGAAGTAATAGCACCAAATGCCATTCTGGCTAATGAAAAACTCGTACACAATCTGCGTCGAAGCAAATCTATGTAAGTTTCCTGGCCATTTTCATGACAGAATATTAATGAAGCATTCGTATTACAGGTGGGAGACGACAACTCTGATGGTCTCATACGACACTCCAATGGAAGTCATTGAACGGTTGAGAGCCAGCATAGTCAACTATGTGAACACCAACAGCAGGGAATGGTCGAACTGTACGCTCAACATCGATAAAATGGAGTACCAAAACGCTATTCATCTCGTCGTTGCAATGGAACGTGCGTACACATAAGTATGTTCCGGCGTGACGTGAAGTTCCACTGACGTTATGTGTTTCCAGACCGTCCAAATTGGCAGGATTGGGGAGGCAGATGGACCCGACGCACCGCATTCATGCGTCATCTTCGAACTGTGCTGGAAGAGCTGGATATCCGCTATACCATGCCCATACAGCCAGTGATTCTTCCCCATGGCGCCCCATCAGCTCCTCGGATGCAACCACCTCCTCCAGGAAGACACACAATCGACTCTTCCATGCTTGGCAACGCTGGGTTCTACCAGGCAGGCGAACACGGTCGACCGGCAGGCCCAACATTCCGATCTGGAGTTCCGAGCTTCTGAAAATGTTCACGGGACAATGGTTTTGAATATTTAGTACTCAACGGACTCTACGCATTCCTCATACTACATAGATTACTGACACACTCACGAAATGCTCAAAAGCGATCTTGGTCTCCGATGACATTACTTACCTAACCTTGTCTTCAAGATTATTAAAGAGTGAGAATTTTGGTATACATGCATAACACGGAGAAATTACACAGGGCATCTCCTTCACTTATTCTGCTTAGTCAGCGTCCAAAGTAGATTCATATTTCGCGTTTGACGTTCAAACATTCAGATATTCACGCGTCTTCATGCAATCTAAACCATCTGCGGCTACGGCTCCTACTCTCCTTTCGTCTTTGGAAGCCTTTCAGAAGCGCGATGTGCTTCCGCCTGATGTCGTTCACCCCTTCGCAACTGCAGCTCCTGAGACCTGCGCACTTCTTCAAGACTTGATCAACACCACAGACCAAGTGTCGCGTTCTTTGGCCATTTACGAGACTTCCACTCAGTGGAGTAGTACAAAGCTAATCTCTCTTTTGCGACAACATACCGCAATCGAGCATACGTCTTACTCAGTGAGTGCGGTTCTCGCTTTCAAGGCGCATATTTCTAATTCCTCTTTCGAGCCAGTCCACCAAAGATGCCCAGAGTCTTATCGAGACTTTGAAGGCGAGAAGAGGCGTGAGTTATGGCGAAAGCGTCCCCTTACTCGCATCTTCAATACCCAATTGGTGCATTGAACAACTTGCGACTTGGGGAAATACAGTAGGAATGGAGACTTTCAAGGACGATAGTCGACAAGGAGGCACAACCGTCGTCCTGGGCGGGAAAGTCCTCGTGGTGGACGTGGAATTTACCGTTGATCTCCACGATCCTCTCAAGCCAACGCTCAGAGTTGCTAGTGTGAAGACTTCCAATGCCTTGAACCCCAATAGCTCCAGCCCGAGCACATCTCCTCTGCTGGACTCGTTCCTTGCAGACTGCATTGAAGGATACTGTGCAGAAATGCAGAAACCAGAAGATCTCCGGGATCCTCAACGCGCTTCGAACTTCCGTAAAAATGTGCTTGACCACCTGCGTTACCTTGTCCTTCTGGATGGATTAGCAAGTCGAAAAGATGACGGGGGCATTAGATGGTTCACGGACATCGACGAGTTCTATCCCACCTTGAATGCAGTAGCAAAAAATGAAGCCAGTTTTATTGCTTCGTGAGTGATTTGTAGCCCATGGGTGATTAACTAAATCGATAGACCTCTCATAGATCCCTCTCGTTGTCGAAGGCTCCGCTCGATATCTTCCTCCTCAGAGCTCACTCATTGCCATTACCTTATCTAATGATGCCTTCAATCTCATTCCTGACATATCTATCACCCGCTGCCTATCTCTCCCTCCTACGCAAAGCACCTATTGCGAATACTTCCAAGGTTGAGGACGACTGCCCTATCGACTTCACTTTCAACGATTTGAAACCCCATCTAAGCTCCATGACCAAAGGTGTCACCGTCGCCACACTCTTCTTGGACAAACTGTCGGAGGCTCATCTATACCCTCCCTCCATGTCAATGCCTGATATCACTGCACGGCCCTCCTTCCCACTTTCTCCTTCCGCTTCAGAAGTGGATCATCCATTTCCACAACAGGATGATTTCGGCCTGCATTCAGACTCCTCTCCTCCACAGCCGTATACATGGGTGCTTGACTTCACAGAAGGCGGAAATAAAGATGGTGTCGTGGTGAGTCAATCACGGATGAAGGCTATTGAGCTCGTCGTCAACCCTCTAGGAGGAGACGATGATTTGAGCGGAGTGACCGACATGCTGTCATTTGGCACTGGGAGCTGGGTTGATCTTTTGGTGTGTAGCTCTGGCATCACTCACATTCCGCACTTGCTGAGATGCTCCCAGCTCAATCCCAGAAATCCTGTGTCTCCTGAGCGATATACTGCCCTTTATGTAGGTTATAGTTCCAAGTATGAAGTGACCCACAGCAATATCTCGATTCGCAGAAATCTCGGAATTCCTTACACCCGCCATTGCAGCTTCGTCTGACAGCCCCGGAAGAACCAGGCTTCTTACTACAACGCATACCTGTACACAGCATCAAAGAGGTCTGGGGAATCCTAGAGGTGCGTTATATGGCAACTATGTGCAAGTTTATGGTGCTCATTGTTGCTGTTGTATAGGTTGTCAGAGAGCAGTCCTGGATCAACGAAACTCTCCTAGGTTGTCACTGGACCACCGAAGGACTGAAGTCCGAGGAAGAAGACATCATTCCAGATGAGTCAGTTGCAACTGAACAGGAACTTGAAGCAGTTTTATCAGGTATTGTTCTCTTCTTCTGTTTAGACACCGGGTCTAATATCTGTGCCAGGCACTTTTATGCCCCGAAAAATACCAATCACCGTGTTCCTTCCATCTGGAAGTGCAACAGACAACTTATTCGGGACAGATCTGGACCTCCTACCTTTGTCAAGACCACGAATCGTCATGACATCGCCGGAAAGACCACCAATTTCGGGCCTAGTAGAAATTACTGTTACCCACGATGAAACCAAGCCTCGAGGAATTTCTGTCGAGATTCAAGGAGCCATGGGTTCGGATCTCAAACCTGTAGATCTGGAAGAAATTTGCCGTCGCGGGGGGACTTTCGGTCTGCCTGGGAGGATCTGGGCAAATGCGCATGGTTCCATCTCATAGGTATGTTATTATTTTTGTCAAATACTATACAGGCTCTCTCTCTGTGATATCCGGTCTGATACTTGTACAAGTTGTGCCTGTTCTTTTTTTTGCAGACTAGTGACTTCTCACATTGAATCCTTCTTGACTTCAATTGCGGAGTCTCCTTGTCCTTCCATCGAGCGAGAAGCCCTTTCTCTACCTTTCGAGAATTGTTCTATCACGAAGCCCCGGGCCTGGTAGATTGTCAAGAATGGTATTATGCCCCATGTCAATACATTCTCCTACCTTCTCACCAAGTTTCTCCATGCTCTGTTGAACCTCTGGCAGTTTAGATTTTGCTCCTTGAACCAAAGCATCAGCGCTATTGCCGATCTCTTGCATCCTTTTCTCGAGTTCAAGTCTTTCTGCGATTGGTGCTCCCGCCCTGGCGCCGAGCGCCGTCAAGTCCTTCAGCAACTGTCTACAGATGGTCAGGATTTGGACAACACTGCTTGGTCGGTGTTCATTCTGCCCTGTTTGAACGACGAGAAAAATGTCTTCATATGCTTTGGCGATAATGGCATTGGCTTCGTCTGCATGAGGACCAACAGCTTCCTCAGCTGAATTAAATGCCCTGTCGACAAGGAAGCCAGCACCCGGGATGTATGCGATGTATGCTTTGACCGCTTGCCGGAGATAGCTCAGAGCGCGTGTAGGATTTTTTTCTGTTGCTAGTTGCTCTTTCGTTTTCTTCAGCAGGATGGCGACGGGAGTAAAGGTGTCCACGGCCCTCTTTAGTCCGGAGTAGTGGTAGATTCCATACCCTAGATGAAAATTTTCAGACAAGTGAATGATTCAATACCATAAATATGCACCAGCCGTTCCAACCAAAGCTAGTCCACCGGTAGTGCCAACGAGCACACCAAGCGTGAAGTGCCTGAAGAAACTGCGATTGCTCACAGTCGAGTTGCGTCTCGAAAATAACAGCTCAGCTCTTGAAGGAATTCGTCGCGAGCCAAAGCGAGAAAGCATTGTGGAAGGCGCTATTAACGGGTGTTGGCAGAGTGAGCGCCTGGACTTGTAAAATAGACGCCAGTTAAATGCCGCGCGTCAAGTCGGCAACGGTCGGCATTGCACGAAACATCCTGCTCTTCTTGATCTTCTATCACTTTACTCAAAGGACACGAACGTCGGACAGACGTCCGAGAGTGCTCTGTTGACCAAGAAACGATCCCAATTCACGAGAACGCATAATAACTAGTCCGCGACGCTCTTAGTTGCTTAGTTGCTCACTGGATGGGATTGTCACACGAAAAAAGGGTTGTCGCACAAAGAGATGAGGCCAGAAAGAAAGTGTATAAACATACAAAGAACGCTTATGCGTCTGGAACTTCGATCTCTCCTGAGTTTATGCCGTCGATAATATCGTGGGGAGGTTGCCCATCCACCGTGCACCCGATGCTCTGTGCGGTGCCCAGAATTTCCTTTACACATCCGGAAAGCTCCTTCGCAAGCGACTTTGTTTTCATTGTCCGCGCAATGTCGAAAATCTCATCAAGAGGGATGTTGCCGCTGTGCTTGATGTTCTTCTCCTTCTTGCGGTCACGTGGGGGCTCTAATGCAGACAAGTGTTACGACGGGCGTGAAAACACAATCAGATGCGGTTCTTACCCTTGAGCGCACGGATGACAAGCGACGAGGCGGAGGGGACGACAGAAACGGCAGCTTGCCGATTTTGGATGGTGAGTTGGACGGTCACCCGTAGACCCTTCCAAGCCGATGTAGCCTTTGCGATATCTTCTCCGACCTTCTTCGGTGACTGGATGAAAGTTCAAAACGAAGGGGGGTATGCGATCCCGAGAGTAAACGCACCAGACCGAGGGGACCAATCTTGGGGGCAAGGGCAGATGAAGCACCAACTTCACCTCCAGTCGCACGGAGGTAGATGATCTTGATTTCATTGGGGTCCTATTGAGGAGGGTTTGAGCGACGAGGCGACAAGGGTGGTTAAGGAATATAATTACGAGCTTGGGGGCCATTTTGAGTGAGGTGAACGGGCGTGATGACCTTGAGATCAGTCCCTAGACGGCGATGGACAGAGACGAAAAATAAGGTTCAGATTCCGACGATCAACTGTACAGCCGTTCCCCACCTATTTGTGCATGTTAGGCTACGGCCTCGCCTATCTCAAACTCCTTGTCAAGAGTTATTTCTGTCCTGCAATCAATCGATTCGCAGCCAACACGGCTACCTCATGCAATGGATTCATGGAATCCTCCAGTTCAGAAAGGGTGGAACTCCCACCAAATTTCGAAGATGCACCCGTAGAGCATCTTATCCAACTCATTGGTATGGAGGTTGTCCCGAGATTGACGCCTTCGCTCTGACCAGTAATCCAGCAGATATGCTAGAACACTTAATGTCGCATAATGACCGCATACCACTCTCTCCGTATGTGGTTTTCCAACAGTATACAGCCCCACCTAACTCTCCAGCTAGCGAATCATTGACACGATTTCACTCTCGATCAGCACCCAGCATCAGCGTGCTCGACTATCTGAAACGGATCGTTAGATTCACCAACGTCGAGGTGAGAACCCTCACCTCCTGCCTGCGCACCACCCTCACGTACTGATTACCTCCAAGAAATCGTGCCTGCTCGTCACTCTTTACAATATCGATCAAATATGTGCTCGGACCCCTCTCTTCACACTCTCATCCCTGACCTGCCATCGCTTCATTATCACCTCTATCACCGTTTCAAGCAAAGGTCTCTGCGACGCCTTCTGCCCGAACAACCTCTACGCGAAAGTGGGTGGGATATCCGTAACGGAACTAAACGTCCTTGAGAGGGAGTTCCTTTCAATGATCGATTGGCGACTGATGGTCAGCAAATTTCTTTAACACCCTTTCCCCCTCACATCCAAGCCCTGTCGCAATTTTCTCTGGTACTCCCGTGAAACGATCGTCCTCATGGTTCTCTTCTTGTTTCTTGGCAGTGCACCCGCGAGATTCTGCAGGAATACTACGTCAACCTCGTGCGCTTGCATAGTGCTGGCAAATTCTACATCACCGAATCTCCTAGTCAGTCCTCCGACAGTGATCTAGATATGGACAGTGGCCAATCTCGTCCTGCTTCCCCTGCGGAAGCTCGACATCGGCCCCGTCCTTCCCTGTCAGAACCCTCTGCAATCCTGGTCGAACCAGGGACAATATCACAGGAGACCAGCCAACGACCAACCATCGAGCAGAACATGGCATTTGCTGCTCTGCAACAGATCAAGTCACAGGATGCCTCTCATTCCCTCAGCAGACAAACCTAATAGCAGAATGTAACATTCAATTCATACTTGTCTAGCTAAAGTGCACAATGAGAGGTCGGTATTGGATTGGTTTGTATGGACAAAAATAAAAGAGAAGAAAAGAGAAACGTATTAAATACACATTTACCACTATTTGAGGGAGGAATGAATGAGTGCAAGGAATGACATCTTGTTGTGAGTTAGCAGCCACTATCGACTTTTCGCGGATGGCAGAGGGAATACAGTCCTACATGTGGGATCAAAAAACGAGGGAGGGAGGGTTAAAAAGCCCCGACTAGTCAACCAGTCAATTAAACGGTGCCATGCATCGCCTCTCTGCACGCGCAAGAGAGAAGATCGAGGAACGAGCGGCTGAGCTTGCTGCGAAATCATGACTGGTTCCAACAAAGCTTGACTGTGCGCACCGTGCGATATACTACTGTACCAATACAAATTTGAACGCGCCTGGTCCGTACGAAATGCTCGCGTGCAGTTTGCGTATATCCTTGAATCTGGGCGTGTGCTTCAAGAAAGAAGGTAGGCGGGCGGGCGGCGCAGGCACAGCAACGTGAACCAGCCACGAGAAATTTTATCAAAGTCCATCGTCGTCAAATCGTCATCATCAATTCGACCACCCACCACAGCATCATCATCACCATCGACTCTCGCATCCCAAGCCCAAACGACAGCGACAGCGACACCAATCCAGCAGCGACAGGCGGCGAACGGTAAGTGCCTAACCGTCGATCTTCAGCGACGGAGGGCGGAGAGCATCTTGGCGAGGGCGTTGATCTGGCCCTTCTGCACCTTCTTGACACCATCGGTCTCCTCCTTCGCGCTCGCCGGACCGTTGAGGTCCGTCGTGCTCGTCGACGCGTCCCTTCGCAAGTGCTCGGGGGTCTTGGAGCTGGCAGGGCCAGAGGGGCGCTCTGTGATAGTGTCGAGCGTGAGGTCCTTGGGTGGCTTGCGCGTCCGTTGCTTGCGCACAGGAGGAGAGCCAAATATGTCGCCGACGGGATTAGGATGTTGCCCACGAGGCAGTTGGTCCAGTTCCCAAGGAACACCATCCATGACTAGAAAAAAAAATAGTTATTAGCACGCACATATTGACCACTTGAATACACACTCACTCTTGATGTTCTTCGGGAGGTTGCCCTGGGCATAAGTCGAGTGGTTGGAAGACGACAACGTCGAAGAGGGCTTGACGCTCGTGCGCCAGCTGGCAGACGATACACTCGTCGCTGTCGTGGAGACGCTCCTGGCACTGGAGTTGCTGTAGCGCGTAAACGCCGACGTGGAGGTGCCCGCGCTCGAGGTGGTGCTCATCGAGCTGCGCCAGTTGGACGACACGACCGAGCTTGCGCTCGAGCCGATTGGGCGGCCACTGCGAGTGCTGTTGGGCGACACCGCACGCTGCTCGGGGCGGCGTTCGTGGTGGCAGGCCCACGACGAGGCGTCTTGCGGGAGAGGAGGGAGTGCAGGAGGAGGAGGCGCGGGGCCCGCAGAGAGCGCGTGCCCTGGCGACCTGCTGTGGGTCTTGACGGAAGCGGCGGGCGACTGCGATTCCCTCGCACGACGACCCCTGCTCCAAGTAGACGAAGCGTCGTCAGAGGTGGAGGACTTGACGGAGGCGTTCGAAGGAGGCGGCGGTAGCGGGGCATTCAAACCCATAAGGAGGCTCGTTACGTTGCTCGCCGTCTTCGACATGGGTGGGTGCGACAGGTCAACAGAGGGCTGGGGTGAGGCTTCCTCTACCGGCGAGACACGGCCAGCAGCAGCATTGGCGAGCGAAGCTGCGCTGTTTTTGCCAAAGCTGAGCTTCCACTTCGACGGCTTCTTGGTGACAGGCGGAGGAACGGATGGTGGTGATACGGGGCGAGCGGAAGACGGAGGAGGAGCGGCTGGACGCGCAGCTGGACGTGTATTGGAGAGGAGGGCGGTCGGCATGGCGTACATCGAGACGGGCTCGAAGCTCTTCTTGCTTGCTGAAGAGTTCTTCGTTGACGTCGACGAATGCGAGGGGGCCTTGGACGGTGCCTTGGAAGGTGCCTTGGACGGCGCCCTGGACGGAGCCTTTGATGCCAGGCTGATCTCGCGGGCCAAAGATTGAGAAGCCACGGCGAGAGTGGTCAGCGTCTCGTCCTGAGGGGCAGGCGGATTCGCGGCGGCAGTAGAACCTCTGCCTTTGCGGGTGCCCCTTCTCCTCCGCTTGTTGGTGGAAGTTGATCGGGACGTCATGCCCTCAATCTCAACATCACCCTCCGCAGCGTCGTCACCGTCGTCCTCGTTATCATGGTCGATGACAGTTGACAGCTCCTCTCGCTCAAACGCCGGCTCGAGTGACGGAGCGCGGGACAAGGAACGAGCTGGGATGGCAGGCGTGCGGACAGCGGCGACAGTAGTCGACACAGATGCTTGTCTGGACGAGGGCCGATGAGACATGGGAAGCGATAAGGAGATGCGATGGCCTTGGGTCGAGCTGCTGGAGACGGTGCGACGGACACCATGGCCTCCCAAGAGGGTGGGAAGGTTCTTGACCCAGGTTCCAAACTCTGCGGCAGTCATGCGGGAGGAGTCATCGTGAGGGTCGTCAAGGATGCAGAAGATCCTAGTGGCGAGGACCTCAGCGACTGGCCTGGTCATGCCTGTGAAGCGCTGCATGAAAAAGTTGATCGGATCGCGCAAGTAGACGTCGAAAGAGGAGCAGGCGCCTTGTGCAGTGTCGGTCCATGGATTGCAGTGATACAGCCTGATCGCAATGCATCAGACGGCAGGTCCATGAACGGATGGAAGGCGACCTACATGTTGATCAAGACGATGCCCAGAGACCAGACATCTGCCGCCCGTGGACGATAAGTTGGAGCAACATTGTTCCTGCATTCTGTTGCAAGGAAAGCCATTTTAGCATGTACTCGGCAACGACGATAGTGGATATAAATACCGTAGCTCATGTAAGGGGCGCTTCCGCAATCCATATCAGAGGACTCTAGGTCGGTAGTGGAGAGTCCAAAGTCGGACAGCTTGACGACGACCTTGCGCTCGAGCCGACCATCAGGCGTTGTGAAAGCACCATCGGTGACAATGAAGTTCTCGGGCTTTATATCACGATGAAAGACCTGCTGGGAATGGCACGCCGCCACGGCGTCGCACATCTGGGAGAACATGGAGGAGATGAGGCGGAGGCGGGTGCGGGACAGCAGTTGAGACGGGTGCAAGTTTGAAAGCAAGCTAGGAGTCGGGGGAGTGTGGGAGTTGGAGACTGACGAGTCGGTGGGCTGGGAAGTTTCCAGATCATAATGGTCGCGGGCTTGTTCGAGGAAGTAGAACAAGTCCTCGCCGGGGACGTATTCCAAAAGCAAAAGCAAAAAAGCAGAAGTTTCGAAAGTGCGATGAAGGGAGACGATATTGGGATGGTGGTGCAGTGACTGATGAATAGTAACCTGTGTGCCAAATAAGGTGAGATGAATGATTGATGTTTGTTTTTCGTTCGGGAAGAGGAAGAAGCCGAAGGAAAAACGCACCTCGGACAATTGAATAGCTAGAGCCTCTTCGTCGAGGTCAGCCTTGGATAAGCACTTGATAGCATACTTTCTGCCGTAGACGGTTTGTGCGGTGGTCGAGTTGAGGGACCTGTTATCTAGTTCCATTGCACCGATTGTTGACATGTGACCATCTTCGGAGGGGGCTGGACGTGAGAGGACCTCTTGTACGAGATAAACGACTGCGTAGCTCCCGGTACCGAGCTGCTTGATGACCTCGAACTCGAGATTGGGCACTGGGGAGGGGGGCATGTCAGTGGAGACAATGCGGATGGGTTCGCCTTGTAGGTAGAACCCTTCTCCCACGATATCTCCTGGGGCGAGGACATCGTGCAGGGCCTGAGAGCCGATAGAGGATGTAGAAGACTTGGGGGCGGCTGCTGGGGGCTGGTTGGGGAATGGTACGGGGCTGGAAGAGTGGAGCTGGCGGGACGAGATGTAAGGGGTTCGGGGAAGCTTTGCAGAGGTAGTGGCAGGAGAAGAAGAAGGAGAAGAAGAAGAAAGATTAGTTGAAATAGAGAGGGGAGGGGTGCTGATGTGTTGGCGGGCGGGGATGATGTCCTTCTTGAGGCGCCTGCGGTTCAGCAGGGCAGCAGAGTGGAGGATCTGCTGCTGGGAGGGGGAGAGTTTGAGGGGGCGTTGTGGGAGATCATTAGGGCGGAAGAAGTCGGTGTCCGTTGGTTGTGTTTCGGATATCCGTTGGGACTGGAGCGAGAGCGGCGGGGGGTTGGCCTGGTGCTGCAACATTAGCGTCGGGGCAGCTGGGGCGTGCGCGCGCTGCGTTCGGGTCCGTTCAGACGAGACCGGCTTTGAGTCTGAGCTGGGTTGGGCCGGGATGCATGCAGGGGGGAGCGGGGGGACACGACGCCCGGTCGAGGGTGGGGGGAGGGGAGGGAGGAGCTCGGGGATGGGAGAAGAAGAAAAGGGAGGGGAGTGTGCACTCGCTATTTTGCGTCCATGTGCTCCGAAGCATGCGTCTCTCTATTCACCCTCTATCTACCATATCCGGCACCGCAGCACCGCACTTTCGCCCAGATCCTGCCCAAATCCGGACACCGCATGTGATGGCTGCCCTGCACCGCATGCGTCCACCGTAGTCTCGACACGTGCCCTCATGCCGATGGGGTCTGCCCCAGCAGTCTGATGTGCACAGACACCAGCGATGCTGATTTCCGCACACACCCAAGCGCCCCTTCCACACTCGCCACAAGATATTCTCTCTACGCGCTTAATTAATATCCTGACCCCGCTTAAATTAATTCTCTCACCAGGCTTTCATCCGTCCACTGCTCTTCCACAAACTTGGCGTACCCCTCACACAGCGCCTCCGACGTCCGCCCCTCGGCCTGCACCCGCGCAAGCAGCTCCTCGTTCGCCCGCCGGAGCCCCTCCACCGCCTCCTTCCTACTTTGGCCCCGGGCCAGAAACCGGCAGGCATAGAGTACCACCGCAGTAGCGTCGTCAGGCAGGGCCCGTCGAAGCTCCTCGTGCAGGTGTTCCAACACCTTCCTCCGCAGACTCTCCGGCGAAGGATACCCCGATATCATTTCCTTGATCGATCCAAACAGCTCCACCCGCGGGATCGCTTCCACACACATCAGCTCGCACCATCCACGTTCGTTATGCTACACACCTTTCGCCGCGTTCGAGATCACTGATTCCACAATCGCCCCTTCCATCACCTGTCGCCGCGCATCTGCACCAGCATCCCCTCCATACTCTGCCTCCACCCCGTCCTCTTCTCCCTCCTCTTCTTCCCCCATCCTTCCACCCATGATTGCTTGGCTCGTATCGCGAAGCCCTCTACTTTCTCCGGAACTTGACACCTTGATCCCGAGGACGTCCCACCGCCGCCGGAGCCTCTCGACGAACCCAAGCTCCATCTTTACGTATTCCGTCCACATGTCGATGCGCTCCGGGTTCAGCCTGATCCCTCGCTGCAGCAGCGTCCGTGCCGCCGACGGCGAGTGGTGGTCCAGCTCATGCATCGCCGCCAGGATGTACAGCGACGTATTGTTTGGGTGGAGCTGCAGCGCTCTATACGCATCGTCATTTTGCCAATCAGTACGCAGCTTCGATGTATTGCCGGAGAGAATAGAATAGAATTAGAATTAGAACAGAAGAAGAACCACACACCTTGCAGTTATCCTCCCCACCAGCGCGCGTGCACCCTCTTTCTTCGCGACCTGGATGTACTGCAGCCACAGTCCGACATCCGATTTGAACTTCTTCACCGCCCGTTCGAAGATCTGGAACTGCCGGCGAACAAGTGCGTAGTCTGACACCGTTGCTGGGCCCCGAGGCAGCTCTATACAAGCGGTGATTAGTCGAATGAAATCAGAAATCCACAGACCCAAAGCTAAACGAACAATGACGGAGAAGACGAAAATAAATCAGACTCACTCAACCTCTCCACTCTCTTTCGCCTCAGCTGCTCCAGGCCCATCTCGTACGACGCATACCGCAGGAAGTCTTCCTTCCTCGCCACACGACGTACGAGGGCCGTCTCGAACCCTGTCCGCTTCTTCATGATTTGCTTGGTCTCTTTCTGGTAGGTTCATATCGGAATCAAATGGACCAGACGGACAAGAAAGAAAAGTAAAAGGTTCAGTCAGTACAGCCAGCACCAGGGAGAAAGACCAACGCACCTCCGTAAACAACCCCTTCTCCACCAAATCCTTCAGCTCATCGAGCATCTGCTCCTGCTGGAACTGTACCCTCTCCATCTTGTCTGCCAATCAGTTTTTTCTTCACCGTCAAAATTTCCTAGCGAGTCTATCGGCAGATACGGGACCACCTGGAAGGACAGCGTAATGGGGGTCAGTGGACAACGTCAAGAACAACGGCGGCCACAACTTTTTTTGCAGCCTGTGCCTGTCCGGGCCGCGTCTGCCGCCGGTCCCGGGTGCACAGCCACATTCGCCGCGCCTGATGCGAAGTTCCAAGCGCTCGACCGACTTTCAGCCTCGATAGAGAAGAGCTTGAGAAGGTGCCCCTGCGCATGGCGTTCAGAAATGTCACCGGGTAGCCAAGTGGTGCCCAGGACTTGTGGGAGGCTCAGGGCTATTTTTCTTTGGTTGGGGGAAGAAATTGGAGTTTTTGGTGGGGGACGCAACGCGACAGTTATCATGGACAAAAATATACGGGCGTTCTCTTCCTTACAGGTACTTGATCTAGTGCAAATCAGAGAGGGACTTTGGGCAGGAAAGCCAAAGCAACTTTTGGCCGGAAAGCACGAATAGCACAGAAGGACATCGATGTCGACGGAATGGTACTACTACTAGACAGGACACGCTATCTATCCATCCGCACCTCTCGGGGGCAATGACGTGCCTTCTATGTCGTGCTTTCCCCCTTCTAGCACCATGTAACTATGTATACCTAAGTATAAGTGCGGCAACACAAGTCGCAAACACACCTCCTGGACGCTAACGAAATGATTGAACATCCTCCATTGAGTCCATTCAGAATCAAGAAGGTTCAAGCTGCATACATGGGTCCACACTGATCGCCGAGTGGACGGTTCAACTGAGATGATGTGCAAGCGGGGGACCAGCGTAAATGGATCTAAACATATCCAGAACAATTGAAGTTTGCAGGTCAGTGTGGATGGATGCCGATGGTGTGCACTTGGTGTGTACCGTATCAGTTCTGCCAACGCCATTGGTCAAGCGTCCGAGCGGGACCACACTGTATACATATGAAGGATGATATGCACACCGAGTTCCAACAGCATAGCAGCGTTCCCCAACCATCACAACGCCAAATTGAAAGCGCCTTCTAACCTTAGGCCCGACCCAAATTTGAGGACAATTGGGGCTTTACAGCCTTTACACCGGGTCGGAATTCAACGAACGCCCCAACGAAGACAAGAAGAATAGAACACGCCAACTGCACACCCTGCATAGCACACATACACGATGCGTTCATTCATTCGAAATAGCCGCCGCCTCGAGAAAACTTGGGATAATCATAGATCACGTCCTCCCATGCGCACGAGGGCATGGACCCTCGGGTCCGCCGATGCCTGAGAAGAAGGATTTTTGCGGAACGCGTGGGCTCCATTCCAGCGCGCGCGTCGCCCGTGTGGTGCAGGATGAAACGCGCGTGAGCTCCAGAGAGCGTGTTTGATCGCCAGGAATAATTCGTATCAGGGCGTAGGGTGAGTTGCGTTATGCAGGCGGCCGGAGAGGTGTACGCCTTAAGGAGGTCGGGTAAGTACCCTTGTTCGAGGACATGGATTCGTAGGGGGCTGTTACACGCTTTACAAAATCAGCGAGGACAGCGCCAGATGGGATAATGTGATCGATCGACGAGGTGAGAGATTAGTAGCAGTAGATGATGTTGCAGCCTGTCAGAGAGATAGACACTGGACAGGACGGACGGTGTTCGGAGATGACTCGGATGACGCTGGTTTGAGAGTCGAGAACACATATGAAGGGGCTTCGAGGGGTGGCATCATAAAAACGGAGGAAGACAAGAGTTACAGAGATGGGTATTCCCATAACAAGTCCCTTTCACTCATAGCGCGTCTCTTGAGCCTACGTCAACCGCTATCGGCGCAGTCCAGGACACTTGGACTATCCAGCGGGCCTCGAGGATGTCAGGTATGAGGCAGGGTGACCACGTCGGGCCGGCGCGACGGTGACCAACAGAGCCACACAAACCGTGCGTCGATGCAGGGACTGCACGAATCGCTCTCCGATGTAATTGTTTTATCGTTGATATCCTCCCGCCGTTTCTCCTCCGTTTTCCTTCCTTTCCTCGAGTGATACCACATCCTGGCTACCCTCCACCCTCGCACGCTATCGCGCACTCACTCAGACTGAGAGATGCCACCAAAGTCGTCACGGGTAACCAGCTCGGGTCAGCTGCGCCCGCATTCCCGATCCTCATCAGCCACGAAACTCGGCGCGAATCTGCAGTTCACACAGAAAGAGCTCCAGGCCGCGAAGCACACCGACAGGTCGAAGAAGGCCTACCCTCACGAGGTTAGTTTTGTTCCTCAGTCTCTCCGGTTTTTTCTCTCTCTGGCGCACCCACACATACTCATGCATCGTCATACCTGCTCTTTTCTCATCAGGCACATGCTCATGGAGGGAAAGCGGCACCGCCATTCGTGCGCGCCAACAGCAGTCAGCGCGTGCTCTCAAAGGAGCAGCTGGCCCCACAGACTAAGCGCCAGCAAGCGTACCCCGATTCCAAGGTGAACAACAACGGCAAGGCCAAAGCGGGGTTCACGATTGCCACCCCAAGTGAGGATGGGGACGACGACGAGGGCTGGGTCTCCACAGAGAGCGGCGCAGCAACTCCGAACCACCAAGACTCTGACTCTGACTCTAACACAGCGTCTGAAGCTGATGCCCCCGACCCACGGCAGCAGCAAACGCAACCACAGCAGGCCCGTGCCCCCCAACCGCCACAACAACCACAACAACAACCAGCTCATCCTTCGACAAGACCCGAACCGACTCTCCCCCGTATAGATACCGCCCGCCCGGCTGATTTCAAACAACTTTCTAGAATGGAGCGCAACTCTACCAGCCGGCCTAGTCCGCCACCCGTACAACCGCACATCCAGCAAATTCCTTCGATGGTTCCTCACCAACAGCAACAGCAAAGAGCACCCGCCACTAACAATACGCGCAAGGACACTATCCCCACCACCGACGTTCCCCAACCTCGCCTCAGCCCTCGCTCCAAGCGCCACTCTCGCCCGCCTTCGACGCACTCTATCACGAGCAAGCTAGAATATCAATTACGTCCGCATCCGTTGATTCGCGGGCAGTCATACGGCAGCATACACCCTCCCAAACCCGCACCTCTCGCCCCACTCACTGTCGTTCCAAATTCTGCCCTGCCGGAGCTATCGACCTCGCCAGGAAGTGCACACGACGGCGTCAAGAGCTACATGTCATCCTCGCCTACCAGCATAAAGACCTCGTCTGGATCACCCGCGTCTTCGGATGTGCCACACTCTGGTTTCGGGGCTGACAGACGCTTCTCGATCTCGTCTGCGAGGTCGGTCAACACGATCCCCGTTGTGCATCCGACGATTATCAGGACGAGCGACCGGACGCGTACCCTATCGACCATGTCGACCACATCTTCCTCCGCGGCATTGTCGTCATTGGTGCACCTACCCACAGTTACGCGTCCACCCTCCCCACAGACGATATCTTTCTTCCCTCCTGTCAATCCACATGCAAACATCGAAGGGATACACCCTCTCCTCCCTCCTCCATACATGAGCAACCACCTTACTGTCCTGTCGAGAAGGACTCCGATCAGGGAGGCCTTTGACCGTGTCAGCCGCGCGAAGAGCGCACGGTAAACACCGCGAACATTTTCCACTCAAGCTCTGTGTTCCGTTTCCTATATTGAAGTTATCCGACATCTATGACACTCGCTCCCTGACACATACCGTCGTGTAATCGTACAACCACATATTGCTTTCCCTCGCTTCTCAGCCTATTATTTATTCTTTAAGATTTACAACATGCCGCTTTGTCTTTCTTCCTTTTTTGTTGTCGTATTTACAACAATGAACTCTCCGAATCCAAGCTTCACGTCTCTTCCATACCAATGCTGAGGTTCAAGGAACTTAGTTGAGCATGCTTGTTCGTTGGTCTGCAACAGGGTCCTGCCTAAACGGAGACGCGTCAAATTCCACGCATACCGTGACCATGTGTTGGCGTAGCACTTCGTCACGGCCAAACCTGCAGGTTTCTTGTTCTTTACCACCTCTACACTCTTCATAATACGGTCCTGGTGCACGTAATTACGACAATATGTGGCTTTCAGACGCTCAAAGTCAGTCCGTTCGCATTGCTCGTGTTATGCTGTAACTGACGTTCACAGAGATTGGCGTGGCGTTGACTACCTTCGGCGCTCTCTTCATGCTCTTAGGTGTTATGTTATTCTTTGACGGGGCTCTCCTCGCACTCGGCAATGTATACCAGCCCCCCTCTTTTGCTTCTCGGCGGTACTTTGGCTAACTGTCGACAATCCACCAGATTCTCTTCATTTCTGGGCTCACGCTAATCATCGGTCCTCACAAGACGTTCTACTTCTTCGCCCGGAAGCAAAAGATTCGCGGAACAGTCTGCTTCCTGGGAGGGATTTTACTGGTTTTCTTCAAGTGGCCGTTCATTGGGATGGTAGTGGAGACGTTTGGTTTCCTGAACCTGTTTGGGTGCGTAGTCTCGACACGTCTGTACATTCGACCGACGTGTCCTCTGACGTTGCGTTCAACAGTGACTTCTTCCCGGTTGTAATCACCTTCCTCCGACAATTGCCATTCATCGGAACACTATTATCTCTTCCGTACATTCGAGGGGTAACTCCGAGTCTTCTAAACTTGCCGTATACGACTCCTCAACATGACTTTTCCCTCAGGTTGTCGACCGCATCGCTGGATCGCGGACATCTGCAGTATGATATTCTTAACACCCGGAATTTATACTCGTTACACTGAGCGATTTCACTAAGGAGTGAGATAAGAAAGTTCAATGCTCCCTCATACAGCCTTTCCGTAGTCACCCAAGTTTTCGATCTTCACAGAGGCCACTTCCTTGTCTTTGCTGTCTCGTTCTGAGTCAACTGGGGAACTTGGCTCTCTCTGCTTGTCTTCATCAATGTTCTTCCAGTGGAAGGCATCCTTCCTTGCTTGGTCAATCACCATTCCCCTGGTCAAAAATCAGCCTGAGGACTTGGAGCAGGAACCACAGTCAGGACTTACACAGCATACATTGTCATCGCAATGTACCCCGATAGCGGGACAAGATAAGATGTTCTAGTCGAAATTCGGTCTGCAACCGAGGCTTGTGCAGGAGGGTACCAAGCGCCACCCCCAACACCCTGCTCGGTCAGTGTTAGCCTCCATCTTGTCTTTAAATGCACGCGAAACTCGCCATAACGATGAGACCCGAGCCCTGCTTTGTGTGAATTCCCAGGTTCTTCGTCCCCAGCGTGAAAATGCACTGTTCCCAACGTAATGAGTAAAATCCGCGGTTTCTGGGAAACAAACCCACTGGATAACAAATTGACTCGAAGAAAAAGAGTCCAAAAAGACACCCAATACCCGCGTGGCCCGTTGCAAGAGCAACACCCAAAGTAAAAGCACAGCAAGCAAAGCCATAAACGGATAAGAGGAGTGCAGGATCGACGAATTTCAGGATGAGCACTCCAGTAAACCTGTTAACCTGTGAGCCTTCCCATTAGCCAAGGATTGGTTTTATTATTCACCTTCCCGCCGTAAAGGTCATCTGGCAGAATGAGAAGAGCTGACTGGCCCGCGAAGCATTGATGCCAACGCCTTGTTCAACCATGAAGTTGACGGCTAACGAAGCAACACCAACTTGAGCACCGCTGAAATATGACAACTTCAATTGATTGGAGAGGGGGAAAGCTGAAGAAGGCACTTACACGTATGCAGTTTGAGCGACAAAGCCAAAGATACATCTATATTGCTTCCAAAACGATTCTTGGTCTCTGTTAAGTTCTTGTACTTGCTGTACCCCACGTTCTTCCTCGAGTTCGGGCAGTTTGCAGAAACTATGGTTCAGCCAAGTTCAGCTAAGGGTAGTGAAGGAAGTTGTGAAAGGTAACACACTAGAACAGCACATTTAAGACCACACCAAGCCCAGATACCGCAAGGTACACCCTATCCATTCGATGAGTCGTCAAGATGACCGGCAAAACCAGCGGAATTACCATTGAACTGTGGCCAATCTCGTCGCATTTTCTCCCTGGAAAAACCATCGAGAGGCGATGAGCGGTCCTGCGAAGGAAGCAACTCCTTGAAATCCTTGGCTGAAATTAAGTCGAGCCGCAGCGTATCTTGGTGTCCCAAGAACGGCGATATAGGAATTGGCAGCAACCTCGAGCGTAGCCAACCCACACCCTGATTCAAAATGTAAGAACATTGGAAGATCAGTCAAGAGGGATTCTACCTATGACAAAGGTACAGCCAACAAAACCGCCATACGCCTCGAACTTGGCTGAAGGCCAATAAAACACCGCACCTAACCAGGAATAAGACTGCCTGCACATAACGACGAGGAGGACTCGGACGCACCAAGGCTGTACAGCGTCAATCCAAGGTGAATTCCAGCCTGTAAAGCGGAGCATGAGACCGCAGAAATTTATCTCGAGCTTCAGCAGTCGTACTTTGTATCCCCATCTCCTCATCTTTCGAAAGAGTTAATGCATATTCAGTCACCGCGATACGAATGTCCGACGTACGAACATGCCAGCGAACGGCGAGAAGACGATGTATGCTCCGAAGTACGCTAGCTGGAGAAGGGTGCTCTGGGTTCTAGTGATCCCGAAGATATGTTGAAAGTGTGCATTTAAAACGTCCAGGAGCTAAGATAAATTGTCATCGAAGACATCGCGAGCTCGAGCCACAGATTAGCATACGCCATAGGCAAACCCCCCTGGGTAAAACGGTCGGTTTAGATGCTCGTGCTAGAGGTGCTTAGAGAACTTACAGGTGAAGAACAACGACGTTACTAGCCCGAAGGAGAAGACCCATTCTGCTGTCGTCAATTGAGAACCTAGTGGAAGTATGAAGTCAGAATCCGCCTTTGTTTCAAAAGCAGTCAAAACTCACTCGTGAGAGGAGCAGAACCAGCCATTACTTCGAAGCGACGACGGCAAAGTTGATTCTAAAATCCGGAATTCTTATCGCGCTCGTGGAGTACCAGGAGCCCTCCAAACTTCGAATGCATGCCAGGAAGAAGTATTTAAGGCATCGGGTTCCCCGCTTCCATGGCTGGTAGGCCGAGACGATTTTGTGGAGAAGTGCCAACAGATTTAGACCATTGCCGGTGGGGAGATAGCATGGGACCTCGGGGAAAGTCCGAATGTGTTGTTGGAGAAGGTCCAGGTGATGTTCTCGAGTGGGGTCAAGCGATGTGAAGCGATGGGTCTTCGTCCAAGTAACTTCCCGAAGACGCGGTTCCGTCGCCTTCGTGAGATCAAGCACGATCCCGTGACGGCTCCCGGCCCGTCTTCCCTCTCAGTCTCTTACCACCACCTAACGCCCAACAGATTTTATCTACTTGGAGGTATCCGCTTGCAATTTTAGTCCTCTTCCATAGAGACTCATTGCTTCTTATCAGGCTCATGGTGCATGAATTATTCAACCAAGCCCTTGCGGTTCGATAGCGTTTGATAACCCCGCACCGAGACATTCTTGACATCGCAGTACCACAGCGACATTATGAAGCTGTGAAAAATCAATATCCTGGAGAAGGACGCCGAAAGACACGTTTACGCGTTCTTTACCATTCTTGGCCTGGGATAGCACTCCCAAGGGGCAGTGGTGACGTACCCAAGACTGCTCCGCCTGCTTTGGTATCATCTTCCTTTCTGATTCATTTATTCAAGAGCTCAATGCTGTCTTCATCGTTAGACAGAGATAGATCCCAACCCTCTCGACCAAACACTAGAAGACGACGAGCTAGGATTAATTATCCGAACGGATTTCACAAATGAAGCTGCCTGGAAAACCTTCTGTGCAAAAGTTGAAGTAACTCAGAAAGACCTAATATCCGACCTCGCAGGCGGTGCTCCTGCAGACGACGTACCAATGGAAGAGGGCGCCTCATCACAGGCAGATGGCACTGAGTCCGACTCGTCGACTGAAGTTCCAGATATGATCAAAATTCTGGACCCTCAAGAGCAATCGGACAGAGCCAGGTTAACTAACATCTCGAACCTGACTGCTCTTCGCCTCTTTAACGAAGTGGATATACGTCCCACACCACCACCACCAGCGGGTAGCAAGAAAATATCACCGCCGAACCCTTTGGTCGATCGCGCAGGCTGGCAAGAAATCTACACAGGCAAAACACTTTGGATATACGATTCACGTTCGAACGCGGACGAGTGTGCACGACTTGTCAGCCAAACGGGCGATTTCTATGGAACTGCAACGTACGGGATTCAAGTCACTGCAGGAATCCTATTGATGAATTTGTACCACTAGGGGAGATAGCTGGCGTGCTAGAGCTTCGCACATCTGCGAACTGCAATTTAACCTGTCACAGGGAATGAAAATCGACTTCAACGGGCAAGATCGCTGGGATTGGAACGAACGAGCCAGGAATCTTGAAGAGGCCACAACGATATAAAGTAGTGGTACATGAATTGTTCTCTTGCTTAATTTTCGTTATGATGAAGGTCACACTCTTGGCTTACGGCATTTTTTTAACATTTTGCACGTACATACAACACGGAAAGGAAGACGTCTCGTAGGCCGGATCGTATATACATGGAGTTTTTATGAGGTGACGGTCCAGACGCGAAGAGCATTGTCGGTGAATCCAGCGAACAGCGTCTGACCATCTGCCGACCACGCGATAGATACGCACTCGGGTTGCCTGGCCTCCTCGCGCACATCGGTGTAAGCAGGCTTGAGCTCATCGACAATAGACCTGGAATGACGGTCAGTCACCGAGAATGCAAAGATACCCTGGACACTCACTTGCTCTCGAGATCAAAGATTTTGACACAGCTGGCAGTAGCAGCGCACAACCAGTAGCGGTTGGGGGAGAAGACGAGAGCGTTGACAATGTCACCGGCCTCAAGCGAGTACAGGTGCTTGCCCTCGTTCAGGTCCCAGAGCATGGTGATGCCGTCCTTGCCACCGGAAGCGGCGAGAGAGCCATCCGGCGAGACTGAGACGGTGTTGATGTAGCCGGTGTGGCCATAGTGGTTGGTCTTCAACTTGAACTTTGACAGTTCCCAAACCTGATGGAACATGTAAGTATCTTTCCTTCAAAAAATAATGTGGATGAAGAAGACGTCAGAGATCTTGGTGGAAAATGTGGTCTCATAGAGCGGTTAGCTCTCTGAAGTAGCAAATATGTATAAAGTAACATCATACGCAGAGGAAACCATCCCAATAGAAAGAAATGTTGAACGCACCTTGACCACCTTATCCCAACCAGCAGAGACAATGACGGGGTTCAAGACGTTAGGGCTGAATCTGACGCAGGACACCCTGTCGACGGATTAAAAGGTGTTGGGAGGGAAAAATCGCGTGACACGAACCATTCTGTGTGTCCCTCATCCTTGATATCGTATTTGCACTCTCCGAGGGTGTTCCAGAGTTTGATCGTGCGGTCACGAGAACCAGACACGATTTGGCGGTTGTCGGCGCTGAATGAAACGGAAAGTACGTCGGAAGTGTGCCCAACGAAACGACGGGTGGTGAGTCCGGTGTTCAGGTCCCAGAGACGAAGGGTGTGATCCCAGGACGAGGACAAAGCGAATTGGCCATCGGAAGAGATAACGACATCGGATACGAAGTGGTTATGGCCGTGGAGAATACGCTTGGGGTACCCGTAGGAATCCTCGTCGCGGGTCAGTTGCCAGACGATGATAGTCTTGTCTGGTGCGTGTCAGGATCAAGCAACTTGAGAAATGCACGAGGAAGGAGGCGTACCCCGCGAGGCGGTCAAGATCATGTCCGGGTTCTCCGAAGAAGTAGCAATGGCGGTGACCCATCCCTTGTGGCCTTCAAGGGAGCCGAGGAAACGCAGCGATTCAGACATTTTGGTGTCGGTGAGTTGGACGTCGACAATCGATTCACCAGCCAAGTCACCGTCACGTTATCAGCCACAGTGACGTGACTGTACAGTTTTCGGCAAGTCCCACGTAGTGACGTACGCGGTCCGGCCATGCTCATTCACGTTGACATGTTAGGTCTCCCAATTGAGCGCTGAATTGTTCAAATTTGTACCCAATACATGAGATTCTACCACTTCCAGTCCATGTCTCTTGCAAGCACCCCCAACGTCCTGGCTTCATCTCCCTTTCATCCTCAGGCCAACCTGAAAAGCAACTTTGAGCCTTATCGACGCGTCTCGCACCACACACGCGATCACATGCGCCACTGATACTTAACCTAAGATTCTGTTATCTCTAGACCTCGTCTCTTCTTGTCGTCCCCGTCGAGATGGCCCCAGATTATGCAACAAATCGAATCCCAGTCATCAGTACGCCTCGTTGCTTTTGAGTGCAGCTTGTTGATCTTAAGATCTTCATTCCCAGTTGACACGGATCCCGGCGTCGATGATATCATTGCAATGTTCGTCCCTATTTTCACTCTGCAGTTCCGTGAACCTAATGCATCGACCAGCCTCCTAGCCATCGCATCGCCTGAGTTGGACATCCTAGCTTACAGCATTTCCTATGGTAAAGTTGTTTCTTGAACCCAAATGCCCATATCTAAACCCACGAGCAGGCAATACGGACATAGAATCATCTTGGTAAGCCAGCTCATCAGTTTCATCTTCTCTCAAAGATATATTCTTCTCTAGGTCAAATGTCTCCAAAGCTTATCGCGCTATTGATCTTCATTTGAAGAGCAACCCGTCGGACAAGGCCCGATTTCCCAACTTTGACGCGAAACGGAGACCCCTCTTGGCTAGAGGACCCTCTGGACCCCTCGAAGGGGAACTCCACAGTGCGGAATATTTCCATGGCAGGTCGTTAGCAGAGCTTTTTGGAAGGTCTGTTTCACTAACCGAGACACAGAGATGGGCTAGGCGATATCGGCATTCGTCATCCTGAGTTATCCCTGGAAGCTTCCCTCGATACACACCCGTACTTTCAGGTGTCAAGTCAATCTGGCGTCGGCATTGCCCTCGATATCCTTCGTTCTTACCCCGCCAGGAGCGTGACTTATATTGCTTTGGGGCCTCTTACGAACTTGGCTTTAATGATGCGTAAAGATAGTCAGCTAGTGACTGACCGCGTCGGAAGGATCGTCTGCATGGGGGGTGCACTAGATGTTCCAGGCAACACCAGTCCTGTTGCTGAGTGTACGTGCTCCTGCCTGTTCGCTAGTCAGAGTCTAACAAAAACCTCCAGTTAATTTCTTTGCTGACCCTTACGCAGTGAAAGAGCTCCTGTCTACGCCTCTGCATAGAGGACTGCCATTAGACCGCTTTCTCATGCTCCCACTTGACATTACGACACCTCACGAACTTCCATTCGATATTTATCAAAAGGAGGTTGACCCTACATTCGAGAACACAAACACACCGTCTAATGCCAAGGGGAAATCTCCGCTGACGCATTTCACAAGTTCTTTCCTTGAAAGGACCAGGGAAATTATGCTACAGTTCGGGAAAGACGCAATGGAACTCCATGACATCGTTGCCGTCTGGTGTGCAATCGAGAACCCACCATTTCCAGATACAGTGCCGATGGCGCTTGCCCCGGGATGGGAGGGAGCGCGTCGTGAGTTCCAGATTGAGAGGTAAGACGATGCTATACTTGCCAGTTGCCTTAGATTGCCGTATTGAGTTGCACATCCCTTCAGAACTGGGGAAATAACTCGCGGCATGCTGGTTACCGATCGACGAGAGGACGAATCAGCTTACCCTCTGGGTACCAATCGGTCTGAAGCTCAGAGAGACCCCAGTGAAGACCACCACCACATTGGATATCCTGTCTCAAACAAAGCCAATGGCGCTGTCTGTGACGAACTTTCGGGGGTTCTATGTATAAACAGGACGCCAGGTCCTGCGGTATTGTTGAAGTTATTGTTGCACAGAGTCTGGGGCCGCATGGTTGCTTGAAGGTATTGATAGAACATAGGGTGTATAAGGACTAGAACAGAGCATTAAGAATCCTATTATAATATGTTCCGCGGAAATCATCGTGGCTGTAGTCGTCTCTTTCTTCCTCTGCCTTGATCGCCGTAAACTCGGACTCAAAATCAATGTCATGCAGTGGAATGATTTCGTCCTTCAGCCACATCTTCAATGCAAAATAAAGAACCGGATATATAAAGCTGTCGAAAAGGTTATGACCAGGGGAGGTGCAATTGGTTCATCTGGACTTACCAGTTGAGGTAGTTAGATGCGAAAAGGCTGCCGTCAAATCGCGGTGAGAAGGCGTTCCATCCACTAAATATCAGAACAAGTAGGTTCATCACAAGGGCGTAGTACTTGGACATCTTGAATTTCAGCAGGCAAATCCACACGAGAGAGGAACTTACAGTAATATAGGGTTGAAAGGGACTCTTGTATGGCAAGAATTCGCGTTGTATTCCTTGTACCTTTAATGCTCTGAAGAAGCGAATATAAGTGATGCCGATGATAACCCATGAAATTATCCCGGATGTTGTCACAAGGGATACAAGCCATGAAAAAGCCTAAATCGGGATTACGAACACGATTTTCAACATCTGAAGGCGACTGACCTGGTAGGCACTACGGTTAAGGCTGGCATAAGCTATTCCACCCCACACAACGGAGGCAGTCACGGCCACGTATGGAACCTGATACCGATTGAGCTTCAAGAAGACAGAAGGGGCATGCCCATCTAGAGCAAGACCGTGGAGTGTTCGTGAAGCCAGGAACGTGCAAGCATTTCCCGAACTGAAGGCTGACGTGAAGACCTAGGAAGAAGAGAGGAGAGAAAGGAGGCCAATCAATACACGTCGTTTCGACAACATTATCCAGGTCTGTCCAGCACTTACAATTGCATTTATAATAGAAGGAAGGGCCTAACAACCGACAATCTAGCTCCGTTCCAACGAATCAACTAAGAAACCCACCTTGATGCCAACCCTAGTGAACGCAATGACGAATGGGCTCCGCGATATATCCCCTGGGGCGTTTAACCGTTCGTCGTTCGCCGGAACAGTCAGAGAAATCACAAAGACAGAAACCACATAAAATAAGATGACTCTGGTAAATGTCTTCTTAAGGGCTGAAGGAATAGATTTCCTAGGATTCCTAGTTTCGGCACCGGCGATGGCGACAACTTGGACGTTTCCATAGGCAAAGGTAGCCGATATCAGGGTTGACCAGAATCCCAAGAAGCGACCGTAGGGGCCTGTCTTGATGTATTCGCGGAACAGCGGATACGGATCCTGCCAGTATCGAAAGCCAATCCTTTCTTGTCCAGGGAGGCCCCCAGCATCCAGGACAATACCGGTTATAATAAAGGTAATAATTAAGGCAATCTTCACTGGTCTCGCTTCAGAGCTCCACAAAAGATGCAGAGGGTCACTGACCTTGCAAAAAGCGAAGTAGAACTCGAATTCCCCATAAACGCGGACGGGAGAAAAGTTAATTATAGCGATAAGTAGCCAGAGACAACTTGATATGGGGGTCAACATTCTAGGACAAAAATTGATGGGAGGGGCAGAAAAACGTACCTAATAGGTACCGCATGGCTCAACGAGGGCGTCCAGAAGTTGACCAGCGCAGTCGCTGCACTAATCTCGGTGGGCATAGTGATGGCCATGGAATACCAAAAGTTCCATCTACATCGAGACAGTCAAGCAGGTCAAGGACAAGGCGGATTGGTGCATACCCGATCGCGATTCCCGTACTTTTGTCCATCCATATATTAGCATGTCGTACAAACCCCCCTCCCACAGGTTTAAAGGCGGACATCTCTGCTGAGCTGTATGCTAACGAGAAATGTGAACTTCGACACGCCACTTCGGCGAACCTACCCACCAATCGATGCTGTTACAGTTCCCATCTTCCTTGGCAATTTAGCTTCTTATTTGTGAGGTGTAAGCCAGGTGTCTTACAAGAATGAAACCCAACACACAACCCAAAGGACCTGCCTGTGCAAGAGCCTTCCCACTCGACAAGAAGAGGCCTGTGCCTATCATTCCTGCAAGGGCCATCATAGACAGACTGAGTGCCGGATGTCAGTATCTCATCACCTCCCAGTGAAGAAAGAACATACTGGCGCTCCTGCAAGCCCCGCCTTGTCCCACCGTCGCCAACATCCTGGCTGCGAACTGAAACTGAGGGCATCTGTAGATGATAGTCTTGTTGGCTAGGAGCTTCTGTAGGAAGAGCCTGGTAGCGAAATTCTTCGGCACCAGTGTTCGAAAACATATCGGGATGTAAGAGCATTTTAGACTTCAGAGAGACTAAGCTTGATTAACTTTGCGGTTGAAGTTCCGGGCCCGCCGCCGTTGCTGTAGGTGATAGTGAACTATTATAATAGTTCAAGACGAGAATAGCAGCAGCCCAGGGTAAGAGATAGACCGTCTTTTGTTCGTCCTTTTGAGCAAGAGGAACGTTTGAAGAGGCGAAATGCCATTAGGCTCGGTGATGCCGACATGGTTGGGCATGTCATTGTAATGACCAGGGTCATCGGCTAAGGTTTGGCAAGTAAGGTAACGATTCTCATACTTGTCAGATTACATAAGATATTTGATTTTGATTGCTATTTCGATTTTGCGACATCTTGCATCATAATCGAGCAACCTGCTGCAGTCCTCGTCCTTTGGCTACACTCAAATTCGTGGATCATTTCTACCTCAGATGACTCCACCAAATTTACCACTATCATGACCAGAGGACGGAAAAAGGACCTTACCATCCCACCTTCCCGCAGTCTTCTGCAGCAGCGCGACTATCGCGCACGTAAAGCGAACTATGTAGCAAGCCTGGAGGACCGCTGCCGACGGGCCGAGGAGGAAAATGATCAATTGAGAAAAGAGCTCTTTGAGGCCAGGGCGCGGCTCGCAAATCCAGCTATCCTTCTCCCAGAAACGGTATTGAGTTATCTTCGCTCTCCCTGGATGTCTTTCTCATCCTTCAACAGGAGCAAGCGTCGGCAGAGCTGATGCGGAATCTTGCATTAGCAAGCGAATCGTTAGCAACCTTTCATCGACTTGCATTCGCCAATGGCTATCAACAGCCTACCCCACCCCCCCATCCACAGCATTCTCCCGAATCCGATACTCTTGTTCCTGATTACACACCACCTAACACCCTCCAGCTTCCGCCCCACCCCAACAATTCAGAGCTTTCCAAAGGGAGGAAGCTTCTTTACGTCGACGAGTCACTATCTCCATCTACTTCCCGTGCGACGCCGTTGACTTACCGAAGTCCCAGCCCTGGTACGAATGAGGAGTGTTGTGGAGGGATCCTCAATTGTGACGAGCTATGCGAGGAGGAGGAGATGATGAATAGAGGATCAATAGCGAGACTATCTGGTTTGCGATCAACGACAACAGACTATAGGCTACAACTGTGATATTAAATAATCCTAGAGAGTAACGACTGTACATAGTGTATCTTAACAACGGGAGAGCAATGAGAGCAATGGAAAGACGAAACGGACAGAAAATTCGTTAGTGAACTACTTCGAACGGATGTTTGACCAATTCATCATACAGTTCTGGAGGAAGATCTCGCACAAGCGTGACGGCAATACCAATCACGGGAAGGGCTTCCAATGGAGGGAAGGTTCGAAGTAATCGCATGGGGCTGTAAGACGTATTGGAATTCCGGTGAACAGCCGTGAGGAGAAGACACACACCTCGAAGATGCCATCACCTCGTCTCTCATCAATAGGAGCTGGGCAATCACACATAACACGTTGAGGTGAACCCCAAATGCGAGCAAAAAGTCCCAAAGCTGAAGAACTTGATCCAGAGGTGGAGTACATGCACACAAGGTCAAAATTGCTGAAAATGGATCAGCTCAAAGTAGTTGGTAACGAATAGAAGGATGCTTACAGGGAAACGCGTAAATTTCGGCAGAGAGATTCTTGGATCGCAAGTACCCATAGAGCTCAGGGTCTACAAATTGAAGGCATCGATCAAGAAGCTGACAAAGCGAACTATTCATGATGCGAAGATTGGACGAAAGAACAGCCTGCTAACCTTCAAACCTTGATGAACTCCCTGGAGAGTGGGTTGAACATACAAGGGGCACGCTTCTTCGATAAACTTCGAAAAGCAAAAAAATGCCTCAACCTCGGAGGGCATAGTATAAAGAAAAGGAGCGGCAAGGACATTCATCCCTTGGACGTAAGTGAAACCCAGCTGGTCGCTCTCCTGTCTGTCTATATTGTATCAGTCAAACCGAGCGACAGAAAGGTGAACGAAACGTACCATGGCTTCGCCAAACGAAAGCATCAAGGAGACGCACCAACATATCTTCTCGGACACGCTCCTTGAAACCTTTATCAGTTGCCAAAGTCCTAAAGAAGGGAGAAATGAGCTGCGTTTCAACGAATCATACTTAGTTCTAAGCTGGTCCTCACCGAAATGTGTCATTTCTAATCTTCTCTCGGACTTGGCACGGGCCTCGCGAGACATAATGAAGATAGGTATCGGTAGGGAGTTCGTTTACACGGAGGAGGATCTTCCATATTCGCGGACGGAGAGTGGGATCCTAAGACAGATACGTGAGCTTGAGCATTTATAAGACAACAGAGAGACATACGATGGAGGACGGTATTCCTTCCACAAGGATCATACGGCGCAACTTCTTCGTACCGTCGTCGATTTCTCCAGTGGCTCGCGATTTCGAGGTCGCCTTTGGTTGACTTAGGAGCTTGTTGAAGGAATGTGCGGCCGCGGCGGCCATGAGACGCGTCGAGTTTGGGTATTTGTATTGGAGATGTTTTCAAATTGTCATAACAGAAGGTAAGGGGGGTGCGGTGCCTAACGAGAGAAAGCGAGAAGGAGGGGGTTATCGCTGTACAGTCGTCTGTTGCGAAGCGCACATTGAGGCGAACTTCGTTACGTCAGCAAGACACTGATTGCTTTGCCAAGACCACCTTCGTTTCACCTCATCTACTTACCTCCCTCTGGCCATTGACTGACCATTCTCCGAGCAGTATACTCCAACCTCTGCGTCTTTTGTGTCTTTTTAGAGGTCTTTATGAAGCTCTAGAAAATACCCTGCACCTGCCGTCCCTTTTGGAATATTCGTCAACTGAAGAGGCGCTTTTTTTTTAGCATGGACGTGCCATTTCATTCTTCGGGTGCCATAAGTAGAGCACACTACGCTATCGTTCGCAAGGTGGAGACAGCCCCTTCTACACAATCTGCTGATCAACACCTTTTTCTGGAAATCAAATCCGTACAAGAGCAACTGGTGTACTCGAAGCTAACTTTGGTTCGTCTCCGTCATATGCTTGAGAATCGCAGCAGATGCTCATGTCGAGATGGAACCAGGGAAAATGCAAGGAACTACTGTTAATATTGCTATACTGTGCGACCACCGTCTCGCCTGGACTTCTGGGAAAAGATGCCTTTGAGTTCGCGTTCCTTCATGCAATCAACCTGGCGGAGGCAGGCCAGAAGACTGAAGACAAGCGCATAGGTGCGTCATTACGGGCTCAGAACGTTCTCTCGTTCATTCTCTGTCAGGATATCTCTTTTGCTCAGAAATAATGCCTCTGGATCATGAGTTGCGGTTGATGTTGGTCAACACCTTGCGTAAAGTGTGTAAACAAATTTGTGAAAATAACGACTACTTATCACGGTTTGCAGGACTTGGAGAGCAACGATGTCCCACGCATATGTTTGGCTTTGGACAACCTCATAGGCTCACCTACAGAGGACGTCGTCCCGGCTGTTCAGTCGCGCTTACACGATCTGCTCTCGCACGACTAGTGGGTGCTAATTGGTAGCGTTTCCGCCCCGCCTCCTGAAAGACTGTCTTATTTTCTCCGAGCAGTTTGCATGTCAAGCGTCGAGCAATCCTGGCCTGTCGTGCACTGTCAACCCATAATGCCGCTTTAGTGCATCGCATACATACTGTATTGCTCAGAAGATTGAAGGATCCGGACGAATCGGTTGTAAAGGCAGCTATGGCCGTGCTAGGTAGCAATACTCCAACTGTAAGTCCAGCCCGCTCAAATTCATCTGAAATTAACCAATTTTCAGGATGAAGCCATCTCCGTGAAGACAAGAAACAAACTCAATGAGATATTGGTGATTGAGGCCTCCTCCTTGAATGAAGTTGATCCTGGCATGATCATCCACCTTTTGACATGTCTGAGGAGTATTGGGTTCGTTCCCATTCCTTGTCTGGCCGGGTCACATTGTTTGAACGTACTTTTGGTCTCAGAGTTGCTGATTCAAATGCTTCACGTTTGCTTGAACTTATTCAGCGACATTCGCATACAACAACCTCCAACTTGTTGTCAAGAGCTGTACTTCTCGAATGCTTCAGGACACTGACCAGCTTGAAGTCCGATCTGTGGATGTCAACAGAAGACTCTTATAAGATTTCTGCCATCCAATGCGTACGGGATTTCTTGATGTCGCAGGATCCCAACGACACCTACCTCTTCATATCCTGCTTGGAATGTACGGACGTCGCCTCCTGGGCCGGAACAACGCCTAAGTGTCCTGCTGTATTGGAAGCTCAAGAATTTGGAAGAATCATGGATTTATTGACCTCTCCGGATCAGCTGATAAGTAAAAAGGTATCTCAATGTTCCCATTTTTTGCGGTATGCCAAGTGGTTAATTAGTTTGCAGGCTTTGAGGGTTGTCAACAACGTTGATCCAGGCATTCTCGATGTCCAAATGGATTTGATATTACAGTCACTATCAACTTCCAACACAGTAAACCCAGTTATTCTGCGAAGGTTGATGGACATCGTCTTCATTCGACACGGGGACGATGGGGAAAGATATGCTGCACGCGTTATCGAACTTGTCGGGGAGTTGGACAGACTGCGGACGCAGCCACACTTATTCAAAGATGTTGTCGAGGCTGTCCTTCTCGATACCCGGATATCTTGTAAGGCTGAACCTGCCTCTTGTGTTTTTGGCGTTGATTTGCAATGTGTAGCGATTCCCACATTTCTCGTTGATTGTTCCGCACATTTCGTCAATATGTTGGTCGATTCTGACCAGCTTCTCGGACCTACTTCCCTCGTAATTGCAACTGCCTTGTCAACAGAGTTTTCCGGCAAGTTATCCACGCCTCCCGGTCAGATGTTGTTAGGTTTGGCTTCTAGACTCAGAGCATCTCCTGGTCAGTGGACAGATCTATGGAAATTGGACCTCGTTCTCATTCAGCGTAGCCATCGTCCAGGAGCCTTGCTTAATAGCTATGCTACGAGTTAGAGCAGATTGCGACGACGTATCATCGGAAGTCGTAGAAACTGTGACAGCAACCCGTCATTCTGCTCGGAAATCAGTTCAGACCGTGAGGACGAAATCCCCGATTGTTGACTAGTCGTCTCATGTCTATGTTAGAGATGCGACCAATTCCTCGAAGTGGTGGATAAGAAGCAAATCCTTCAAGAAATTGTCAATCAAGCAATATCATCTTCTGTATATGTGCCATTCTTATGCCCATTTTGTGGTTCTCATTTCTTCCACAGCTCCCTGACTTTTTGACGGCCTTACAAAACTGCTGCGCCCTGGGAGGGGCATCGAGGTCTTCAACGTCTACTTCTCGGGCTTCACCACGGGTATCACGCCCGTCCAGCGCGCTGAAGTATGCAGCCTACGAAGCACCGGTTGTAACCCCTCGGTTGAGGGCTAGAAGAATGTCAGGTTCTCAGCGAAGTGTTTCGAGCTCTCGTTCTGATACCTTGTCGGATCCGCACCATCTTTCCACATCGCCACCGATGACTCCCGGCCGCTTGGCGTTGGCTGTGGGTTTGCAGGATCTCCACATTCAGGAGGTGAGAGGGGACATTGGGAGAATGCGCCTGTTGCTGACGGAAGCTTAGGACCCTGACTTGCTATCATCGAGCAGACGAGAGCACAGGAAAGACGCTTTTGGGGTATGATTCACTCCAGGTTCTGGAAGGGTGACTACGTTTGCTTACAACTGCGTTTTCGAAGGAAACGCGAGCAGACCTCATTAACTTCGAGTCACCCTTTCAAACAGAGCCCTTTCCCGCCTTGGCAAATCAAGTGCCGCCCGAGGAGGAGGATGCTGGTAGCTTCGAAGATCTCTGGAACGCGTTCAACACTCTGTGTGACCTTCGTGGTTGGTGTAAGGTTTCAATGGACACAGTTATTAGGAGGCTCCAGCGCCTCGATCGCCACCGTCTGCAAGTCATATCCGCTGACGTTCCTCCCTTCGTAGGTGAGAGCCTTCCCCCTCCTTCTCAGATACGTCGCCAAGACTGAAGCATTTTGTGCCAAGGGGAGCTCAAAATTGTAATCATTCCAGATGAGAGGACTACACAACCTTTACAGTCTAGTGCCGTTGCTCTACGTCTCCGAGAACCGGAAGAAGATTCCTGCTTGTGGAGGCTCCGCTGTGCTGATCCCGAAGTAGGTGCACGAATACATGGCATCTTAGATACATGACTTTGCGAATGGGTTTATACAATTTTGCAGCTTATGGACCCACTCGAAAGTGCTTTTACTATTTCCATGGAACACGCCTTCCTGTCGCTTCAAAAGTTTCGCCGACGCAAATCTGGACTATTTAGGCGTCAAGCCAGAAGGGCGGTCAACGAATGCTCCTGAGGAGCAAGACGCCCGTAGCACCGCCATCGGTATCCGAGAGTCAAGCTTCAAGTGTGGTCGGAAGACCAGAAGATGGATGAATGCCACGGCGAGGGTATTGCCATTGGCCAATTACTTAGAGGAACTCGGCGAGTGAGACCAATCAAGACCGTGAGAGGGAGCAGGGTTACATAAGAGGAGCCAGACACAGGTAATTTTCTGTGGGCACCTCTTGTTCCTTCCTTTGACACCTCGACACCGACTCAGCGTCCCTTTCACTAATCTATGATTATTTCCCTCCCATCGTGCGTAGTTCGTCCTCCAGGTTGCTGCGCTGCTCACCTTCCTCCAGGCTGACACACCAGATCAACAAGATTCTCTTCGGACCACTTGTTTTCCTCCTCGTCGACACAGACCGACCCCCTTAGGACCCGAGTGTCAAACGCCACGTTGGCGACAGTCCGCCAGTTTTCTAAATCACCCTAACTCATGGGATAATTGTGGTCGCTCTGTTGGAATCTGGCCGCTTGTTTGCTCCAGGATTGCACTTCAGACAATACCTCAGAAGTTCCTCCACTTCATATACCGATAAATCAAGAATACCACAATCTTAAACGTAGAACATAACTATAGAATGAACGTCCTCAAGAACCCCTCTTTCTTCCGCCCAAGCAGCCGTCCGTCCTCGCCGGCACCAGGATCGGTCCCTTCCCGCACCGACTCGAACCCAGGGGGCGAACGAACCTCTCGCCCTCTCAACAAGCTCTCCCTCAGTAGCTTCATCCGACAAACCCCTTCCTTGCCGCCGAGCCCTGCCCCGAATCCCGTTACCCTCGTCCAAGATGGTTCCTATCTGGAAATGTTGAGCTTGAAGCTCAGCGAAGCGGTTTCCAAGGCTCTGGCGCAACCAAGTGGCCCACCCCTTACCGCCAACGAACAGTTTGCTGGGAAGCGACCGATTCCGCAAGGGCGCGGACTCGCCCTTGGAGTACTGATTGCGTCGTGGGTGGCTCCTTTGTTTTTTTTATTCTCGTTCTCGCTCAACTTGTACCTCTAGAGAACTCAATGCGGCGCTTGATAATCTACATCTTCATCGAGCAGTGTTGCGGTCTCTCCAACGACCTTTCACAGTCCTGTCCACCAACTTATCGGGACAGCTCCTGCCATTGCTCTCATCGCCCTCTTTTCTAGCAATCCCGACGATTTCCAACCAGTTTTCCTTCCCGAACCCTGTTCAGCTCCACGCTCTATCTATTGTCAAATTTTGCGAAGAGCTCATGCAGGTGTTTGACGAATTAGGGCTGGGTACCGACGCTGATGTCCGCGGCGATGGCCTGAAGGCCATTCGAGATGGCTTTGCCTCCCTCATCAAGCGAGTAATCAACCCTCTCATTGGGGGCATTCGTGCCGAGTTGATCCCTCTCATGGAAGCCTTGGAGACTCCCAACTCATCGCCCATCCCGAAACCTGCCGTCGGAGTTAAAAATACAACGGTCTACCATCCTTCGATTGTCGCTTTGCAGACACTTATGCCTGTTTATTCGCGGGCGCTAACAGTTTGCACGACCTCCAACTTATCCCATGCCACGTTGGCGAGCTTGCTCATTTCGGTGCTCTGGAAAGCGATGGTCGCCCTGTCACACCGCGTTGACGCGAAGCCGTCTCCTTTAACACCTGAAACATCCCCCCTTCTATCAGTCAAGAAACGCCGGGGATCGCCCACCGCATCAACCACACCTCCGCTGACGCCGCCAACGCGGTTCACGATCAAGTTGCCACCTTCGCGCCCTCCTTCACCCCCGCCGGTGATTGGCTATGCTACAGCAGCAGCAGATTGTAGGGCCCTTTACGAGCTCTTGGTAGGACTTCCCCGGCCAAACGCCGGGCAGGAATCCACTCGATTGGCGAGAGAGGCCGTTGATGAAGCATATGAAGGTCTGAGGACTCTTCCGGCTCTCCTCGATATAACCAAAGTGGGCGAGGACAAAGATGCGAGGACCGTGGCCAGAGAACTCAACCAACTCACGGCTGAAATCCCTTCGCTCATTGCCCTTCCTGTAATCCTCCATGCTCTTGGAGGACCAGGTACTTTCTCGGTTGCAACAATGTTGGGAATATCGGAAGACGAATATAGAAAGGGGTGTCTCGGGGGTTTCAGTCGTGCAGAGGAGTGCGCTTTTGCGATCTCGCAGCGTATATTGGACGTACTTCAGATGGACCCACTGCAGAATCAAGTCATCATATGGTGGCTCGAAATGGAGTTGGCGGAGATGGATGATTCAACGTGACTACGTGGACCCAAGACCGCAGAATCAAGCCTCCTTCAAGGGTTATGTCTCTTTTCAACAGTTGCGTTGTACGCTTTTGCTAGTTGTCAGTTTTTTTATCCATAGACTAACGATTTCCGTCTCATGGGCAATGTTGCACACTCAATTTATTCTTCTTCATTATCTCAATAGAATAGATAATCAGTGCCTATCCATGATTCCCCTCTATCACTGCCTTACTCTACGAACAGCGAGTATCTCGACAGGTCAGTTAGCATGATGCCCCAATTACAGTAGAGTAGCCTGCTTTGCCGTAATGCATTGTTCTTCGTCACTCTCGAGCCAGATCCTCCACACTGACAGGTAATCTCAATGGTCTGAAAGTGACGGTGTACGGGTTTGAATGAGCGGTGGATGTGTTCAAAGATAAAACAAATGTCCTCAATCTAGGTTTTCCAGCCAAGGGTGTTCCAATAACTGTGAAGCAGACCATCGTGCTTCTGGATCAAGGGTCAGTGCTTTCGACAGGAAGTCAGAGAGGACTTGAATTTCTTGGGCTGGGTGGTTTGCTCGATGCAGCAGGTCTTGGAGAGTTATCCCGTATTGCCCTGCACCACGCAGAAGCCGACCTGATTGAAGCTATTTCTTAAGTCCCGCCCAAAACTTTAGGTACTATCACTCTGACCTTCGTCGTTGAAATAATCCTTTGCCCTTGTCCCCTTGTCCAGGAGGCTGCGGGGGAAATCACCTAGAAGGCCGACCATTTGTGCTAAATGTGTTTGCGGATGATTCATGCCCGACATTTGAGTATTCCATCTCGGGTCAAACAACCGTGCCCCTCGGGCAAATTCATATATCTGGTCAGTGTTCCTTCTTGGCGAGTTCAATAATCCAGTAAAACATAGGCACTCACCAGAGCACCGAAGTTCCAGATGTCAGCCTTGGTGTCCCATTCTGCTCTCAGGATCACTTCGGGTGCGCGGAGAGCTTCGGGCTGAATAAGTTGTGCAAAACGACTTGAGATCTTATTAGCTTGGATTGTCAATCAGGGATAATCTAGCGATCTTTCAACTGGGCTCTACCTTGACCGAAGTCGGCAAGCTTGAAGATGAAATGCATACGGTTATCCATGCTTTGATCGACAGCGGATTCACCTGCCACATTCAGAAGGATGTTATCCGCCTTTATATCTAGGGAGAACTTCAGGAAATGTCCGGAAAATTACAAAAACACTATCACCTGTATGGGCAATGCTACATTCTTCATGGGTGTATCGAAGAGCGTGAAGGGACCTTTAGTGGACCTGTATAGATTATCGACGCTGAGGTCCATCGGCTCTAAAATAAGACAGGTATGCCTTCCATTGGGGTCCATGGTGGACGAAGTCGTCCAACAAGTGGCGTATGTTGCCATAACCCGGGTAATCCGGATTCTTGTTGCGCAGAATCTTCAGCATACCCACTTCGTCAGGGCCCGAAGGGATTTCACTGGTTGCTCTGGCCGTCAAAACCTTCAATGCAGCCTCCCGCTGCTCTCTAGAAAGCGTTCAATGCGTTGTATTAAATACCTACTGTCGGTCTTCAACGAGCCACACCTCGGAATTTTGACCCCTACCAATATGGCTGACAACTTCGTAACGGTTCCCATACAGTTCACCAGGAGCTACCAGATGGTATCCACCATCATGAAATGCAACAGGGGACGGGTTCATGTTGCGAAGCACCGAAATAGTTGAGAAAGGAGCCTTCGAGCTTCCGCGTCGACTGAAAGCATTTCTTCCGGATCCAAAGATTCTCAACATAAAACCACAGTAGGATTAGTGGCCCCGCCACGAATCAAACTGGTCAGAACTACAGGTGGCGTGGGGAATATTGGGAAGATGTTGAGGGTTCAAGCTTCAAGCTCAAGGAAGTTGAAGCGTTGAAGTTATGGGTCACAATCGGCCCCAGTATACCCGTGAGATCACCGTGTTCTGAAAATGGTAAGAGCACAGTCCGACTTCAGCACTGGCGAGCTTGTTTGGAGAAGAAAAAAAGGTTATGCATAGGATGGGTACTTCGACATACATAAAATGAGACAAGCAGTATCACGACGGGGCTCAACTAAATATTTAAGACGGAGGACTGTCAAAAGGATGAATATAGGCACCCATAACAAACTGAGCATGAAGGACTCACACAGCAGCAACCGATGTCTCTGGACCAGGGTCAGCAGTAAGCGCGGGGAATGGCGTCGTTGCGCACTATGAATTGCATCACAAATCAGCATCGTGGTTAATCTTCCAGATGATGCATGGGAAGCTAAGAGAAGGGGAAAGCGCCAACGTACAGCTTGCTCAATGTCATTCATATTCAACCCAGCGGGTAGATGCGGCGTGTCACCGATAGGTGGCGGCGTTGGGATGACCTCGGAGCAATCGATCATCTTGGACTGGTCCTGCCCAAGCACGGACAACTTGAGCATCGCTGACTTGAAGGCAGACTGCATTCTGGCTTGGTTGTCTATAATCATTCCTGACTAAGGATTTAGCTCCAAGAATAAGAAATGGTCACTGACTTGCAAAGGATTGCCAGATACACGCTGTGCGCGAATCGCGAGCCAGCTGTGTATGATCATCTCGTTATTCTTTCGCTCTGCTCAAAGCCGTAAAGCGCGTACAGTGTGGTCGGACTGGAGACGCATTTCACCAGCGAGCGGTGATTCAACTTCGCCCTGGTTCCCCCCAGCGCTGTAGTCGAGGTCAGCTGCCATTGATCAAGCAAAAACGACGATCGGTCACTGACCCAGGGAATGAGGTACCGCGAAGTTGAACCTCGATGAAGACTTGAGTATCGAACTGGCCAGGTGTCGAGTCAAAGGGGGTCCTGTAACATATAGTCAATCGAAGAATTTATGGCCGTGAGTTGTATCAACTTACCCTGGGATCTATAGTGAAAAGAAGAGGTGAATTTCACGGCAAAATATCCTAAAGAAGAAACGCGTACTGTTGGGTCCACGTGGTCTGCAGCTGCGACCGAATGCCTGAAAAAAATGGTAAGTATTGACAGCGTACGGAGGTTATCGCTTAATACAAACGAGGCAAGGAGGGCGATGACCTCGGTCGGGGTAAATCCGGCATCGGCGAAACGATCAAGGATACTGGTGACTGTGTCTATTTCGAATTTTAGCACGCCAAAACCTTTTTGTGTCAAGAACACATGCTAACCGAATGGTTCGGGAACCAAGAGGTCAGGAGACGGGGCCGTCGCATTCGGACGACCGAGGAAGAAATTTAAACGTGGCGCTCCTGGGCAATTGCTCACTCCAACAGCACCAGCGAATTGGATGAAGTCGCCTGCGGTGATGCCGTGCTTCACGACGAAGGGCTTTTGAGCGTCGATTATCTCGTCGACGCCCAGATTGGCGTGGAAGGCGGTTTCGATGTCCTCGAAAATCATGATCGAGCCATCGGCACCTCCTCCACTATTTGTACTGCTTAGAAATATCATTTGAAATACGGAAAGAGTGAAACGCCTACCCTTTCGTCGGTGAGAAGCCGATGGCGTCATGGAATGTCAGTCGGAGGGATTCATGAACCTGGGTGGAGGTGGTCAATCAGCCCGATGTCTGAATAGAAGGGCCGCACAAATGGAAGATACCAACCTCCTCACCGCACTCGCCACCATCAAAGAGGTTCGCCTGGATGTCGTCCAGGATAGGAAACAAGGCACAACAAGCAGCGTTGGTGGCTGTATGAACGCCATCGGGACACGCAACGCGCTTGATGAGGGCGGCTATTGGAAGCGTAAGCCATAAATGCGAGGTATGTATTTCGAGATAGTGTACTTACCAGAAGCAAGTCGCAGAGCGCCGAGGACGAGGACAGAGGAAGCTGATCGACCGAAGCCCATCGTGAATGCGGATGCCCTTGAGATTGAATGGCCCATTCGGAGGTCTCTTATATCTTTTCACGGCCTCCTTTCGCGGTAAACACCGAGCAGAGGGCTGAGAGCTCGTAGAGGGAACTTCGCTGCATTTTGTCTGAGCCGGTAGAGGAGGTCCCACCGTCCTGGGATCCGTCGACGTGTTCGCCCACTGTACGGGGTGCGGGAGGTGAATGCGTTTCCGGGCATGGTAGACCGATGTTGTTAGTACGCTATTCCAGCGCTGTTTGTGCCCGCGTCGTCGGGATGTTGGGTTAAACCGGACTGATTGCATCTCACGCAACGCTGGTCATCGATTGGACAGTATTCTACATGCCGACGCCTTTTGAAAGATCGACTCAAATAAGGTTCCAAAGGTGTATTTTTTGGGGTACAGATACCAGATCTTGCTCGAAAGTGAAAGCTTCTCCGGATTCGACGAGTGCAACTGGGCGGTAACGCACACGTTGGGATATTTCGCTGGCGAGCGGAACAGGGTCTTTCGGTAGTAGGACACTGCCAGAAAGGGGGCTCTAGCAGCTGATAGGTACGTCGGAACGTTTGAAATAATCATAGTTGAGCGAACGGACTGGGAGTGAAGCTATTGGTGTCAAGGAGGCTAGGAACTACAATCTTCAGAGATAGAATGCAGGGGGAAAAGGGTAGCGGCACACCTCTGATAGGCTACATCACAAGGTGCCTTATGCCCGCATCGAAGTACGAGTTCAACCAACTCTTCACCGCTAGGCAGATGGTTCCGAAGGAGGCCGGCCTCACAACCTGTATAATTGGCGGGAGATGATTGGTCGAGAACGGGGGTGTCTAGAATGGCGTCCTGAAAAAGTCCCAAGCTGCATATAAACGAGATCCGTTTTCGCACGTTGCTTCCACATCTTGCGGTTGAGAAAAATGGGAGAGAGCGAGCGTGGAGTGCCGTTCGGGTTTGTGTGAACCAAGATCATTCAACATGAAATTGTGAGGCAGGTAAGAAGCAGAGTTGTTGTTGCCGGTATATAGCCGGGTAGTCTTGAAGTGAAAGTGGGCAGACAGATAATTGGGAACATCTGGATGGGACCCGTCAACCGAAATTAGCCGGGAGGCTTGCGTGACCAGAGTAACTAACCACGTGGGGTGACTGACGCGTGTCGCGAATTGAGTGCGCGAGTCTGAACTTGTGTTGGGTGTTGACCACGACGACCACACGACAAGATGCCTTCCGCCGAAATAGATGTCTCTCCAGGTTAGCTCTTATTCTGCGAATATAAGTGTTGACTCACTGTTCTCTATTAGAGGTTATGCTTACGTTCTACCGTCGTCTCTATCCCTTCAAAACCATCTTCAACTGGCTCAACCACGAACACGCCCCTTCACGCCTCTTCACCCATCGAGAATTTGCCTTCACTCTCCAAGGAGATGTTTACCTGCGATATCAATCTTTCAACAACGCAGATGAACTGAAGAAACAAGTCTGCCAACTCAATCCTACGAGATTTGAGATCGGACCTGTGTACTCAGCTCGTGTGCGTGGTTCAACCTGCTTTTCTGTTTACAAGTAGCCTGACGTGTTAAGCAGCCACGAGATAAGAAGACCATACGCGCTGGTGCGTTTAGTCCTCAAGTACGAGAACTCGTCTTCGATATCGATATGACCGACTACGATCCCATCCGGACGTGTTGCAAGGACGCAGGCATCTGCAAGAAATGCTGGGGCTTCATCGCGGCTGCTGTGCACGTCATCGACTCGGCCATCCGAGACGAATTCGGATACGAAAAACTCATCTGGGTCTACTCTGGCCGTCGTGGAATCCACTTGTGGATATCAGACAAGGAGGCGATGGAACTGACGGATCAGCAGAGGAAGTCATTGGTCGGCTGGCTTACGGCAATACACCCCACTGCGAAAGAAAGCTCAAAAAAGCCGAACTTTCGATTTGGAGGCAAGTTGCCCCCGTCTCTGCAGTGAGTTTCTGCAGCCTGTCAGTCTCTCCAAGTTAACCCGCCATTAGGAATGCTCTCCAATATCTCAAGACCATCTTTGGAGAGCTAATCCTGACCGAACAGGATTGCTTCGAGTCAGAAGAGGGCTACGAAGAGCTCCTGCAGTACATCTCAGACTCTCGCACTGTGGAGTCACTGCGAACGAAGTGGGAAGACAGCCCGTCACGGTCCTCGGAAGACAAATGGAACGACCTCCTCCGGATAGCGTCTTCGCGTCCGGTGAGATTTATTCCGTCATGTGCTTGTCCAGCTGCTCATTCCGCTCCAAGAATCTCATCCCCGCTCTGGAAGATGTCATTATTCAGTACACGTACCCTCGCCTTGACGCTGAAGTGTCGAAGCATCGTAACCATTTGCTAAAAGCACCGTTCTGTATTCATCCTAAGACCGGCCGTGTCTGTGTCCCTTTGGATGTGACGTCGATTGACAAGTTCGACCCAGAAGGTGTTCCGACGGTTGGTCAACTACTCCAGGAGCTGGACGCAATTGGGCGGGAAGAAGGCGCGGCCATTAGTCATTCTGGTGTGTACTCAACCTTTCCCCGTGCTTAAGTTTCTTTTGACCTTTCACCTACAGACTGGGAGAAAACATCCCTGAAACCCTACGTCGATCTTTTGGATAGGCATTCGCAAGGTCTGATGGACGAGGTCAGGAAAGAGAAGCGCAAAGATGGTGAGTCTTTATGCCGACACTCTTCCTATGTTCTGTTTCAGCCAGTAACGATGTTTACAGATGTGTCGTGGTGAAATGTGTATTATCTATTCTTTGTATTTTAGACGCCCTGTATTTATCCAGAGAACGACAATGTAGTGGCCTTCAAGTTTCAAACAAGTCCTGAAGAAACTTAGTATTACAAATAGACAAGGTACTTCGGAGCGTAGATGGCGGTGAAGATTACATCCAGAAACTACATATGTGCATACGCCAGGGAACACAGTGCACATCTTCTTCCAGACCTTTTACCCAACGAGAGGGGCTCGCTCCTCGTCACTGAGGGCAATCCTACCACTGCGACGGAGAACAAGACCGTACGCTCCCTTCACGACCCAGACAAGGGCAAGGATGGCAAAGACAAGCGAGGTCCAATGAACGAAGCCGGAGGAGGTCTGGTGGGCATAGATAGCCCAAAGGGACCAGGCAATGGCAATGGATGCAGGTAGGTCACCCTCTGGCGTGGAGAATGAGTATGTCGCTGCGGTGCCCTCGAGGAAGAAGCTGCAACGCGTTCAGATCATGGCAGCGGTGATGAAGCGGTAAATGAAACGTACAGGGCAAGGAACACAAAGACCTTGGTCCAGACACCTGCGCGGTGGGTGAGTGCGTTCACACCGAAAGCGTCAAAGGCGGTGATGACGACGAGGACGGTGGTCCATCCGTGGTAGAGAGAGAACGGGAGGTGGATGAAGAGCTCGTCGCCGTACGATTCGGAGGCATGGTACTTCTTGACGATGTAGTAGATGTGCTACAGAGAAATTGACAGGTGAACCACACGTGTCTTGCACTGAGGAGCGATCGGAACTTACAGTGACGGCGGAGCTCACGAAGAGCGCGAAAATGAAAGCTAGGGATTGCGGTTAGGACAGGCGTATGCTGAGGAGGTCGGGCGTACCGATGACATAATGGTGGGTTGCCCAGAGGTTGACATAGATGGCATTGAGGATGCCAAGGAGTGGGAAGCGCCAGGAAATGCCGTCGATGATGGTCCTCTTTCCGTTGGGGAAGAACTGGTAGATGATGGTGCCGAGGAGAAGGATGTGGATGAGTGTCCTGTATGGCGGTAAGTTGACTGCTGTGGACGGCGAGCAATTGTAAGTTCGTACCAGATGAGGAACGCCCAAGGGGCGGGAGTGATGTAGGTCTCCTTTCCGTAGTAGTAGATGTTTCCTGGGGACGCTACGGTGTAGATATTTGAGCCGAGGAAGAGGAAGTAGACGAGGATGTTGACGATCTTGAGGAGAATGCCATCTTTCCAGGAGTCGGCCATGGTTGGGTTCAGAGAATGGTCGGGGTCCGGGGAGTCTCACCCCAGCTTTTATCGTCCCACTGACGTACGGGTGCACCCACACGTGATCGGAACGGGCGACCATGACGCCACCACGCCCCCTCTCGCAGCTTCGTAGATTCTTATCCTCGTCCAGGCCGTCACACTCGTGCCCTTCTCCGTGGTAAAACGTTCGCCATTTCATTCATTTTGCGCGTCAAAAGGGTCTTTACATACCGAGCAAACGTGCCCTCGCAGTGGTAGCCCGACGAGCTGGAGTTCATGCGCCATAGGGTATTGTAATGCCGCCAGCGCTCGTACGCGCAGCATGACGCGCAGCCGCTCCTCCAAAGCTAATTCAGTCGCGATGGTCTATTTATAGCATAAACCGCAAACAGGCGCAAATGAGACGCATCTCTTTCGCTTGGCGGCCTCTCAACCTTCCCTTCCATTCGCCCACCATGCCCACGCCTTGCACAGTCTGCCGCAAAGTGCAAAGCACTACTTCTCCAAATTTCCTCCTGACCTGCCTCCAATGTGCCCGGTCCTGGCACCATCGTCAGCAGTTGGCCTTCTGCATCACATCTGCGTTCTTCAGCCCTAACGCGTTCTTCCCCCCTTCTAGGCTGCCATACCCCCCCTGTTCCAGATAAAGAGCTCATCATAATCATCAAGGCGTATAATGAGGTCAAACACAAGCCTGACGCACGCTTCAACTGGGCGTGCGCCTCGTGCAAAGCCAAAGTAAAGCCATCTTCAAGCCATGCGCCGTCGTCGAGCAGCATCAAGCCAAAGCCTGTCCCGGAGACGGTTGTCATCGACGATGACGACGATGTCGTGGTTCTTGAAGAACGAAGGCCTGTGCCGCTATCCAACACCAAACGCGAACTCTCAGAGTCATCAGCGCAACAACGCAAAGCATCGGCAACCTTTCCCTCGACGTCCAAAGTACCCACTTCTCCTATAACGCAGAAAAGGCCAATGTTCATTGGGAAGAAAACCGCTCAATCAACTGCTCAAATACGTATCATCGACGATCCGATCTCCTTCGATAGAGTTCCTGAACAACGGCCATCCTTAAAGCCTACTTCAACCGGCTCTCGACTTGTTTCTGACTTTGTTGATCTGACCATGTCCGACGAGGACGACGTTCCAGATCTCCCCAAGGATAATATGAAGTTTCCTAAGTCCGCCTCTCCTACGCTCTCTGCAGCTACCTCCCACAACGAACGCGCTCCTACTCCTCCGCAGAGTGTAACACCAAGTGTTGGACGGGCTATTTCTATCTCCCAACCTCCTAGCCGCTCTGACGAGCCCGTTTCTCGACGAACAGTAGCGGAATTCAGCGCAGAGCCCGATGATCGAGAGGTCAAAGCCGAGCAGATCATGGCAGCACTTCCACCGCCCGTACTTTCACCGACGAAGGGACATACAGCGGGAAAGACGAACGAGTACCAGTTCAACCCCGCTCTTCTTCCGTTCTTCGTAAACGCTCGGTACTCCATGGACGAAAACGATGATAAGGCGGGCTCTACTAGGAGATCGCCTGGTATCTGGCAACGAAGGGCCGCACTAAGGCTAAAGGGAAAGCAAAGGCGCTCGCAAGCTGGCACTACGGAAAGTGTTGCAACGCCCGCACCAGATCTTGGCGTGGTACCGTCGAGCTCTCCGTTTCCGCGTTCACTTCCTAGGCGTAAGAAGGCCGTTGCGGTCCCGAGTCCCAAAGGTTCCACGGAGTCTGGTGAGACCCTGGAGTCCCAAGTTCCATTCTTCTTCGCGACGGACGTTTGGATGGAGCAAAAGAGGCAGCAGATGATGCGACCCTGACACTACAATGACGTTCACATTGACGTCTGATTGCATTTTTGCTTCGTCATTAGCACCCTTTCCTCTCTAAACTTGGCTTTGGTTTCCGAGCCGACGGTGTTTATTGACTGTTACTTTGACAATTGTGGTGGTCTGCAATTTCAAAGAGTTTCTGGCTGTACCTTGGCCCAGTGCAAAACAGTTGTCGGACAGTAGATGAGGATTTCATGAGTTATTTCATTGCGTCAAGAACTGCTATATATTGTACAATACTGTTATGCGGTATGCAAAAATAAATACTATGTAATGTGCACGAAACGAAGAAGTCTAAAATTTCAAGAAACTTATAATTCGGTATGGTCTGTTGGGTCCCAATCGGGGTCGTTATTAGATGGTCCAGAATCGCTGCTCTGATAGAGCTTGCTCGTGATCGGGTTCACGCTCGTCTGCAAGTCTGCAAAAAAAGGAACGGTCAGAACTCTATGCCGTCATATAACCACCAAAGGAGAAAGACATACCAGCGAGCTTCTCCTCTAAGTCCTCCAGGCTCGCCTCACTTGCGTGCTCGTCGATCCACTCGGAGCCCTCCTTGATGGTTTCCTGGAGTTTCGTCTTGTCGGCAGCGCTCAACTTGGCACCTATACCGTCCTTCTCTGCGAGCTGGTTCTTGAGCCCGTACACGAAGGTCGAGAGGCTGTTGAGCGCTTCAGTGCGCTTCTTGTGGAGCTGGTCCTCTTCGGCGAATTTCTCTCCATCCGCGATCATGCGATCAATGTCTTCTTTCGAGAGACGACCGCTGTCTTGGGAGATGACGATCTGTTCAGACTTGCCACTGTGAAGAAGAGTCGATAAGCTGTTTGAAAGAGGTAAATAGATCAGGACAAGACACTCACGTTCCCTTATCGAGAGCCCTAATAGTCATGATCGAGTTGGCATCGAGCTCAAAGGTGACTTCGATTTGAGGAACACCCTTGGGTGCTGGAGGGATACCAGTAAGGTCGAACTGGCCGAGGAGATGGTTGTACTTGGTCTGTCCACGTTCACCCTCGTATACCTTGATCGTCACAGTGGGCTGGTTATCAGCAGCGGTCGAAAAACTAAATATCGGACAAAACATCAGAGGCCTGGTCCGGTGAATGGAAAATCCAAGACTGCGTACATCTGGCTCTTCTTGGTAGGGATCACGGTGTTGCGCTCGATGATGCGCGCGAAAACTCCACCGGCGGTTTCGATGCCCAGAGTAAGGGAGTTGACATCGAGGAGAGTGACCTCACTCGTTTGGCCCTTGACGCCGGCGAGGATGGCTCCTTGAACAGCAGCACCGTATGCGACAGCCTCGTCTGGGTTGATGCCCTTCGAAGGTTCTTTGCCGAAGTATTCCTTGAGAAGTTGTTGGACCTTGGGAATCCTGGTCGAACCACCAACAAGTACGATCTAGAAAGAAATGAGAGTTGTCAAAGAAGAATAACGGTGCAGTGAATCTAAATTATACCTCATCAACTTCCTTCTTCGAGACACCTGCGTCCTTCAAGACTTGCTCAACGGGCTTCATCGTCTTCTTGAACAAATCAAGGTTGAGCTCCTCAAACTTCGCTCTCGTCAGCGTCTCCGAAAAGTCGTTTCCGTTCTCGAAGCTCTCAATGTCGATTTTGGTGCTCTGTTGACTAGACAGGATGCGCTTCGCATTCTCGACCGCTTTCTTCAGCTTGCCCATCGCGCGCTGGTTCTTCTTCACGTCCGTGCCCGTCTTCTTCTCGTAGTTCTTCGCGAGGTATTCAATGACGCGGTTGTCGAAGTCCTCTCCGCCAAGGTGGGTGTCGCCGGCGGTGGCCAAGACCTCGAAAACACCATCCTCGATGGAGAGGAGGGAGACGTCGAAGGTGCCTCCACCCAGGTCGTACACAATCACCTTGGACTCTTCCCCCTTTTTCCCGAGTCCGTATGCGAGTGCAGCAGCCGTTGGTTCATTCAGGACGCGGAGGACAGTAAGGCCAGCGATTTCACCGGCGTTTTTCGTGGCTTGACGTTGTGCGTCGTTAAAATCTAGGGATAAGAATAGGCAAAAGATGAGTGTGATAGGCTGGAGTTGCTTACACGCCGGAACAGTGACGACGGCATGAGTAACCCCGTGGCCAAGATACGCCTCAGCAGTCTCTTTCATTCTTCCAAGAATCATCGCACTAATTTCCTCTGGTGTCTGGGAATTGCCAAGGGTCACAGTCAGGCTTTGCAAGGTCAATCTATCATGAAGACACTTACAAATTCTCGGTTCTCTCCCTTGTATTTGACATTGATATTTGGGTTACCGTTCTTGTCTGTCACTTTGAAGGGTAAGTGCTTGAGGTCGCTCTTCACCGCAGCCTCGTCCGTCCGGCGACCAATAAGCCGCTTCGCGTCGAAAATCGTGTTCTTCGGGTTGGAGTGTAGTGCGTTCTTTGCACTGTCGCCGATTCTGCAGGCCGGTCAGTCAGACGAGAAGAGCCAGTGGAAGGAATGGACAGACAATCGTTCATCGCCGTTAAAACTGACCCATGAGGGTGTTATCCGGTTTCCTTGGTCGTTGGCGATGATTTCAACACGGTCTCCTTTGTATACCCTAGATAGATGGTGAATTCGGAGAACAAGAAATCAGAAGAAAACATATACCCGACACAAGAATAACTAAGGGGGCAAAGACCAATCAGGAAAGGTAGATGTGCATTTATCACGACTTACGTGGTGCCCAAATCTGAGGAATAGAGCTTCAACAAGTTGCTGAAGGAGCAGAACAGAAAGGAACGAACCAATTCCGATGACAGATCCATACTCGGGGTGGGCTTGAGCTTCTTCGGCCTTGACGCCCACCGGAACTAGGAGAATAATCGAAAGGATGAGGAAGAACGCAAACGATAATGACGCGACAAGATTCGCGCTTTGTTTGCGAGTCGGGTGTCGGCTACCGTGGATGCGAGGCGGAGACATGATATCTCGCGCTCAAAGTTGATGTTGGTTCTTGAACGGGAACCGCCCACTAGTATGCTCTGGTTATATAGCCCATGTCGCAGTGGACGACACGATCTCTGATGGAAAGAGACACGTATACCACGTATCCATATCGTGGGCCTGATGAGCCCTGATACGTGTCTTGAAACGACAACGCGACGTGTTCAGCGGCTGTTCAAGGAGTCGGGGAGCGACGGGCTTGGCAACGCCCTTCGACTCGCTTGCTACCTAAAGTGGATTTTCGCACGAGGTACAGCGAGGACAAACAGGCGCCCTCAAGCACCGCTACTGTAACGCACTCATTAGCGAAGGAGCGACTGATGATCAATACCGTCCCATTGTACGAAGTCTAAGTATACCGAACTCCAACCTTCCTCTAGTTTACATATGTGCATTATTTATACTGTCCGAATATCGCAGAAGATGAAGTGATTATAGCAATACAACCGGCTTAGGCATGGGGGCCAGCGAGGCGGACCTTCTCGTCAACGTCCTTCTCGTACAAGGCGAAGGCCTTGGTGAACATGCCCGCGAGTTTTCTGACCTCCTTCTGGAAGGCCTCTTTGTCGGACCAGGCAAGCGAGGGGTTGAGAAGCTCGCGGGGAACGCCCTCGAGGGCGGTGGGAATCGACAAGTTGAAGGTGCCGAAAGACTCGTATTCAGCCTTGGCGAGCTCGCCGGAGTGAACGGCGTCGACAATGCGGCGGGTGTACTTGAGCGGGCAACGTTTGCCAGAGCCGAACTTGCCGCCAGTCCAGCCAGTGTTGATGAGCCAGCAGTTGACCTTGTGCTTGGCCATGCGCTCAGCAAGCATCTCGGCGTAGCGTCCGGGCTGAGAGGATAGAGCATGAGGAGCCAGCCTCTAAAGGAAAAGAGACGTGACTTACGTGGAGGACGATGAAGGGGGCGCTGTAACATGTAGAGAAAGTGGGGATGGGCTCGAGAACACCATCTTCTGTGCCAGGAGTTTTGCTATAGAATGAAGTAAGCATTTGTTCCAAGTAGAAAAAAAAAGGTGGGACTCACGAGGTATAACCAGCCAGGAAGTGGTAGCTGGCCTGCTCGGGAGTGAGCTTGCTGACAGGAGGAAGAACACCAAAGGCATCGCAAGTCAACATGATAATGTTGGTGGGTTGGCGCTCGACAATGCAGGGGATTTGTGCATTGGGGATGTACTCGATAGGGTAGGCGCATCGAGTATTTTCGGTGATGCTCACGTCGTCGTAGTCGGGTACACGGCTAATTGGGTTGTAGACGACGTTCTCGAGGATGCTGCCGTACTTGATGGCGTTGAAAATATCAGGCTCCTTCTCGGCGGACAGGTTGATGCACTTGGCGTAGCATCCACCCTCGATATTGAAGACACCAGTGTCGGACCAGACGTGTTCGTCGTCTCCGATGAGAAGACGGTTGGGGTCAGCAGAGAGTGTGGTCTTGCCGGTTCCAGAGAGACCGAAAAAGAGTGTGACATCTCCCTCATTGATGCCAACATTGGCAGATGAGTGGAGAGACAATTGGCCGAACTTGACGGGTTGGAGGTAGTGCTAAAGAACACGGCTTTAGGCACAGATCCAAAGGAACAGTGAAGAAGACCGCACCATCACAGAGAAGACACCCTTCTTCATCTCGCCAGCATACTCAGTTCCGAGGATAACCATCTCCATGCGCTTGAAGTTGATCTCGACGGAAGTCGTTGAGCTCATGCCCTTGGTGAAGCGGTTGGCAGGGAACTGGCCAGCGTTGTAGATGATGAAATCGGGCTCGCCGAAGTTGGCAAGTTGTTCCTCCGTCGGTCGAATAAGCATGTTGTGCTAGGAAATGTATATAATATTTAGATCGCGAGCTGGGAAAGATCAGGACAACATACCATGAACAAGGCATGGTAAGCTCGTGCACAGATCACGCGAACTTTGATACGGTATTTGGGATCCCACTGGAGCGGAACGAATAGATGATGTCAGTCGCGTGATCATAAGAGAGGACAAAAAAAGCGTACGCCAGCATAACCATCGAAAACGTAGACATTATCGCGAGTATTAAGATAATCGATGGCACGCTCTCGGTTGATCTCGAAGGTGTCTACGATCGTGAGTTAGCACGCGGGCGGAATTGGGGAAAAGAAAATCGCTGACGTTCGTCCATCTTGATGTTGACGGAACCCCACCAGATGTCATCTTTACTGGTGTCCTCGTAGACAATGCGCTTGTCCTTTGGACTGCGACCAGTCTTCTTTCCGGAGAAGTTGATGAGGGCACCAGAAGAAGAGATGATGGCCCCCTCATTGCGGATGGCATCCTCGTAAAGCAGGGCGACAGGCGCGTTACGCTTGATCTGGATGCGATCCATGTCGAAGCCGGCCTGCGAGAAGTATTCCAGGTCCCGACCAATCACTGGGGGATGCGAGGTTAGCGGAGCAATGGAGACGGAACAGAATCGACAAACAGTTTGAGTACTGTTCGCTGTCGTGGGACTGGGCATAGTTCTTGTGGAGGATGTGGGGGGTAACGTAGGGGGTGTGGTGGGGGAGAACCATTTTGTTGGGCGAGTGTCGAAGCTGAACGGTGGGGTAAGCAAGGTATATATAGGAAATAGGAGGAAATGGACAGAAGATCCGGGCGTGCGAACTAGCGTGACACCCACCTGTGTCGTCGGCCTGAGGGGAAACCGCAATCTAGTCGGGGGGCGGATCCTGCTGGACCGTGATTTTATAGCAGTCCAGCACCGTCGCTCCATCCCTCAATCCTCCGACCAGAATCCTGGAAATCCTGGATCTGCGCGTCGGTCCGCCCATTCGCAATCACACAGCTGCTATAGGCCACCTACCGGTTCTTCCCGAGCGTCTTTGCCCTGTAACGGTCGTCCGTGTGCTGCCCTTGTTCTCCGGCTCCTTCTCCGCACGGAACTGCCTCTACGACCAAATGTCGCAGTGGCAGAAGTGATACGTAGACATACCGCAGCCAGAAGAACCGTTGTTACCTCTCCTATCACATGTGCAGTCACTATAAACGGAAAAATCCCATCGCCCATCGCTTGCCTAGATTTCCCCCTTGGCTTCCGTTCTCATCTAGGAATCCGTCGGGGAGCCGCCTTTACTCGTCTTTCGCTGACCATGAGATCTAAACAAATCCTCGGTTTCTTATTGAACCGACAGTATCAAATAGGGGACCGCTCACTGCTCAGTCTAGTCTCGCTCTCACTACTGACATTGACAGATTAAAAGCGGCCTTATCTAGTCTCTAATGTATTCCAACAATGCTCTCCGTGTCCCCGCTCGATAATATCGTCGTAAAGGCCCTCACCTCTCGCGATGTCCACCAGGTCCGCGACTTACATGTTAGTGACGAAATGATCGATTTCATTTACCATACTTATGGATCATGTTTGCAGTCCAAGCTTCTCCCTGTTAAATACCCGCCCTCCTTTTTCCTCCAGCTTCTTCTTCTGCCAAATCGCGCGTGCTTCATAGCCTATAACCGTGGTCACCCCAGCATGCCCATCGGATTTATTTCAGCAGCAGCACAACGGCCCTCATCCACCACCGACTGTTTCACTTTCTGTTCGCCCAAAGAACCATCTCTTGTTTCGGCACACCCTCACGACGATGCATCCCTTACCCTGGGTCCTGTGGTCCGCCTACGTTTGGAGATATTGACCCTTGGTGTCCTACCCGCTTACCAGCACTGTGGGTTAGCACGTCACCTCGTGCAATGCGTTCTCGACAATTTTCGAGAATCCTGCACCGGGCTATCGGCCGATGGAACGTTGCTTTACGCCAATGTTTCTACTTCTAATACTACGGCCCTCAAATTCTATGAACGCATGGGCATGACGGTTTCTTCCGATGTGATTCGAAATCTATACCGGACAGTTTCTTACGGGTGCAAAGACGCGTATCTAGTCATGGGTATTGTATGAGCAATACTTTCTGTACCTGTAGAAGTGTAAAAGTCCTGCACGAGCCAAGTATGTACAGTATTTCATCTTTCCCCTACCCCAGCAATGTAAGACGCGTAGAACCCCTATTTCCGTAATTGCCTCACGTGCATTCACGCGTTGTGTGACGCGTCGTGTTTTCTGTTGACTTTGTAGTCTGAGTCGCGATGATGTCTCCCACAGCCAAAGAAAGGGCTTTCTCGATTTCTCGAGCATGCCACTTCCGAAATCCATCAGCATGAAATCTTCACTCCTCGCGCATACATTTCCGGCGTTCTATGCTTGCTACCTGCTGAAATCTATCCAAACACCACAGGCTAATGCGTACGATTTCATCCACGACCTCATGAAAGGGAACTCGAATCTAACCCAAGGCGGCAGAACATACATAGGAAGCACACCATCACCTCCTCGTCGAATAAGGTGAAACTCCCCTTTCCATTCGTGCGCCGATGCTGACCCTTCGTTCACAGGCAACACAACGGCGAGCTCACCCAAGGCGCCAGGAGGACAAAGGGAAAGAGACCATGGGTAATGCAGATGATAGTCCACGGTTTCCCCTCAAGATTAGTGAGCCCCCTTTCTTGGTCCCTAGTTTGATCTATACTTATCCCAAATGCTGGTTATCTTCGGCAAAGGCTGCTCTACAATTTGAATGGGCCTGGCAACACCCTCATAGGTCACGGCATTTGCGAGACGAGAATGGGAAACTGTACACATCAAAGGCGAAGGCCCTCAAGAGAAGCATATCGTGAGTAGTCTTACTTTCGGAGCCTCTGGTCTGTGTTGAACATCTCTTCGACGGGGTGCATATCACAGAGTCGTTCGCACAATGATTTGTATGCACCCTTTCAACACATGGCCCCTTCACGTTAAGTTATTCACGGGAGAGGCGGTGCTTTACTGGAAAGCTGCAGGGTCTAAAGGGACCATCCCTCTTCCCTCGGGGTTTACTTGCAATGTAGAGTTGGAGGGTGTCGATGGGAAGTCTGGTCACCCTGGATCTGGACGACACGGCCCGATAACTGTTGATGACTGTGAGTGCTTGGTTTCATTATCCCCTCGCCGCGGATCTGACAGCTCTGAATAACCAGCTGATTTCACAGCGCCGTACCTGGCGAAGAACACTGCTCTTTTAGCCTCGGGCAGAAGCATGAAGTGTTCGATTTGCCATGGACCGATCACAAACTATACAACGGCGAGTAGTTACTATGGAATGATTCATTTTAACTGTGCTTATTTCTGTCTAGGAACCACTGAAGACGGCACTCTGTCCCGCAACATCATGCACCGCCGTATCACATTTGTCCTGCCTATCTCAACATTTTCTCGGCCAACAATCTGGACCTAACATCCTGATTCCCAGAGGGGGTAATTGTAACTCCTGCGGAAATTACACGCTCTGGGGCGATGTTGCTCGCGGATGCTATCGTCGGCTGCCGGAAAAGAACGAGCTCGCGGATATTGACGAAGACGACATGTTCGCTTCCGATGAGGAGGAGGAGGAGAAGACGCCGGCGCCGAAGAAGAAAAGAGCGACTCGAACGGGAAGGTCGTCGTCAAAAGGTCGGAAGTCACTAAAAGGCAAGGGGAAAGGCAAAGAAAAGATGGTCATCCTTTCATCTACAACTGATAGCGAAGGAGAAATTATCAACCTTTCCAATGACACTTTAAGCTCGGATAGCGAAGATTCGGTCAAGCGAAGAGTGGGCCGACCACGGAAAGCTTCGGCGCTTTCTGGCTTGGGTCCTATGATGGCTTCTCCAAGTATATCCCCGGCTCAACGCAGAGTCGGTCGACCGCGGGGAAGTTCAGATGCAGGTATTGCTCCGATGGTGATTTCACCAATTATCTCTTCAGCGAAACGAAAAGTCGGTCGACCTCGTAGAAGCTCAGAGCATAACCTTCCTGAAGCTTCACTCTCAGCTGTGTCTCCAGCACCTCGAAAAGTCGGTAGACCGCGCAAGAACTTGAGCGTCGACTCGTCACTGGCTCCTGCCCTCGCGTCGCCATTTGAATCTCCAGCTCGAAGGAGAGTTGATCGCCCACGGAACAGTCAGGACTCCGCTTCCTCTTCAGACGTACCTGAAGATGTTGTCGTTTCTCCGACACGGCGACCCCTTGGTAGGCCCCCCAAGAGTCCGGATGTAAAGATGATCCCTAGTGCAGTTTTTACTCCTCAAGCAGGTGCCTCCACTGGTGGAAGAAGCCCAGAGATAATTTCTTTGGTTACTGGAGACGAAGCTGTCCTTCCAATCAGGCCGAGTCCGCAACAAACGCAATCTATGCTATTGTCTCCCTTTGGGTCTCCACCTCTCCGCAGGCCTGGCCGTCCAAGCCGGAGCCCAGTATCCAATGCAAGAGCCGTAGAGGTAGAGGAACATGTATCCCCGCGATGCGGGCCTGGTCGACCTCGTAGGGTTTCAGAACCCATGTCTGTCATATCGATTTCCTCGTCTACCACGACTTCAGCGTCGCGTAGATGCGGCCGACCACCCAAGGATGTGGCCATGGCCTCATCTAGCCTTGCATCGCCCATGGTCTCACCCAAACTTCCCAAAGCGTCGAGGGGACAAACCACACCGGTGGTGCAGCCATTCCACACCCAAGCAACATCATACACCCCACAGAATGTGGCCAAGAGCAGCTCTGGGGAATCCTTTGACTTCGATGGGCTTAGTGGCAGCTCTGCCAGTGATGAGGATTTCGAAGTATTCTTATCTCGGAGGAAGCGAACCCCATTGCTCAAGCAGCCCTTGTCCAAAGCTCCTGTAAAACCTCAAAAACCTGGAACGTCAAAGGAGCCTTTAAACGACGGCCTGGAGAGAGCAATGAAGTTTCTTTCCGTGTCTCGCTCAACCCGGATGCCTTTCCCTGCGAAGGGCAATGCCCAGGGGCAAAGACATTGAGGTAATACTTCTGTCCGAATGAAACTTCCTACGCATTAATTATTTATATCGCTCCATCTACTCAATTCCAGTACTTGTCACAATGCTTTAGTAAGGTTAATTTGTCGTGTATAGTGTACAGTGCATGATATATGATAGCAAAACATCCCGACTAATAAAATAAAGATGGTCCTAACTCTTTAGACGGTCAAGCACCTGATTATGTATCACCTGTATAAGGTAGCCTACACCACCCGCATTGCAAACAACCCCAGCCTCAAGAGCGGCAATCTTTCCTTTGGACAGCCTTCCAGAGTTCATCCCGTCTCGGACGGCAGCCGCAACGATATTCCGGAAGTCAGGAAGCGGCTGTAATATCAGCCCATCAATCGTGCTCTCGACCTTCATTGCAGCCTTATCAGACATCTCCAGGTCGAATAATGAGTAGGATGCGTCCAGAATGGCAATCCTCTGACCGCTCATCAACCGGAAATCCAAAGCATGTCTGCCAATCATAACTCAGAAATCCCAGCGTGAATGACGGTGGGAAAATGGGCATACCTTAAATCGTCGTACAGAAGCCGGTACCACCCTGTGGCCTTGGCAAAGATGTCAAGATTCCTACCCTTTTTCTTTCCGTCTCGTCGGATTTGCTCTAACTCGACGACTATGGGTAGGGAATCCCGAAGAAGCATAACGAGGCGATGCAGTGAAGATGCCAAGCGCCCATGACCATGTCTTAAAATATTCCGCAAAAATGGTTCCGCTTCTTCGTGAGGGTTGTAGGTGTCTTCGTCGTTATCAGTTTCCATTGCACCCTGAGGCCGTAGACGTGAAAATTCCAGGTCGAAAGTACCACCGCCTGGTGAAAGCTGGCCTTCACATGAGATGGAAACGGCATAGTCCTAAAAATAGAAATAAGCACAAGATCTGCGACGAGACGGACAAAAAACTCACTTGAGCATAAGCAAATTCGACTGCTCGCAGGTCGAAGGAAAGAAGCCGAACACCGTGCCACTTTGTGAGTCTTGCCATCTGGGCGACTATACTACAGCGTTAGGCACTGAACTAATGAAAAGGATTCCTTGCTGACCTTCTCGGGCAATTACAACCATTTTTGAGACACTCGCCCATTCCTCGAGGAACTCGTCAACACAAGTGTCGACGTTGTCCGAAAGAAAAGATACAATCGCCTCTTTCGTGTCGTATATGATACGCTTTGAGGGCCGAATGACAGTACTTCCCACTGCGTTTTTGCCCATAGGTTGTTGAACATATTTTAGTTTCACACAAGTCACGACCTGCCAGCGTAACGTTAGAGGGAGTCTCGGGAGACTGCTAAAACAGGACATACCTGAGCCTTCTCGTGTGACCACCAGTTCAAGGGTATCACCCTTATGTTTGGCATGGCGGCTTCAGCGGCAGGTGCACCTGAGAGAATATGTTCCGACTTGACACAAAGACCTGGCACGGATCGAGCGAGAGATGATTGTATGAGTGCGACTTCTGGAGGTGGAGGCGACGAATTGAAGGAATTGACATGCTCGAATGGGATGCCACGGAGTCTCAATTGACTTTCCACCTTGTAGAACGATACCCGTGCACTAACCAACATATAGAGCGCATATTGGCACTAGACGATGATCACTTACCAGCAATAGCTATACAGCTCTCTCAGACCTTGAGTGTCCAGATTGAATCTTGACAATTAATAAGTTACAAGTTGTCACCCATCTTCAGGAATTCCATACCTGGAATAAACCTCTCTGGGCACATCGAAGATGCTTTCTTCTAGCTGGTTAGGGCTAATTGCTGACTTTTCATTCCCTGCAGAAAGTTGGGAGGCAGCACGTAGGCGGTCGAAATCGATCCAAGCGATATCTTCCAAGACGAAAGCCGCATACTTAGAGTCCCTTTTTGGTTTGGTGCCAATCATAGCGTACTGGAATCGTTCGTCGGTAACTACAAGAACCAAGTAGTGAGTTGGGAAGTTTGCAAGCCGGATGAAGAGAGTGCCGCGAGCTTCCGGCCCAAGTTTGCCCATCTCTGTTCGAATACTTGAGAAAAGGATGACAGGAGATTGGACGATTCCTACTCACCCTCGTGTGGAATGTTCCGGCGACGGTAGCTTTGAAGGCCAAGGTAATTTGCTTTTTGCTCTGCCGAGTCAAGGATAGTCTTTACAAAGTACTAATGAGTGCCGAACCATTGGAGCACTACCATGACATACCGAAAGGCGTAGACGGCAAAGCCATTCCAACAAAACCGCAGGATTCGAGTTTATTCCCTCAGTGAACACAGCGAAACGAGGCCCACGTCCAGCTGCAGCAAGATCACCAGTATCACGAACATTTATCTTGCCCGTTCTGACATCGATAGTAATGATTGCAACTTCATCACCACAAAAATGAATACGAAGGGCTTGGGTATTACCTGAAAACGGTATTTTTTGAGTGTCAGGAAGAAACAACACCAGGTGCAGCGACTGACTATCCATGACGAGCGAAACAACCCCAGGCGGTGCAAACACCTTACTGCTCTGCAGATGATTCCGGAAACTCGCCAGGATGGATTTCGAATGTCGCTGGATGGCCTTGCACAACATAGATTCGAAGTCCAGATTATTGGCATCCTGGGAGGCTGTTTAAGAGAAGCGACACAATGACACAACGAAGCAACATACCACCCGGATGAAGTCGGGAGGTAATACTGATTCCTCTGGGCGTATAAACGCCCCAAGCGCCCCCTGGGCAGGTTCCCACTGAACCACAAACTTCAGACCCTCGACCTCGTCTGAAGGTCTGCGACTACCTGTTTTAGACTTTTGTTGCAAACGAGCGATAACGCGCTGCCGGGACGTGCGAGCAGGTCCTCTACCTGTCTGCATCGGGGCCCTGGTTTCCACGATCGCTATTGACAGCGTTCCACCAAAGAGGGGAACTTGATTCCGAGGTCGATTAGGGTATGGTGGTCGGCTAAAAGCAACGCGTTAGTAGAAATCAAGCCATTGCATGCTACAACATACAGCCAATATGTTGCTCTCATGGTCTTCCTGTCTGGCGACATCTGGACCGACATATAGTCCGCCCAACCGAGTGATCTCATCCGTTCAGCCTCGGCACAAGGTTAGCCACTACATGGATGGAAGAAGGGGAATGGATCTACCTGGTACCACAATATTTCAAGTTGATAGGACAAAGACATCATTTCTAGAGAAGAAAGGTTTCACTTCATCTATCATCGGACGATACAATTACGTACGCAGAAAATTATAGACGCGAATGAGCGGGGCGTCTACCACACCTTCTGGGAGTTGCGGACGAGGTTGAGCTCCAGGTATCTGTTGCTGGTCAGGTAGAGGAGGTAGATAGCGAGCGAGCTGATTGTTGGCTTCATCGGCAATATGGTGCTTCATGATATTGGGCGGAACGCGCGGGAATTCTTACGTCCGGTGAGCATGTTTACAAGGACGACGCGCAGAGTATCAAGTTACCTTGCAGACCTGTCAGATCACCACCCACACCTATTAGGAACTCGACATTCAAGAAAAACCACCCGTCGTCCTTCGCGCCTCCTCGTAGGCACATGGATGTCTTGAATAAGTTGGGGACAGTAAAGAATACACGCCCTTCCGCTGCGAAGAGCGTAAGTCGGGAATTGAATACGTGTGTTGACACTCTCACCTATGCGGTATTCAGACATCTCCACGGGTATGAGTTCCGACATGCGAAGCCGGTATCGGATTGCCTCCTCCATGTCAGCAAAGGTTTTGTCGATTTCGGCGTCTGTCAAGGGAGTAGGGGGTATGGCAAGCTTCTGTGATATCGTTGATATTTGGGGTGGTTCGGGAAATGGAAACAAGGACTGACCTTGATGCATGTCGGCAGCCTCAAGTATGAACCTGTCGTTAAAACATCCAACGAGGTCAAAAGATCATGGTTGCGGAGTCTGAGATGGGGTATTCAGCGGCAGCATTGGATGAGAGTGAGCTTTCGACCTTGCAGGATCCAATGCCTCCTTCGTGCGGGCCAATGATCCAATGGTGTCGTCGAATTGCTGATTCTGGGTCATAAGGAACGCGGTTATGTTCTGGAAGCAGTGTCAGGAGTACTAAAGGAAGAGGACTGGATGATTCGCACCATGCATTTTTGGATTGTGTCCGCATCTCTCGACCACTTCGCAACAGCATATAGTTTAACGACTTGTTTCTTCGTTTTTACGACCCAGTCAGCTAGAACGCGCTTCCGAGCGGTGTCCGACATATTTGGCATGCTACGGACAAACACGTAATTTTGTAAGAAAAAAAACTCTCGATACAACAGTACCACTCACGTTTCCGCTAGTTCAGAAAGCTCCCCGTATATTGACTGGGACACTCGAGAGAGCAAGTCTCCCAAAGGAATTTGGCCATCGTAAACGACCGGTAATTCACGCTCCAACTCCTCCTGGGTGGGCTCGTAAGAGATTTCTGGCAGTGAATCGTCCGATAAAGCGGCTTTGTTCGCGGAGTGTCCAACCTCTACATCCATGCCGGCGCGAGTTTGGTGATCTCCGGGGTGTATTGTTGTCCGTTCAGGGTTTCAAACGCTGGACATCGGCCGTGGGGGGAGAAACTTCGCGCCGTGATGTGATCACGAAGGGGATGTGGTGGGTGGGGAGAGGCGTCGGGGAGGCGTGGATGAAGGACAAGGGAAAGTTGTTCGTGCCAAGGCCACACCGAATAAGTAAGGCACTCACCACATGACCGATCGCGATTCACGACAGCACTGCCACAGCCACTTCAGTTCACCGTCAGGTAAGGTACTAAGTAGACAGACCCTCCCACTGAACCCTGGTGGACACGACGTGTCCTTGCGCTGCACTTTCGAGCGCAAAAATCTGAATTGACGACTCCACGGCTCCTCGCCTTATCTGTTCACGCTTCATGGATTATCTCCGTACCTTGGGATCCGCTGCTGTATCGACTCTCGTTCAGAAATCCGGATTAAATCTCCCTTTTTCTCTCGGAGCCAAGCTTGCTCAAGTTGAGGGATATTACGCGTTATACGATGCAACTAAACGAGTGAGTGCTACCGGTCATCCATCGTCCACCATGTGAGGCTGCTAAGGCGAGCATCCAAGGACGACGGCAGTCAAGTTTCAGTCTTCGAATATGACTTCAGTGATTCGTCCAAGAAGAATATGAAACCGTTCGCGCAGAATGCTCTCCGCAAGCTGCGAACTACTCGTCATCCAGACGTTCTCAAATTCATGGATGCTGTCGAATCAGATTCGTCCATCTTCATTATGACAGAGCGCGTGCGACCGTTGCCTAGTGTGCTTCCACAATACTCGACGAAGAATGCTCAGGAAAGGGAAGATTGGCTCATCTGGGGACTACATCGGATCTCGGTGCGTTCCCCTCCTGCCTACTACGATTCTTATTGACCGCTCTCACAGGTCGCCTTGGCCTTTTTGAACGACCAGTGTCTCTCCACGCATGGGAAAGTGGGCATGAATTCAATTTTCCTATCGCCATCTGGAGAGTGGAAACTTGGAGGTTTTGAGATTCTCAGCAACCCGAAGGAGGATAACGCCATTTTATATGTGTGTGCCTCAACTGAAAGTTAAATCATCTATTTTGATCTTACGCCCTTGCCAGACAATGGGTGGACTCTTACCCGGGTCATCAGCCTACGCTCCTCCTGAGGTGAAGAAGAGTGGGTGGTCCAGCCTCAAAGAGTGAGTCCCCTTGACCCTTGATGCCATTTTGTTCTAAGTCTTGCATGAGGTCTGATCCTGCAGCGGCCGACGCTTATACACTGGGACTGCTCCTCCATGCAGTCTTTAATCCCACACAGCCTCCCCCGCCGACAGCAGAACCTCCACATCCGCCACCTGCCCCCTCTTCCCGGGCTGCCATTCCTACATCTGTGTTCCCTGTCTTCAAAAAACTTCTAAACCCGAACCCGAAGGGACGCTTACATGCCAAGGGATTCCTTGAGGTAGGCATGTCAGAAACAGGATTCTTCACGAACAACCGTCTTGTGAAGGTTTGTTCAGGGTTGGATAACTTTGCACTCGCCAGTGAATCCGAGAAAACTGCACTCTTAAGGTGAGACGGAACTCGATTTATCCACCTTTCCGTTGCGCTAATGTCGAGGAGAGGACCCTGAAAGAGTCTGCGTCGTCGTTCCCTCCAGAGTTTGCCTCCTACCGGGTACTTCCCTCCCTTCTTTCTGCACTTGAATTTGGAGGTGCCACAGCAGCAACCATCCTTCCTCTTGTCCTGCAATTTGGCAACAATGTCGCACTGGAAGAATATTCTAAAGTTATTCTAGCACCAATAATTAAACTTTATGCTAGCCCCGACCGTGGTACTCGAATGGCTTTGCTAGAACATCTACCGGAATACGCTGATAAGCTAGACAAGAAGGCCGTCAGCGAAAAAATATTCCCTCATCTTGTAAGTCATGCTACCAGCCTTCCTGTTCTATGCTTTACCCCCTTGTTATATTAGCAACTTGGCTTCACGGACACAGTGGCTCTTATCCGAGAAGCGACTGTGAAGTCCATCATCTTGTTTGCGCCAAAGGCGAGTGCGGGTAGTTTCCAAATGCATCATGCATCTTTCAGCTCATACATGCTCCCTTAGCTTACGGACCGCCTCCTCAACAACGAATTGTTACGGCTACTAGCCAAAGCACAGACGGACAGCGAAGCATCTATCAGAACCAATACCTGCATTCTACTCGGACGTTTAGGTCCTTCTCTTGGTTATAATACGAAACGCAAAGTTTTGGTGCCTGCATTTGCACGAGCGCTCAAGGACTCGTTTGTGCATACCAGAGTCGCAGGATTAATGGCGTTTATGGCAACGATAGACTGCTTCGAAGTACCAGAGCTAGCCACAAAAGTGATACCCAGCATGGCATTCACCCTGGTCGATGAAGAAAAGTGAGTATCCGCCTGTTAGGAGACCCCGCTCTTTATTAATATTTTGAAGATTGGTTCGTGACCAAGCATTCAAAGCGCTGGAACTATTCACAAAGAGGCTGGAAGAACACGTAGCCCATATGGTGCGTCTCTTACATGGTCTATAATCTTATAGGCTCATGCCAGTCTTGATAGCCCGAAACAGCGATTGTGCCCAACGGCGTCGAGGCCATAACCAGTGCCGCACCCGTCTCCACAACTCTGGTCAATTCTGCTGCTGGCGCAGCAGGATCGCTGGCTGGCTGGGCAATTTCAAGTCTTGGAAAGAAGGTATGCTTTGGTGCACGGTCCACGCAAGTTCTACATTAATGCATCCTAGCTTGCTGCCTCAGATATGCAAACACCGATCAGCGCAACTGACGCGAATATCGACCGTTCACTCTCAGCTCCCAGCCCAGCCTCTTTGAGTAGTCATATCGGAGAAATATCTCGGCCCATATATGCTACACTGTCGCATTCTTCCTCTGCTGTTCCCAACTCTTCCTCGAAGGGTAAAGGATTGCAATTGGGTGCCAATAAAGTTCCAGGAAATGTAGCAATGGGCATTTTTGCTGATCAGCTTGCCGAAGAGGCTGCTTCGGCTTCACTCGAGGGTGGCAATCCATGGGGCTCTGAGGACCTGATGGACGTGCACGCGGACGATGATGACTGGAGTAAGCGCATCGTCAAGAAAAATAAATGGAGAGCTAATCCCGGTACTTTCAGGTGCATTTGAAACGGCCCCGACTACAACTCAAACGAAGTCAACTGTCGTGGTCTCAAGCTTCATGGGTTCTCAACCTCAAACGCCTGTCATTCCTGGTGGTTGGAGCTTGGGTTTGACAAATGGCGGTTCGTCTACTCGCACACCCGCACCTTCAACACTGCACCCGACAAAGAAGGCATCCACACAAAGGGCACAGTCTCCAATTTCTCGACCTCTATCGTCCCAATCTTCTGGCCCGATATCACTGCATTCAAGTTGGGAAGCGGAGAACGCCTGGGATCTACCAGCGGCACCGAAGCCGACCTCTTCCCCCGCTTCCAGCAGCAGCACTGTACTTACGAAGGAAGAAAAAGCATTGGAAATGGCAAAGAGGAAAGAAGAACGCAAGCAGGTCCGTACATGTTGTTGCTTCGATGAAGTTCTAGTTCACGGTTGATTGAAATTTGCTCTTATAGCGCATCGCGATGCTCAAGGAGCAGAAGAAGACGACCGCTAAAACATGATTCGTATTTTTGGGTACGCCATGGATCGAGTTCGCTTACACTGGGATGAAGTTGGATCCATCTATACCAATAATTGCACTTGATCCCTGAGGACATATCTTTCTACCTGTTATTGTCGTTACCGCACAGCCTAGGCCTCAACGTCTGTCGACAACTTGAATTCGTCACTGGTATATCCAAAATCCTTTGGGGGGATTTGGACTTCCTTTCGCAGGCTCTACTTACGCGCCCAAGTGGCCCTGCGCTGCGGGTTTCTAATTTCACCTCAAAGCATCCGCGACGTTGCATGTGGGAGACCTTATGTGAATAAAGGGTCGGCCTTGCTGAAACGATTTCTTATGAACCTCCTCGCGAAAACGCCATTTATATTCAACACCGGAGCCAAAATTTCGCACTACGAATAAAAAAGGAAATTACAGCCCTTTGCGGAACTTAGGGCGCGGGCCGTTTCTTTTTCCAAAACGGGTCGAGCTGATGGTTCGAGCGGGATCGGGACTCGTTCGTGGAATAATTTCGTCAATTTAAGCCCGTTTCGAATAAAAATACAATCGTTGGACTCGGATTGAAATTCTGCATTGAATGGTGTATAATATGTGGGAGGAATGTCATAGTAGGCTGAGGCATTTCATCCGTGCTCATTTTGCATCCCTTCAATGAGGTGGCTACAAAATCAAGCATTTTCATTACCCGTCGTCATGTAGTTTGCATACAGAAGATACTTTTACATGGAGAATACACTATTCAATAAAATAATCCCCGATGTATGGAGTATAGCATGCCCGGATTGCGAGAGATTGCGAGGGCTTCCCCCAGTGGTTTCATCTGGACCTGGGACTGCCTGGAACCATGAAATGGACAGAGTTCTTGACACATTGGTGCTACACTGACACAAACAAACCGTATCTATGACCGACTAGGCCTGCAGCGTCCTCTGGACATGGGTAAAGACAGTGTTTGAGCGGCCTATGAGAATTGGTGTTGGGCTGTCTTCATTGTATTTCTCTCAACTAGAAAAAAGATATTTGCAGTTTAGTTTGAGTAAGTACATAATGATTTTGTAAAAGGGTGAAGCTTCTAGGTAGTTTTCAGGTTGGAAAGTGGACATCCCCTCATCCACGTATGTATGTGCATTGTGAGCGGCGGCGTTGCCCCACCAACTTCACCCTGGGCTCTCATTTAATTATAACGGCCCACCATGGACAAAAATAGGGCTTACCATGTAAATACCACCCCCTGCAATGAATATGTCACCCAAAAGTCCCAGATCGTCGGCATTTGTTGACGATCATCAACTTTCATCAATGTTTGTCAACAATCTCCAACTTTTGTTGACATTCTTTGACTTTTGTCAAAGATTTCCACTGAAATATCCTGATCTTCAACGTTTGGCACAGATCAATACGGTAGGTTTCTTCAACTTTCTGTTACCATTTTCACTGTGAGCCTCTCATTCTTTCTTTGACACCCGGCCAGAATCTTCAAGAATCTTTATATTTTTCTTCAGGAATGTGTCAGACCCCAGGACTTTGCGAGGGGCTTGGCACACTCAACTCATGTGCCAGGCCTATGCCGGCTGCTCTGCTTGCATGCTGACTAACAGTCGGGCCGTGGGGACCCACCAATCTTAGTCAGCGGGGAAGAAATACCTCACTGACTAAGATTGGCAGGGTCCCATGGCGTGCTGACTAAGTTGTTGCTCCCGCCCTTCTCATTACTGTTGTGGACAGCAAGCTTGCTGTTCACACCATTTCCAGTCCATTTCCCTCCATTTTTTTTGCTAGTATCAATGTATGTAGTTATTAATGAAGTTATGTAACATATATACTGTTGTAAACCCCCATAAGCTGTATAAAATGCGAAAACAATAATATGAATAACAGTCCCTCATCCATACCCAGCCCTAGGCATATTCCCCAGCCCAGGAAGCATCTGGAGTATTTAATATAGACACATGTATGAGTGGGAAGGCCACCATCCAGGTTATGGGAGTGGCAGGATATACAGTATCATGGTGATTAATGTACCTCTCCTCCTACCCCTCTTCCACACACCAATAATGCAACTATTACTATGGTTAGTAGCTCAATTTAATGGTACTACAATAGCGCATTTTTAGGGCCCTCTATTTGAGCCATTTGTGGTTTGAAGGGAGAGGGTATGACCCATGACCCTCAACAGTAGATATTTTATTAAAGAACCATACATGCATTTATGGCCAATTTGACTTGGTAGATACTTGATAGTATTATGCTTTAGTATATATATGTATTTAAATATGGAGCACCACACATGTGGGCAAAGATATGAGGAGGGGGAGGAGGAGCACATACCTCATCACACCAGAATAGTATACGCTCTAGGTAGACTCTACGGGTGTGTAATATGTATACCTTGATATTTTAGTAGTCACGGTTAGAGAATAGATGCTTGGGTGAGATGGTATTAAAGCAAGGAGGATATCTGCATAAAAAGCATGAAAATCGTCCACTGTCACATAAATACATCAAGTAAAAATAATATATATACCTAGGCATATACTCATACATTCTAAGAGCCAGCTGAAAAAGAGTTTACGAATTGCCCACATGTGCGGTGCTCCATATTTAAATACATATATATACTAAAGCATAATACTATTAAGTATCTACCAAGTCAAATTGGCCA